TTTTCGAATAAGATAACGCGATTAGGTTGATAACTCATGGTACAGTAAGTCTTAACACTGTGGCTAAACCATCGACTAATCCAAATAATGTGGTAATTATGTCGATAAGTTCATTTCTTGTTATTCGATTGACAGAAAATCTAAGCGAAATTGGTTTTGTATATTTATTTACTTCCTTCATGTAAGTCTTTCGAATGCGTTGACTTGTTATAATGATCTGAATGAACAACATATGGATTATATTGACTTCCTCTCCTCTATTTCAATGTCGCTAATCGGTGATGTTAGTACAAGGAGAAGAAAAGGTAGGCCTGTTCACTTTTCTGCTCAAAAGCTGAGACGAATTCAAATGACAACGAAGAATAAATCTTTATGAACTTGATTATTAGCACATATGTCTGTTGCTGGACCCAAAGGAAAGTGTGAATATTGCAGCACTAAAGCTCGTCCGATATTTAGTAGCATAAAATGCAGTTTTTGTGGTACCTCTTTACGCGTAAAGCAGTATAAAAATTGCTTTTTTCTGTTTCATGAAAACACTGCATAAGTTTTGCAACTAATAAACTTCAACATGTGAAATTTTCGTTCAGCCGACTTAGAGTTCAATGTAACTTACTTTGTACAAATCGACTAATCACCTGTAAGAACACATGGGATATATCTAACATATACTTGTATGTCTAAGGGAAGCTGATCCAATGCTTTACTTGAATTCAATCCAACATAAAAGAATTTGGAAATCAAATGGTTAAACGGTGTGTATTACGCCCATTAAATCTGATAAAGTGAGTCAATGACTAATACAAACACCTGTAACGTACAGAAGTATAACTGCTTTTTTGAGAGAATAAATGAGGATTCGAAAAAAACGCTCGCAGCTTATATTTTTTAATCAAGAACGAATCTGATGACTTTACCGTATCATGTTCTTTCTATCAAAATTGAATATTTAATTATTTTAAAAAACATTATTCCGTTCAAAGAAGAGTAGAAAATTACGCGACACCACCTGCTAAAAGTAACTCTTTCTGTTAATAATCAAAGGAATTTTTCTACACAAATGAAGCAATTAATTAAATGAGGTTCCTGTCCTGAAAATGCGACGATTGCTTTGTTACTCAAATGACTTAATCTGCTATGCTAATTATTATAATCCACGACGTTCTTATTTGTACTTGAACTAGCAATATTAATAACTTTGACATCTACTTTTTATTATAATGGATATTCGACTCTTGTAATGGAGCTTCCTCCTTTCTTCTATTCCCTATTCATTTTCTGACTTATTTTACAAACTAAGTGTATGTCTTCGTTAAATAGCACTCTCTCCTCGATCTCTCCTTCAACAGAAATCGTTCGTTTTCAATTTATTCTACGACTAGTTGTGGCTGTATTCGGTATACCGATTCTCTTCGTTGGTATACTCGGTAATACAATCAATATTCTCACTTTTCTGAAACTAGGACACTATCGACGGAACGTTTGTTCACTTTATATTCTTTCTCGTTCAGTTTTTGACTTAATACTTCTTATCACTGGCTTGGGAACGCGTATTCTTAGTCAAAGCTTCGGAATTGATTTTACGCTAACTTGTCGTCTCTGGTGTAAATTACGTGTACCCGTTATTTACATAAATACTCTCAGTTCATATACATTTTTGTGCTTGCAATCAATCGATGCCTTCTTCGTCACCTCATTATCCGTTTCTTACCGACAAAAGAGTAACATACAAGCCGGTCGATACTTGCTCGTCAGTTTCATCGTTATTTGGATACTTGAGGAATTGGTATACGTCTTCTATCAAGATTTGATTATCAGTTCCGATGGAAATAGCCGTATGTGCGTACCAATCAATTCAACCTACGCGAAATATCGAATTTATGTCGTCTATCTATTTCTAACGACAATTGTTCCGCTTGTTTTAATCATTTCCTTCGATATTCTCACATATCGACATCTTCAAATGCATTCTCTCCAAAGACAACGCCAATTACTTTCCGTTCTTGCACGACAAATGACCATGATGACTCTATTTCACATAAGTGCCGTGTTTCTATTCCAAGCACCGTTTGCTGCAGCGCAATGCTATTTTCTCACCTTCGGACTCAACAAAGAGCCTGTTCGAAACGCACAAGAACAGATTATTCAGCAGTTTTTCAACATACTTGGCTACGGAATCTATGCTGTAAGTGCAATAAACTCTCTTTTTTTCTGTAATGCAGTATATGTGTACTTGCTTAGACATCGTTCTACTGCTACTTCTTCTCATCGAAACGTTTTCGTGAACAAGTATGGAGTGTTCTTCCATGCCATCAACCAGCAGTCAATCGAATACAGCCGACTTAAAAATCACCATGAAGCGAATTACATGTAATTACGTCATTGTTTGTCAAGAAACATGTGGCAGTTTTGTGAATAAAAAGAAAGAAAATATCGACAGAATATTTCATCAGATGCAAACAGAAGACGTTTTTATCATTGCTGGAGCTGGCATTGGCGGCTTAGCTACCGCGCTAGCGCTTGAAAAGAATGGATTTTCGTATGAGATTTATGAACGTGATGCAGATTTTCATTCACGTCGACAAGGTTATAGTTTAACAATTCAAAAGAATGGTTTCGAAGCGTTACAAGAACTTGGTGTAGGTGAACACGTACGAGAAATGGGCAAAGACTCGGTGATTTGTGGAACAACAACATATAATCATCTCGGTGAAATTATTTTCTCTAAAGCAAAGCGGAAGAACAATCGATACGATTTCAATAATTTTGCAGTTCCACGACAATCTCTCCGCGAATGTTTAATGAGCGAATTGAAGTCAAACATAATACACTGGAATAAGGAAATACTTCGATACGAACTGATCGAAGGTCATCCTCATCGGATTCAAGTTATCTTTACTGATCATACGTCAACATTTGGTCGTGCATTGATCGCTTGCGATGGAGTTCACAGTGCAATTCGTAGGCAAGCGTTAGGTGACGATTTGAATTATCTTGGCGTATGGGCAATCAATGGTATTGCATCTCATCAACAAAATCCAATTTTCGTAAATCAAACCGTTCAAATGCTTGATGGAAACTCTCGTTTGTTTATCAAGCCTTATTCGCTTGATAAATCCATGTGGCAATTGACTTTTCAAGTGTTGAAAGATGACCATACTTACAATCAGAATGATTTGAACGATTTATTGCGCAAGGCGAAATACATTACGAAAGATTGGCATGAACCAATGATGAAACTAATCAACGATACATCAGTATCTGATGTTCGTGGTGGTCCCATTTTTGATCGAGATCCATTAGAAACTATGGGAAAAGATCTAGCGTGTGTAGCCATGCTAGGCGATGCTGTACATCCAATGAGTCCTTTTAAAGGTCAAGGTGCCAACCAAGCATTGATGGATGCTGTCAATTTGGTGAAGTTTTTGATGAAATATAGAGGAAAAAGCGATGGTATTGAGCAAGCGTTTTCTGACTTCGAAGTTGAAATGCTCAAACGTTCAAAACGTTATGTTTTACAATCAAGATCAGCCGTCGAGTTTCTTCATACGAACAATGCGTTGCGAAACGAAACTATGTCTCATTTTGTCAGAGGAAAGCTCTCACGAGAATAAATTCAATAGAGTCTTTTTTATCCACTTGCAATTAGCACTTTCTCGACTTGTGCTATTCTCAAACGGTTGATTGTTCGTTGATCTACTCAAAAATCTCTTCAATTCGTTTGTCCTATGAAAGTACATATACTATTCATGAAAACAAATACATGTTCTTCATTCACAGTTGAATGATCACTCTGGTCACATTATCTTCAATAATCATCGAAAATGAGAAAAGAGAAAAAGAGATACTCCTTCAATTCATTTGACCGCTTGTTGAGAAGACAATGGGAAACTAAAATATATGGCATGTCTCTTTTTCAGACAACTCCAGCGAGTTCAATCTAATGGTAATTAGATATAATCACTGTTTCAAGTAGTTCTTTCAATGTCTTATATCACAACGCGCAAAGAACCAATTTCACCAAATTACAAATCTTATAATGAAAACTACTATTTCGATCCAACTTTGTGAAATATGATGCAGTCTTGGTTGTGATCGTTGGATCGAAATCCTATGTCAATTAGTTGTGTAATTACAGAAAGTACGGCGCCCACTTTAATCTGCTGAGTAGAATTTAGCTATTTAAATCTATTATATTCAGTTATTACCGTAACAACCAGCGTGATACATCATTGCATCAAGAAACAAAGTCGTGAATATGCTTATTCATCCAACCAGAATGATTTAACACTGTTTTGTTCAAATTTTGAAGCCAGACAGCCCTATGTTAAATCTTTTCGGTAAATAAATGATTGAGATAAAATTGATAAAAATTAGTCATTCGTCACAGAGCTACATTGCTCCTCGAAATACACATAAATGAAATGACGAGTATTGGTTTCTTCCAAACATTCGAAAGTCATATGCCTATCTGAAAAACATGTGAATTAGTTTTTTGCAGTTGGAAATATTGTTTTCTCTGCATCGGTCTCTTTGTTGGCTATTTGCTCACTTTTCAAAGGGGTGGTAACGTGAACATAATTGATGAATAAAAGAACCACTTTTTTGTATCCAGATGCGATTCCGTTCTAAATAAACGCTGACGCAACTCTCAAAACGACGATAACGATATTTTTTGAGAGAAAGAATCTAGTGCAGGCAAATGTTCATTTGAGTTCAAATATTCTGTGCGATTTTGATGGAAACAAAGACATGAGCGATTGTCTTGTTTGTAAAATACCCTCTCATAGTAGCGATTAATAATAATTCTTTCATTTAGTGAATCACGATTCTGTCCAACGGCAAGTTGAAGGCCGTATAGAACTATATTTGCAAAAGTGATTACTGCTGCGGACAGTTCTTTATACATTACAACTAATAACTCAGTTTATATTGTTTTCTCGGGCAACAGTGATGTTTATTTTTCGTTGAATGTTCCTATGGAGTCGAGGGAAATAATGTCACATACAATCGAAAGATGGACACTGATCAAATGTTTCCGTTCTCGCTACGTAGACTCCCCCACGGTCTGCCGACATCTTCATTGCTAAACTATCACAGAGTTGTGAAAGAAAGGCTAGACAACAATAACATCACTTCGATGACTGCAGTTAGAATCGAATTACCTGGAATCGGGATTGGTGCCTGTCCGGTAACAACGTTGTTGATAACATTTGTCTTCACATTGAAGTTCTGGATTGTCGTCTTCGTGACTAAACGCATGCGTTGCTTGTGAACGAGCAATCATAGTGATGAAAGGCGCGCGTTTCGTTAAGAGAAAAAGTCGACAAATAGCGCAATTCGTAATGACTGTGCTCTTGATTTTCAAAATTCTCGTATTTATTCACAATTCCATTCATCGAAATTTGTTCGATGAGATCGATGAAGACGAAAATGAAAAACGAGTTTGGTGTACTGCTACTTATTCGTCGTCTCGTTTTCAAAGTTATGATACCCAGCCATGCTTACGTTCGTTATTTTCGTGTTGCTATCAACATTTTATCGACAAGAATTTTGCAAATTAATTGATGGATATCGAACTATGTTACAACGTCATTTTTATATTTTTCTGTAACAATAACAACGAATGAATGCTTATTTCTATTGTATTCACATCATTCCTCTTGCATTCTGTCTTTATCGTGTTAATCTTCATCGATTAAAAAAGCAGTTAGCAGTCAGCCACTCAATTTTTATTGATATTCTCTCATCAGAAAATCGATTTAAGAAGAAAACAAATTAGATGAGTAGAGTAACCTTCGATTGTCGATTGAGAATATCCATTTTAAGTGCATCAGCTTCTTCTTTTGGAATTGCATTGTTTTGGACAACCAAAAATTGAAGATAAGGCAAATTCAGGATGCTTTTTGGAACACGAGTGATTTTTGTATTCGCTAGGTCCAAAAATGAGAGGCGTTTGAGTAGAGTAATGTGAGAAGGAATCATTGGAATATTCGAGACAGCAATTCTGATTTCGGTGATATTTTTACAAAGTAAAAGGTAAGACATATCCATGACAGGATTGTGGTTCATATCAAGTCGACCAAGTGCTTCAGGTATTTCGAGCATTGGAATCTCAGTGAATTGATTTTTGTAAAGTGACAATGATCGAACTTTTACCAAACCTTCAAGTTGAGTTAAACGATTGTTTGGAAGACTAACCATAGTCAGATTCTTCAATTCGCTAAGACTTGGCAACTGGGTAAGTAAACAATTGTCTAACATTAAACTTTGAAGTTTCGCAAGACTTGATAATTTCTCGGTCATTTTAGTAATGGGTGTGTTCGTTATACTAAGAGTATGAATTTGTTGAAGATTTGATAGAGCATCTGGAACAACACCATTGACGAACAACATATCTCTGATACCTAAAGCTTGAAGATTCTTCAAACAGAAGACGCTTTCAGGAACGAATTTTCCGGTTTGTCGAAGTTGAATCATGTTGACAGTTGAATTTGTTGAATCTAAGATAGCTGTGCTCTTGTCAGGTCCTTGTTGTTTATAATCCAGACCAACAGGAAATGGAAACTGAGAGAGAATATCCAAATCATTGGCATATTGATCACATTGTACATCTGCATGGCATTTCGTCAAAAAGCCACAGAAGATGAAGAAGAGAGCAACAATCTTGATTTGCACCATTGTTCTTATCTTTTCGATTGACTTGATTGACATATATTTTCCAGCTATATATATATATATGATTCGTAATACAGAACAAAACCTGACTTTGAGAAACATTACGGGTATTATGGGATGTACATTTAATAGAATTGTAATCGATACACTTGACATTAAAAAGTATTTTCATTTGGGCGAAGATTACATACAAATTATTCTATTTATGGAGGCGGTCTGTTATTTTCATTGCAACTTTGCGACCAATTTTACATATGAAAAACAAAAGGAGTAGAATAAAACAAACGCGTGATACGTCGAGCACCGATTAGTTGATAATTGATCATTCAAAATTCGTGAGAATCTCATTTACTTACTTCTGATGAGCTATGAAAGAATACACAACAAGACATTCTTTTCTTTTTATTAATGTTCATCTCAAACCGTTGACAACGTGTATTATTTTCTTCTTTGTCTTACATAGTTACAATGACTTTCGTACATTACAATTCATTGTTTAAGGAGAGAGCATGTATCACATGAGAACAAAGACACAATTCTTGGTCACGATTGAATGATCACCATCACCACTTTGTCTTCGATAACAATCGTGAAAGAGACAAAAAAAATCGATACAAAAATACTCAAGCGATTGATTTGATTGGTGAGAAAACGATGCTTAGGTACAAATCGTATTTTCGTTTTTTTTGACTTTTCTTTAGACAACTCCAGCGAGTAGTCAATGTTTCAAGTGTTTTCTTCGATACAATCTACTGAAACGTATATATATATATATTCACTGGTTAATGTATAAATTTGCTTCCATCAACGATAAGTAGTAACTACTACTCGTCGAGAATACATAGCAGAGACAGGAAATATTGGATTAACGTTCCTCAATGATAATACTTGATGTACATCATCAATGTGAATAAATTCCATAGTCTTATAATTTTTTGCCTGCTGATTACCAATATTTTTGTCTTGCGGAGATCATCCATCAAGATATAAAAATTACACGTAACAAGTTATAGTACGAACTGCATATGTGAAACAATCGTCCAGCGTTGACGTAATTAACACAGTGAGCTTGTTTTCCATCTCAATACCATTGATTTCTGCCATACAAATGTCGTTTGTTCAACAGAAGTTATAAGAAGAATGATATTGTTTTCCTCGCTCGGTAACGATTGAGTTTATAAATGACTTTCCCAGAGATTAGGGGTGGACCATTTAATTTAATTTGAGTTAATTAACGGGTATTAATTAACGGAATTATTTAACGTTAATATTAACGGTTAACGAAATAAGGAAAAGTCGTTAACCGTTAAGATCAACGGTTAACGGAATCCGTTAATCTTAATATTAACGTTAAATAAAATCCGTTAACGTTAATATTAACGTTAAGTAAAACCCGTTAATGTTAATATTAACGTTAAGTAAAAGACGTTAACGTTAATATTAACGGTTAACGGGTTTCAGTAAATCCGTTAACCGTTGATTTCAACGTTAACGAAACTCATTAGCGTTAATATTGACCTTAACGACTTTACCTAACTAGGGCTATGGTATCTAATTTAATTTGAGTTCATTAACGACCATTAATTAACGGCTTTCGTTAACGTTGAAATCAACGGTTAACGNTAATATTATCGGTAACGTCGTTTACTTAACGTTAATATGAACGTTAACGGATTTTACTTAACGTTAATAGTAACGCTAACGGATTTTATTTAACGTTAATATTAAGATTAACTGATTCCGTTAACCGTTGATCTTAACGGTTAACGACTTTTCCTTATTTCGTTAACCGTTAATATTAACGGTTAACGGAATCCGTTTACGTTAATTTCAAATAAACGTAAATGTGCCACCCCAACCAGAGATAACTCGTCTATAAAATATTTTTAGTCACTCCGGTTGATCGGCAAACTAAAGATCGTATTCTTCATTACTTTGCTAAAGGTAATATATAAACTCTAATCAAACAAGTCCAACTCGTTCACTCATGTTTATCATTTCATTTAGATCTCCTCCTAACCATTTCTTCCAACGTTTTACAGTCTGCATAGTTGGACAACAAACATTTGCAGAATAAAAAAAAATTTGAATGGACCGAACGACCGATCAGAACTCCGGCTCAGCAATCACCAGCGTGATTCGTCATCGGAAAATTGCAGCAGCATAGTCACAGTCTTTCAAAAAAAGGATTTGTTACTCCATCTAAAACTAATATAAAACCTTTCTTCAACATGCGTTAATTGCTAAAGTTTCATTATTCTTCAATTGGTTTTCAATAAATCGGTTTATCGAAGAAGCTTTCTTTTACTCGAACTCTGCCACGATGTTGATAGCAACTGGCGCAGTTGATATACTAGGACGTATCAGAGTTGGATTATTCTCCCGACAATATAAACAAACAAAAAGAAAAAATCAGGAAATAATGGCGACCATCCTAATCAGAAGTTGAGTTTTTTAAAGCTCGGTGCATCGAAGAGAACTATTACGTCAGTTCAAGTAGTGAGACAAAGTAGTGAAAATTCGAGATTTTCTCTCGGTCGACTGTTTGCCAACTCACTGTTTGTATCACGTATGTCGATGGAAACTTGATTCGATCAAATTTCATTGTCGAGAACAGACTATTTGCGAAAGAAAAAAAGATCTTTTATTGACGTTGTATTAATCCTATTCAATAATTGCCAGTAGAATTCAATTTGGTGATGTGAAAAGTCAACAGTGGTTAATTTCAGTTCTTTCAACATTCGTCTGATCGAACAAATTAAAGTAAAGATCGATCATTTTCTCTCTAAAACAGACTTTATCTTCGGAAATCGTTAGAAGAAAGTTTTGTCGGAAAGATTCGTGTATACAGATGGTACAATGGAAAGAATGTTAAATATCTTCGTCGGTATCTCAATGACACTTCAAATCGACTTTGGTCAAATGAAGAAAGATGTTTATTTTCACTTGAATAAGTTGAACATACGGCAGCAGTATTCAATCTGTCAATTATTTCATATAAGTCAAAGGATAGTGGATATGTTTGTGAATTTTATGGTTCATTAAAAGACCTTTCGAACAGATCTTTGTGAACTTGATCGATTAGATTGGATTGATTCAGCTACGAATGACACTTTTGTTACTCTTTGAAGACATTCTTTCAATAGAAAGTATTCCTTTTCAATCTCGATTTGAACCAATTCTTTTCTACAGTAATTCTTATCTTCTCGTTTTTGCTTTTACATATCTTTCTCAATTGATCTACATAAGTGCTTATTTACTATTGATTCTCGCAAGCGAAAATAGAAATATTTCATTGAACTTTGGTCAATAATTGAGTTTCGTTCCATCATCTATTCGATTTCAATGATTTTTGCTTTTTTTTCTTCTTATATATGATTAAAGTTCTTTGTTTGATTTATTTTCTGTTTCTCTCAAAACTGAATCTCTACTCAACATTACTGAAAACCTGTCAAATGTTATTCGAATCAGTTATCAAGACCAGGATCTTTTCTTGACCGATTAACATTAATTCTATTCACTCCGACAGTTTGCGTCTTGAACGTGAGAAAGTCACGGACGATCTAGAAGTGTTTTCATGTATGTTCGGGAAATTTCTTCGATAGAAAGGTAAGAATACCGCCTGGACTGTCGTTCGAACGAATCTTTGTTTCACAGGATTACGAAAACGACTGGAGTACAGAAAGTGGTCAAGAAATTCGTACACAATATTTACAGACAGTAGATGCATTAACATTGAGAACAAGTCAATCGAGCAAGAATCTTTATTCTCAAATCTGACTTCATGTTTCCTCCTTTCAGATGTATTTTAACCAATGAATAACAATAGTAGAGGAAATACGATCAAAATAATAAATTTCTTCACACTCAACGACGCGTTTGCCCACAGAAAATTTCTTTTAGAATAGCTTGAATAAGAAACTCTTTATTGACAAACAAAACGAGATCAAATCAAATAGTTGAACAGTGAGAAACATTGCTGGTGCAATAAATACCAGATATATATCCGACACCGCCTTGGTTTAAATTCATCTCGTACCATTTGTTGTTAGTTAACCCGTCTCTCGTTACATTTTCACCTTTGACCCAGCAATTAACCAAAAATTCGTCTTCACTACGAACAGTTCCTACAGATGCACATCGAGTGTTACTGCAGATACAAATATCGGTATCTTGTTCGCATTGAATGAAATCAGCAACAGCAAGGATTGTATGATTGATGTTCAAAAACCAGAATATGATCAAAACGATAGAAGAGATGTACATATGTTTCTTCTTTGTCTCATACAATGACCTTCGAAAACAAAGACACAATCTTTGGTCACGGTTGAACGATCGTTCTCACCACGTTGCCTTCAACAACAATCATAAAAGGAAAAAAAAACTGATTGGGAGACATTCATTCGATTGATTTGACCGCTGAGCAGACGAAATTAAAATTCAAAGCATTTGTTTCTGTTTTCATTTGCATATTCATCTCTATCAGCGATGTTTTTAGATGACTTCAGCGAGTATAATCAGGTGTTAATTCTATAGTTCATGTTTCAAATATTGCCTTCCTGGACAATCCTGGAAAATCTTACTTTCATCTAGATAACTAGTGAATATAACGACTTATTGTCTTCAATCATGGAAATTACTAGGTTGTCGAGCAATTACTATGAAAAAGTGCTCGCCTAACTTTGATACAACAGCTGCAGTGTGGATATTGAGTCAATTTACGCATGAAACAATTCTGCCGCATGTCAATACATGGCTAAACTTTAAAGGTTTGGTTCCTCTATGTGACCGATGCAAAAATATTTATCTCGGCAAGCCTATCCGTTATGTTAAGTCAATCAGAGTAAGACGTTGCATTCAATACTGTGGAGAAAAACAGCCAGCGCTGTTATGGTCGATGTTATCAGTCTTTGTTTAAATTGCATTTTTATTAATTCATACCATCCAAATATGAACAGCAAGCGATGACGAGAATTGGTAAGTTTTATTTATTGCTCGATCAATACTCAATTTCTACACTTTCTATGTCGACAACTTATGCGTGAATACTTCTAGATTTCCCGGCTTATCAGCATATATAAGCACAGGTTCATCTTTCTATAGGAACATATTTTAAAGTAATTTATGAACTCCAGCCAGGTAAGTCCGATTGATCAATCGATATTTACCTAACTTCGAATCGAAAACTTCTGTTATTTAGAATATGAAAACACGAAACTGTAGAGTTAGACGATATACCTACACAGAATTATCACGAGTGTGATATATTAACGGAAAAATGATAACATCACTGAAAATGTTTCTTCATTCGACCACAAGCCAAATCAGCATTAGCTCATTACAGTATCTAATTATCAGTACAATAATGATATGATCTCTTCCAATTTACTTTTAATGAATCGATTACTTGAAAAAGTGATCATGATCGATTTGTACAATAGGCATGTCAATCTACCGTGCAAAACTCCAACAAAAATTCATTAGATTCTATGAAAACAATCATTTGAAATCATTCCTCAAGAACATTTTCTAATACGATTTAATACTTTTTCAATAGTGTTGTGACGATTCATAGTTAGCATCCACTTTGTACTCACTCTTTTTGCACTTAGTTTCTACACCTCGAGCATATCGAGCCATATGCTCGGTACTCATCTTTGTACTTTTACCTGTACTAACCTTTTTCTCACAGCTGATTATATATGGCGTGATACTGTACATTCCGAGGACTATATAAGGACTGAGGATTGTACACTAGAGTATGCTTGATTTCGGATAAGAAATAAACTCATCTCTCATCAGCACCTTCTTCTCTCGGATTAGTGAACGAAGGAATTCGTCACAAGTGTGTTTCACAAAAGAATTAAAAAAAGATTTCAAAACAGTGAATAGTTGATGATTATGAGCTATCCGTTCGTGTATGAATGACTCATACACAGCCGCATGCAACGTCATTGAATTCTTCAGGAAGTTTGTATTCATTCACTAATGTATCATGTTCTCCATCAACAACAATAACCCAACGCAGGATTTGCTCCGGACTTTTGATACAGAATTCATCGCGGATCTCATCAACATGATTGTAATAAACCGTATCATACTCGTCCCACCACGAATCTGTATTCCTTACTTTATCTAGTTCATCCTTCGTTACTTGTAATACTTTACCCATCCGAATCTCGGCACATATAATAGCGCCTCCGTGTCTTGCTTTGCCTAAAGTAGATGCTTGTGATCGAGCGAAATATATACCGAAGCCGAGCATTTGTGGCGGCTTGTTACTAATTAGAAAATCACTGTGGGCAATGCTTGCTGCAGCTTGGACACTTGTTTGGTGAAAACCAATGTAGCGGCCGTGCTCGCGCGTATGTATCTCTCGTTTGCGCACTTCTGACCAGCGAAGTTGAGGTGTGTGTACATCACGATGAAAGATTAGTACATGTTCCATACTCCTAACAGTGCACTGCTGCCCGTTATCACATGGTTGATCGCCGAGTTTCATTGTTCGATTATTGCCGAGAAGGTGGTGAGGAATGTAACGTTTGTGCTTTTTTGATAGCGGTTCAGTACTTTTGTTTTCCAATTCATATGATGGTAAATAATGCCACCATATTCGATAATGCAGTACTTGAAGAAGAATTGCCAAAAGCAAGAATAACCACGATGCGCCACACAATCCTGCCAATGAGTTTCCTGCCGACTTAATTCCTGCAGCTAGATAGATAATAAATGCTGTAAATCGACAGACCAAGCAGAGAAACAGAAGAACCATCCGAATCACAAAACGATGCTGTGGTCGAGTGATATAACATGGACAATTACAATTCAATGTAACGAAACGTTGCACAGCAGGACTATGGCACATTTGTCCAATGCATTCTAGTGCTTCGTCTCGTTTCTTTTTCTCTTTTTCCGAATCGTAGCAACATGTCACGCACAGAATATAAGCGCATGATGCCGAAAGAAAGAACAGCATCACCAATGCAATAGCTGATCCAATCATATCGATTATATATCCAATTAACGCCGTATTATTGTCTCCCACGTTCTTGTTCTTGCCATCATCTAGGTAGCCGGAGTAGAAAATTATTATTCGGATGAATGCAAATATACTGTCCAAAACAACTACTGCTATGTTGTAAGAATGTAAACGTCGATAAGAGCTTACATCACGAAATTTAACAGAAGACAGAGTCGACCTCAACCACATCGTTGAATAAGCCGACAAGCAACTGATCTCGAAACAAGTGTGAAAGCGAATGTCGCATTCCAGTTGCTTATAATTATATCATAGGACCAGACACCAAACATCAGATAAGAATTCTACCGTTACTTCGTTTCGTTTGCCTAGAAAGTATTTCATGTTTGTAATGGTGTCAATTTCATCGTTGCACGGTATTTCGAGGTTAGGCCGACGAAATGCGTTGTCATATACTTATAGTCACAAATCGACGTTTTTCTACGGAATTAAATTCTTGTCTGTCGTGAATCAATGATTTGTATTTAATTCTACTAAGACATTTTTGAGAAAAGAATATTGTGTTTTGATAAATAGAGATGCTTCTTATCAGCATAAGAAAGATACATAAAACATTTTTCAGTGAAATCTTGCTAGATATTCTTCTAGATAACAGCTAAGTGTTCGTCTCTTCACGTGCAGCTTTAGTGTATCAGTTCGAAGTCAACAACAATATAACAATGGGAACAAGCAACAGTCGTAAGTTGGAGAATTTCTATTCAGCTTGCTGTAAGAATCAAATCAGCGAAGTAAAAGAGTATTTAAATCAACTATCAATAAGCGAATTAAACCAACATCACGCCAATGGCAATACGGCCTTACACACTGCCTGTCAGAATGGTTTTCACGAAATCGTTCAAATGTTACTCAGAAAGGGCGCTTCTAGTACAGCTCTCAATGATGATCGACAAACACCTGTTGAGCTTGCGAAAACACCTGAAATAAGAGCACTTTTCAAACAAGCAGCATGAAGCCGAGATCAAGCACGTTTTGGTGCATTGTTAGGACAAATAGAATGGAATTTTTCGAGCGATCATGCGAAATGGTACTGTCAATACAGCAAAGCGAGTTTTGCAACCCATGAAATAACGCTTGACCAAGTTGTATCTCGAGTGTTGACTGATAAAGAAGTACGAAGATTTAAAGAAATGAGCAATGTAAGAAGTATACTTGAAGAATGTCAGACCAAACAAGACCCCAATTATTTATTGAGAGCTTATACCTGTGATTCGGACTTTTACAAAGAACTTAATAAAACGTTGGCTAGAGAAGATGGAGTAGTTGAGAAAGAAGACGTGCTCAAACGCTGGGATTTCGTGTATACTGCGGCAATTTTAAACCGACCGGATTTGAAAACATTTCAATACAAAGGTATCGCTTATCGTGGTATGTGGATCACTGAGGAAGACTTAGCATCATACAAAGTTGGTGCAAAAATGTATAATAAAAGCTTCTTGTCAACATCGAAAATTATCGAAGTCGCCGAAGATTTCCTATACAAGCATATGGATTTAAGTAAGGCACCTGTCATATGCGAGTATCATATCAGCACACCAAAGATTTCGTTAGACATTTCGAAATACTCTGTATTTGAAAACGAGCAGGAAGTTTTGATTCTGCCGTATACACCTTTGAGAATCAAAAAACGACGTAAAGATGGCGACAGGACACGAATTACGATCGAAACTCTTTGATGTTTTCTTTTTCTTTTAAAGAATTTTTCATATTTGGTTAACGTGTGTCCGTTTGTAATCTGTTCCCTTCGAATACAACTGCAGTCCTTTGTGCTTTTATTGTTTCCCTGTACTATCATGCGGAAACATATTTTCGTTTATCTTTCATCCGGTACGAATTCCGAATGGAAAAGTGAACTATTTGAAGAAGAATCCTGCAGTCGACAGCGCACTTCACTTTTTATATTATCGCTCTGTATCCGTTGTGGGTAAACTAATACTACTAGATTTCGACACATGGTTATACTCGTGAGTGTCGTAAGAAAAGACGTGAAAAAGTCAATTTATTTGCGTTGTATTTCAATGATCAGTATATTATTTTATGTTGAAAAACTGTTATATATATATATACTATTTATCTCACCAATTTAAACAGATTTTTACCAATCGGTGGTGCGCCATAAACATCACTGTCAATTCACGGAAATAGCCCCTAGAGTTTAGGAATTGCTTACCAACAAATCAATAGAGGGCAGCTCTACATAAGGTTTCAGAGATAGTATGGTGGACATAAAACTATAAGACAACCTGAACCACACCCTCACCCTTCGCGGAAAAAGAAATTTTGCTCGTGAAGAAACAGGGGATGTGATTCATTCTCTTTTCAATTCTGTTAAAATACTGATTTTCCGCAAAAATGACAATAGAATATATGAACAGCGTTTCCTTGGTAAGCCATGTCTAACCAAAACATTATATACAATATATGTGAACGAAGCATGAGCGTTCGTTCGTTTTTTCCCTGCTTGCTCAACCGGTATAGTTGTTAAAAATCCTTTCTATTGCATTGCATGTAGCTTTTTTTTCTGTTTTTTCTTGCGTAGCGAATATCATAATGGACGTGATTTTCAGTTTTGAATTCACAAATACATGTGTNTATCGCTTATCGTGGTATGTGGATCACTGAGGAAGACTTAGCATCATACAAAGTTGGTGCAAAAATGTATAATAAAAGCTTCTTGTCAACATCGAAAATTATCGAAGTCGCCGAAGATTTCCTATACAAGTATATGGATTTAAGTAAGGTACCTGTCATATGCGAGTATCATATCAGCACACCAAGAATTTCGTTAGACATTTCGAAATACTCTGTATTTGAAAACGAGCAGGAAGTTTTGATCCTGCCGTATACACCTTTGAGAATCAAAAAACGACGCAAAGATGGCGACAGAACACGAATTACAATCGAAACTCTTTGATGTTTTCTTTTTCTTTTAAAGAACTTTTCATATTTGGTTAACGTGTGTCCGCTTGTAATCTGTTTCCTTCGAATACAACGAACGTTATACAACTGCAGTCCTTTGTGCTTTTATTGTTTCCCTGTACTATCATGCAGAAACATATTTTCGTTTATCTTTCATCCAGTACGAATTTCGAATCGAAAAGTGAACTATTTGAAGAAGAATCCTGCAGTCGACAGCGCACTTCACTTTTTATATTATTGCTCTGTATATGTTGTGGGTAAACTAATACTAGATGTTGACATGTGGTTATACTCGTGAGTGTCGTAAGAAAAGACGTGAAAAAGTCAATTTATTTGGGTCGTATTTAAATGATCAGTATTTTTACGAATGATCATTTTGATTTGTTGATCAATAGAATTTGAATTTTTTATCAGTTTATTATTTTATGTTAAAAATCTGTTATATATACTACTTATCTCAGCAATTTAAACAGGTTTTTACCAATCGTTGGTGCGCCGTAAACATCACTGCCAATTCACGGAAATAGCCCCTAGAGTTTAGAAATTGCTTCCCAACAAATCAATAGAGGGCGGCTCTACATAAGGTTTCATAGATAGTATGGCGGACATAAAATTATAAGACAATCTGAACCACATCCGCATAGATTAAAAAATTCTGTATTGTGTGTGTTCACGGCAATAAGAACTTTCGCAGAAAAAGAAATTTTGCTCGTGAAGGAAAAAAAGGATGTAATTCATTCTCTTTTCAATTCTGCCAAAATACTGGTTTTCCGCAAAAATGACAATAGAATATATGAACAGCGTTTCCTTGGTAAGTCATGCCTCACCAAAATATTATATACAATATGTGAACGAAGCATAAGTGTTCGTTCGTTTTCTCCCTGCTTGCTCAACCAGTATAGTTGTTAAAAAACCTTTCTATTGCATTGCATGTAGCTTTTTTTTCTGTTTTTTCTTGCGTGGCAAATATCATAATAGACGTGATTTTCAGTTTTGAATTCACAAATACATGGGCGCGCTTCGCTTCAATAAATGCTTGTTGAACAATGTTCGCCACTTTTGACGATGATTAAATATTAACTAAAGAGTTTTTTCAGAGAATGAAAAGAAAGCGATGTCATAGAATTTTGGTAAAATAAATATTAGACATAATTGTGTAAGTAGAAAAAGAAATAAAACATGCTGTGGAAATTTATTATTTTATCGTTATCCGCAATTGCTGATTGTGTCAAAATCGGGAAAGCGGATAACTATATAATGATAGGGAACATCAATAGAACACTGGTAAATGTTACGATAGATCAATGCAAGTGCGAAATACTACAATTAAACGAGACGATTTGCGCTTTGAATTATTTCCTAACAAATCAAAGTTGTCAAGTATTGTGTTCTTATACAAATGTAATACAAGTGCAATATCAGCCATATTCTACATTACTATTTTTTAATCGATCAGTAATATCGATTACTGCTAATCAAGTAAATGGTAAGCACATACATAAGTAGATCGCATTAATCTTCACGTACAAGGCAATGTTCTCGTTAATTATATGATCGACATGAGATAGAATAGGGGGGAGAAACCAACTCACATAATGTAACTATATGGAAAGATATTTGAATTTTGACCACTCGCTGAAGAATAGGAAAGTGGGAATTCATGACTGTTACAGGCATGTACGTATACATGCCTTCACATCCTTCTCTTCATCTGTTTCTGTTATCATCATGATACATGTTTTTTCATATCGTTTCCAATAGACAGATTGAGTTTCGTCTCTCGATTGAAGACAACGCTAATAATGACTGATACTTATTACTATGCTATTCTCTGAATTATATTTTACAGTTCAGACACTGTTGACCATATCATCAACATCCTCATCATCAACTACAACATCGTCTGCATCATCATCAACAACAGCAACAACTTCTTCTTCATCCTCAACAACCACAACAACAAGAACCACCTCATCATCAACAACAGCAAACACCTCATCATCAACAACAACAACCACCTCATCATCATCAACAACAACAACAATCTCATCATCAACATCAACAACAGCAAACACCTCATCATCAACAACAACAACCACCTCATCATCATCATCAACAACAGCAAACACCTCATCATCATCAACAACAACAGCAACCACCTCATCATCAACTACCTCCTCGTCGTCGACTAAAACATCAACTTCTTCATCATCGTCGTCAACCACAACATCAACTGCATCTTCGTCATCATCAACTTCTTCTTCATTATCAACTACAACATCGTCTGCATCATCGTCGTCCACATCATCATCAACAACAGCAACAACTTCTTCGTCATCCTCAACAACAACAAGGACCACTTCATCAACAACAACCACCTCATCATCATCATCAACAACAGCAACCACCATATCATCAACTACCTCCTCGTCATCGACTAAAACATCAACTTCTTCATCATCGTCCACAACATCATCATCGTCGTCAACCACAACATCAACTACATCTTCGTCATCATCAACTTCTTCTTCATCATCAACTACAACATCCTCGTCCTCATCATCGTCTACGACAACAGACGGTAAGATCTATGCTAGCAATATTCCTTCCATTCTTGTTGTCAAGCATCTCATTCAAATTTGATCTACAGTTCATGTATTTCGCACATAATTAACCAGGCGAGAACTCCATTAACAAAAACAGAGAGAATTTGTTCATAGGGATAATTGAGATAAAAAGATTACGATTGTATCATCAGACGTGGAAAAACTTTATTTTCTCTAGTCTGTACCAACCAGTTGTTCTATTACTGGATCAATTACACAGTAGGTAGCGCTCCGAAATCAGTCGTTATAGTAGACGTGACCAACGATAATCGTTCCGATATCATCGTCGCAAACACTGGCTCGAACACTATTACTGTGCTTTTCAATGTGGGCAATGGTACATTCGTTTCTCAAACTAGTTTTGAAGTCACGTCTCTAGCAGCAATAGCTGTCGGCGACGTGAACAATGATAGCCGACCAGATATCGTTGCCACAAATTCTGATAAAGACGTCAAAATTTTCATGAATCTCGGGAACGGCACATTTGTGTACTCAAAAGGATATACTGCTGACTATGGCCCGCTCTCCCTCGTAGTTTCTGACGTGAATGGTGATCTCATCCCTGATATTGTTGTAGCGAATGAATGGGCGGCCAGTATCAGCGTTCTTCTTAATGACGGTAGCGGTTTGTTTCCTACCACGACAAGGTATTCAGTTAGTGCTCAGCCAGCTTCAGTTGCGATTGGCGACATGGATAACGATAAAATGTCTGATATTATTGTTGCAAACTTTGGATCGAGTAGCATTAGTATACTTCGCAACGTTGGCAACGGAACATTTGCTGCTCAAATATCTCAGTCAGTTAATAATAAACCATACTCAATTGTAGTTGTCGATATTAACAATGACAGCACCTCTGACATAATCATCGCAAATTACGATGCAAACAGTATTACTGTGCTTCTCAATTTGGGCGCGGGTGCATTTTCTCAGCAGCTAACTTATCCGGTTGGGACCCATCCATCGGCAATTGCAGTTAGCGATGTAGACAAAGATAACCAGCTTGATATTATCGTTGCAAATCAAGATTCAAAGACTATTAGCATTCTGCAAAATATGGGCAATGGCGTGTTTCACAGTCAAATAACATATTCAGTTGACTCTCAGCCGTCTTCAATTGCAGTTAGCGACATTAACAACGACGGAAAAATCGATATTGTTGTTGCAAATTCTGGTTCGAATAATGTCGGTGTTCTACTACACTGCTAAACTCTGAAAACTCTACCTTCATTGCATTGTACTCATCAATATAATAAATTTCTCGATTCTAATAAAATACAATCATCCTATTACATACGTATATTGCCAGAACAAACTGAGTTAGAGTTAGATTTCCGTATAGATTATCTCTGTGTTTTGTCGAATGGTGTGATATTGAAATATATATTTCGAAATGTACATCAAGTAATCACTTAGATTTATTCAGAATGATGACAAGAAGGAAAATGAATGTAGTCTGTGAAAAGAGAAGTTTGATCAATGAATACATTTCATCTTTATATCATGATACATAGCTTCCGCTTGCTTTCGAATTCATTTGCTCGATGTTCAAAACCGCTAACCAGCACGTCTTTCAATTCGTGATCTTGACAGTATTTGACCAAATCTTGGCAAGCTACCGATACATTGATGCGTTGAACTTTCGCTTCATTGCGCAACTCAGCAACAATTCTTTCTAAACGTTCCACACCCGCCATACTTCTCTCTACAATAAAATTCTTTTTATTGAAAAAAAAACATGCAACGCTACTTTACCTCTTTTGTTGAAATACAACAAATGCCTTGAAACGATTAAATGAATATAAAATATAAAATAATTGCTACTGATTGTACTACGTGTTATACATCAAGCTATGATTATGAGAATGTCAATAAACAGAAAAATTGAAGTAAGGAAACTATCACGTACTGATAATTTCTCTTCCTCGTGTAACGATATTCACAACACGTTGAAATTCTACCTCTTTGAATAATTCCTCATTAAACATAATGCGTCGTTTTCTGACGAACAAAAAGAAGTTTTTGCTTTTCTTAATCTAGTAATATTATATGAGTACAGATGAATAGTTAATCCTCTTCTATCATATCAAAAAGCATATGTTTAATGCACCGGATAAAAATGAGACTCATCTCTTCTCTCGAGACAGGCTTTTTATATGCGAATGATGAATAACAACATCCACTACATACGCTAATTACAAAGGTCAAATCTTTATTAATACAAAAAAATGTTAGATTCTTTTCTCTCAGAAATATCATATGAGCAAGATAGCTCAAATTTACCGTCACATCAACAACTTGCATAGAGAAAGAAAACAAATTATCTACGCTGCTTGATGAAGGATATTGTAGAGCAACGAGTTACAGACATACCAGTCGATACTATGCCATCAGACGATATCACAATCCAATATTTGAAGATTATGGCAGCAACAATTCTGTTGACTTCATCAATCATCAACTCGATTTTAGGAATCGTTGGTCTAACATTCAATATCTTTGTTTTTACTCGGCCATCTCTACGCTGTCAGCCGTGTTCATTCTATTTTTTATCTTCAACATTCTTCAATTTCTTTGTTATACTAATCATCATTCCAACACGTATTCTTTCGAATATTTACGATATTGATCCAACTAATTACAACGACAAATACTGTAAGATCGAAAGATATCTGTTTTATTCTACTCGTACGATACCTTGTTGGCTGATTGCCTTAGCAACAATCGATCGTTATCTACATAGTTCGTTGAATTCATCATTCCGTGAAATGAGTTCGTTGAAAATAGCAAAATTAGCAACTGGATGCACGAGCTTGTTTATTTTCATTGTTTATAGCCACATGATCGTTTACTACGGAATTCATGATAGAATAGACCGATTTGGTCAAATTTCATCTCAGTGTAGTGGTTCGCCAGGCATTTACAGCACATTTCTGAGTATCTGGCAGATGTTATTCTACTCAGTTATTCCATCATCTACCATGCTTGTTTTCGGCTCTCTGACAATAAAAAATGTTCGCGAACGATGCCAAACTATTCCGAGAGCTACGGAAAAGAATCGATACAGCAGACGAACAGATTTTCAACTGCTACGCATGTTAACAGTTCAAGTATTAGTGATCATTGTATGTACTTTACCAGTATCGATATATCGAGCATATATGGCAATAACGATAAATGACATGAAAAATGAACTACGACTTGCGCAAGAAGAATTAGCTTCTCAAATTGTACTTTCGCTAACCTATTTTGCACATTCAACAAGTTTTTATATGTATACACTTTCCGGTACGATATTTCGTAAGACGTTGATGAANTGTACTGTCTATGTTAATAAAAACATGCGCACCATCCGAGCAGAGCAGAAAACAAAAACACATGTGCTATTCTATAAATATGCACGAACTGATTGATACTAAACCCCTGTCTTTTTTTTATCCTTGGTAAGCCATGTCTAACCAAAACATTATATACAATATATGTGAACGAAGCATGAGCGTTCGTTCGTTTTTTCCCTGCTTGCTCAACCGGTATAGTTGTTAAAAATCCTTTCTATTGCATTGCATGTAGCTTTTTTTTCTGTTTTTTCTTGCGTAGCGAATATCATAATGGACGTGATTTTCAGTTTTGAATTCACAAATACATGTGTGCGCTTCGCTTTAATAAACGCTTGTTGAACAATGTTCGCCACTTTTGACGATAATTAAATATTAAGTAAAGAGCTTTTTCAGAGAATGAAAAGAAAGCGACGTCATAGAATTTTGGTAAAATAAATATTAAACATAACTGTGTAAGCAGAAAAAGAAGTAAAACATGCTGTGGGCAATTATTATTTTATCGTTATCCGCAATTGCTGATTGCGTGAAGCTCGGGAAAGCGGATAACTATATAATGATAGGGAATATCAATAGAACACTGGTAAATGTTACGATAGATCAATGCAAGTGCGAAATGCTACAATTAAACGAGACGATTTGCGCTTTGAATTATTTCCTAACAAATCAAAGTTGTCAAATATTGTGTTCTTATACAAATGCAATACAAGTGCAATACCAGTCATATTCTACATTATTATTTTTTAATCGATCATTAATATCGATTACTGCTAATCAAGTAAATGGTAAGCACATATATAAGTAGACCATATACTGATCTTCACACACAACACAATGCTTTCGTTAATTGTATGATCGACATGAGATAGAATAGAGGGAAGAAACCAACTCACATAATGTAACTATATGGAAAGATATTTGAACTTTAACCACTCGCTGAAGAATAGGAAAGTGGGAATTCATGACTGTTACAGGCATGTACACGTATACATGCCTTCACACCCTTCTCTTCATTTGTTTCTGTTATCATCATGATACATGTTTTTTCATATCGTTTCGAATAAACAGATTGAGTTTCGTCTCTCGAGTGAAGACACCGCTAATCATGACTGATAGTTTTTATTTTGCTATTCTCTGAATTATATTTTACAGTTCAGACACTGTTGACCATATCATCAACATCCTCATCGTCAACTACATCGTCATCAACAACAACATCGTCTGCGTCGTCGTCGTCCACATCATCAACAACAACAAGAACAACAAGAACAACATCATCATCATCAACAACAACAACCACCTCGTCATCAACATCAACAGCAACAACAACAACAACAACCACCTCATCATCAACAACAACATCGTCTGCATCATCGTCGTCCACATCATCAACAACAACATCGTCTGCGTCATCGTCGTCCACATCATCAACAACAACATCGTCTGCGTCATCGTCGTCCACATCGTCAACAACAACAACAACAAGAACCACCTCGTCATCAACATCAACAGCAACAACAACAACAAGAACTACCTCATCATCAACTACCTCCTCGTCATCGACTAAAACATCAACCTCTTCATCATCTTCCACGACATCATCATCATCATCATCAACTTCTTCTTCGTCATCAACTACAACATCCTCGTCTTCGTCATCGTCTACAACAACAGACGGTAAGATCTAAGCTAGCAATATTGCTTCCATTCTTGTTGTCAAGCATCTCATTCAAATTTGATCTACAGTTCGTGTATTTCGCACATAATTAACCAGGCGAGAACTCCATTAACAAAAAACAGAGAGAATTTGTTCATAGCGATAATTGAGATTAAAAGATTACGATTGTATCATCGGACATGAAAAAACTTTATTTTCTCTAGTCTGTACCAATCAGTTGTTCTATTACTGGATCAATTACACAGTAGGTACTGCTCCGAAATCAGTCGTCATAGCCGACGTGACCAAAGATAATCGTTCCGATATCATTGTCGCAAATACTGTCTCGAACAATATTAGTGTGCTTTTCAATGTGGTCAATGGCACATTCATTTCTCAAACTAGCTTTGGAGTCACTCATGTAGCAGCAATAGCTGTCGGCGACGTGAACAATGATAGCCGACCAGATATCGTTGCCACAAATACTGATAAGGACGTCAAAATTTTCATGAATCTCGGGAACGGCACATTTGTGTACTCAAAAGGATATACTGTTGGCTATGGCCCGCTCTCTCTCGTGGTTTCTGACGTGAATGGTGATCTCATCCCTGATATTGTTGTAACGAATCAATGGGGAGCCAGTATCAATGTTCTTCTTAATGACGGTAGCGGCGCGTTCCCTGTCGTGACAATGTACCCAGTTAATGCTCAACCAGCTTCAGTTGCAATTGGCGACATCGATAACGATAAAAGGCCTGATATTATTGTTGCAAATTCTGGATCGAGTAGTATTAGTATACTTCGCAACGTCGGCAACGGAACATTTGCTGCTCAAATATCTCAGTCAGTTAGTAATAATCCATACTCAATTGTGGTTGTCGATATTAACAATGACAGCACCTCTGACATAATCATCGCAAATTACGATGCGAACAGTATTACTGTGCTTCTCAATGCGGGTGCGGGTGCATTTTCTCAGCAGCTAACTTATTCGGTTGGGACCCATCCATCGGCAATTGCAGTTAGCGACGTGGACAAAGATAACCAGCTTGATATTATCGTTGCAAATCAAGATACAAATACTATTGGCATTCTGCAAAATATGGGCAACGGCACTTTTCACAGTCAAATAACATATTCAGTTGACTCTCAGCCGTCTTCAATTGCAGTTAGCGACATTAACAACGACGGAAAAGTGGATATTGTCGTTGCAAATTCTGGTTCGAATAATGTTGGCGTTCTATTACACTGCTAAACTCTGAAGACTCTGCCTTCTCTGCATTGTACTCATCAATATAATAAATTTCTCGATTCTAATAAAATAAAATCATCCTGTCACATACGTATATTGCCGCCGGAAAAAAACTGAGTTAGAGTTAGATTTCCGTATAGATTATCTCTGTGCTTTGTCGAATGGTGTGATATTGAAATATATATTTCGAAATGTACATCAAGTTATCACTTAGATTTATTCAGAACGATGACAAGAAGGAAAATGAATGTAGTCTGTGGGAAGAGAAGTTTTATCAATTAATACATTTCATCTTTATATCATGATACACAGCTTCCGCTTGCTTTCGAATAGATTTGCTCGATGTTCAAAACCGACAACCAGCACGTCTTCCAATTCGTGATCTTGACAGTATTTGACCAAATCTTTGCAAGCTACCGATACTTTGATACGTTGAATTTTCGCTTCATTGCGCAACTCAGCAACAATTTTTTCTAAACGTTCCACATCCGCCATACTTCTCTCTACAATAAAATTCTTCTTTATTAAAAAAAAACATGAAACACTGCTTACCTCTTGTGTTGAAATATAATAAATGGCTTGAAACGATCAAATGAATACAAAATATAAAATAATTGTTACTGATTGTGCTACGTGTTACACATCAAGTCATGATTATGAGAATGTCAATAGACAGAAAAATTGAGATAAGGAAACTATCACGTACTGATAATTTCTCTTTCTCGTGCGACAATATTCACAGCACGTTGAAATTCTACCTCTTTGAATGATTCCTCATCAAACATAACGCGCCGTTTTCTGACGAAGAAAAAGAAGACTTTGCTTTTCTTAATCTCGTAATATTATGTGAGTACAGATGCATAGTTAATCCACTTCTATCATATCAAAAAGCATATATTTAATGCACCGGAAGAAATGAGACTCATCTTTTTTCTCGAGACAGGCTTTTTATATGCGAATGATGAATAACAACATCCATTACATACGCTAATTACAAAGGTCAAATCTTTATTAACACAAAGAATGTTAGCTTTTTTTCTCTCAGAAATATCGTATGAGCAAGATAGCTCAAATTTACCCTCACATCAACAGCTTGCATAGAGAAAGAAAACAAATTATCCACGCTGCTTGATGAAGGATATTGTAAACCAACGAGTTAGAGACATACCATTCGATCCTATGTCATCGGACGATATCACAATCCAATACTTGAAGACCATGGCAGCAACAATTCTGTTGACTTCATCAATCATCAACTCTATTTTAGGAATCGTTGGTCTAACATTCAATATCTTTGTTTTCACTCGGCCAACTCTACGCTGTCAGCCGTGTTCATTCTATTTTTTATCTTCAACATTCTTCAATTTCTTTGTTATACTAATCATCATTCCAACACGTATTCTTTCGAATATTTACGATATTAATCCAACTGATTACAACGACAATTACTGTAAAATCGAAAGATATCTATTTTATTCTACTCGTACGATACCTTGTTGGCTGATTGCCTTAGCAACAATCGATCGTTTTCTACACAGTTCGTCGAATTCATCGTTCCGTGAAATGAGCTCGTTGAAAATTGCAAAATTAGCAACTGGATGCACGAGTTTGTTTGTTTTCATTGTTTATAGCCACATGATCGTTTACTACGGAATTCATGATAAAACAGACCGATTCGGTCAAATTTCATCGCAATGTAGTGGTGCGCCAGGCATTTACAGCACATTCCTGAGTATTTGGCAGATGATATTCTACTCAGTTATTCCATCATCTACCATGCTTGTTTTTGGCTCTCTGACAATTAAAAACGTCCGCGGACGATGTCAAACTATTCCGAGAGCTGCAGAAAAGAATCGATCCAACAGACGAACAGATTTTCAACTGCTACGTATGTTAACAGTTCAAGTATTAGTGATCATTGTATGTACTTTACCAGTATCGATATATCGAGCATATATGGCAATAACGATAAATGACATGAAAAATGAACTACGACTTGCGCAAGAAGAATTAGCTTCTCAAATTGTACTTTCGCTAACCTATTTTGCTCATTCAACAAGCTTTTATATGTATACACTTTCCGGTACGATATTTCGTAAAGCGTTGATGAAACTTTTCGAACGTTAGTGGATTCTCGATCAAAAAAGACAATTAATGTAGCTGTTAGTTGTTGAACGATTCATTGTTTATTTATGTTATTCATTTCAGCGCGTAACAGAAAGATACTATGTACAGTTCGCAAACGAAGATCTCCAACCACGTCCATTGGCTTATCAACGTGGAAAAGCAAACAAATAATTTGATAAGTCAAATATTTATTTAAATTAAATGAAGAAAGATTTGTTTTATACATATAAAAAATGTTTTTTTTCCTTTCTATGACTATCTAATAATTACTCATACATGAAAATCAGAAATAGACGTTTCTACCTCTATCGTTCCACCTCAATTGACACAGACAGGAGGCTTTCCTGTTGACCACTCACATGTCTTTTTGCATTCTTCAACTGGTATCCACTTTCCACCTGTTGCGCACTTGACAATTCGAGCGCCCTCGTGGAGCAAACATTGTTGGGCATCGACAGGCCGGCAAACACCATTATTTGTCTTGCATGCGCAATCATTGGTGCTGTTACCACCAAAGCGATGTTCATCAGAGTGGACAGCGTCACTATCTACTGTTCTTTTGATAGTGCTCCCTTTTTGAAATTCTTTGTCCTTGTTGATTGCGGCAAAGAGCTTTCCAAGATCGAATGTTTTTGAACCTTTGTGCATAGAACCAAGTTCTGCCATTAAATTTTTCGTATAAGGACTTCCAGCGTTCTCAAGATCCGAATCATCTGCAGTTTCTTGAGTTTCTTGTTCTTCATCAACAGTTGTCGGCACTTCGACAGCTCCATTCTGACCATTTTCACCGTTGGGTTGCGCTGCTTCAACGATAGCCTTCACTTTGCGAACTAATTCATGGTTATCGACGACTGCCTCTGGTTTGCGGGTAGTAGTGGTAGGTTTCTTCACTAGGTTTTTGTCGTTGACTACTTTCATGAACTGGTCTACATTGAAATTCGTAAAATCTGTTCGCATTGAATCAAGTGCACCGAAAACGCTCTTTGTATAAGGATCTTCGTTGGTTTTGTTAGCTTTGGGTTTTTCTTCATTTTCTTCGACCTCATCAGTATTGTCTTCTCTTTGTGCTAATTCAATAAGATCAGATCTTGTTGCATTTTCAACATGAAAATGCGTCTTTATTTCGCTTCCTACAAGTTCGAATTTCATTAGAAATTATTAGGACAATTTAAACAGCAAAACTCTACCTTCCTTGGAAACAGTTATCTTGACATTATGTGCTGTTGAAGTTTCTGTTAAATCGGCTTGAACTCGGGAGAAAACAGCACACATCACTACGATAGCCAAAGAAACCAAAGCACCGCGACAGCAAGATGCCATTTCTAAAAGAAATATCCATCAGAAACTTCAGACTAAAAAACTATCTCCATCTTACTGTTTGTTGTATACCTTGATTTGTGTACTGAGAATGAAAATGAAATCAGTGATATTCCCGATGATATTTATACGAGATGTAAACAGAGATTACATGATTAGATTTCACATCGTTTCAGTCAATGAAAACAAGGACGCATCTTCGTATAGTCAAATTCACTTTTCGTCTTCGATTTTCTCCCGATATATTCGCTACATATATTCACATTGTTTTCTTTCTTTCCTCTTGTTATGTAAACACTCGATGTATGTAGACCATTGTGTAGAATTAACAAATCACATACTAAATAAATGAATGTGAACATAATTTATTTAAGTACATCGATTTTCGTTCGAAAATATCACTTAAAATATGCAGATGAAAACGCGTTTTCCCCTCTCACTACAAACCGAAGGATGTGAGCATTGCCAAATTCTTTCGTGATCAACAAATAGATGTATAAATACCAGAAGAGCACCTTCCATTATGTGTCTAACGATCGAATTGTTGTAGAAATGATCAAGAACAAAAATCGAATAAAACAACGAACTATGACCATCTAAACAAATTTTTCCAGTAATACTTCGAATTGTAGCTGTATTTCATGCGTCAAGCACTCGCTGACTTATTCATCCAGGCAAATTCTCTTTTCTTTGTTTTTCTCTACTAGTCGTACAATATCTTATCGTCCTCTCGATGTTACACTGAATAGAAACGAAACAGAAGTATCGAGAAAGACCAAAGAAAAAGATTCATACGATATTACTATCCAGAAAACTACTTTGATCGATCTCATGTTTCTCCAACTATATAAATTTCTGTTCGAACTGTGTCTTTCTCGCCTAGGTCAATGGAGCAGCACGCTTTGGACCCGGAAAAGACTTGAATGTTATAGATAATCATTCTGTTCTCGTTTTCTGCTCTGTTCGAATAGATTTTTATCCTCATTCACATTAGAAGATTCGAGCAACGATGAATCTTTTTCTCCATGATGAGAATGATCTTTTTGCAAACAAAAATGCTTGCGATGAAACATCATATTCGATATAAAATTGCAGCCACGATTTACTCATACAGTAAGAAAAGATTTGTCGAGTATAGAGGCTGCCTGATCCTATCTCGAAGCGAGTGTTTCTCGCATCAATTGTATCAATATATTCCTGCTTATTTACCTCACCCGTTGTGAAATATAGATTCAACTGCGGTGTGGCTAGTATCCCGTGAACGCATGAAGAGTGGAATAGATTTTTCTACGTAGAAAGCTTCCTTCATACCGTACACGTGTTGAGTGAAAGATTTGATATTTCTTTCAACTTTATGCGATATGGGTGAGGCAGAGGGATTCATTCATTCCATTCTGAACAAGCAACAAAATATTCTGATTGACGTCATACTACATATGCCTTGAATAGATACATTCTTATAATCCCACTAATGTAAAGTCACGAGCAAAAAGTGCTGTGAAAGTATAAAATAAATCGTTAGACATCTGCCATGTTATTTTCGTGTAATTTTTATCAAAATAATTAATGTGACTCGATGACGACCGTTAATAAAGACGTGTTTCATCATCACCTTCACCCTCAAGCACTTTTCCGCCCCGTTCTGTAGTTCATCACGAAAACGACAAAAAACACTACGAAGATATTTATGTACAAAAGAACACCAAATACACTATAAGTATGTTAATTAGTATGAGGAAGGAAAGAGAAGAGAAGAAATTATGCTTCTCACATATATTCGCTAGTCGATCCCAATCAAGTATTCATATATGTAATACTTAGAAGTGCATACCCATGCATGTTGAAGTTCATCAATCGGAGCCTATTTTACCGTTCACTTTTTTGAAAAATTCCTCTTTTTCGTTCTTGGCGATGCAATTTTGCCGTGCATAACATACAGAATTATCTTCATATCGAGATTTATTATGAGCTGGTGCCAATTTGCTTGTGCCATTTGACGGTGACATGGTCGAAGAAAACGAAGAAGGCGGACTTTTAGAATTGTGCCGAAATTGATCCCGAAGGAACCGAAAGAGAATCGTTGAGCTGGTAATGACAGTACTTGCCAAACCAAGGGCGACGGCTGTACGCTGTCCACGCTCAACCGTATGATAATACAATTGATTGAAGAGACTTAAATTCTTAAATATATGCTTTTCCAAGCCAGGATAAAATAATGCATGGACCTTTGCCACCAAAAACATTTCTTCTCTTGAATTCAATTTGTTCTGCGTAACCCGTTTGTAAAGATCTTCATTTCCAGATTGATCATTCAAGGAATCTTGATATTTTTGGCGAAAAGACGACAAGTTGATATATCTGTCACAATTTTGTGTTTCGTCGAGAAGTGAAACGAATGCTGATGCGTTGAACCCTTCATCATTATTCGTCTCACTTTTCATATTTGTTAACAGTGTCCAGAAAAGTTCATAGCATGTATCGTGATCCATAAACTCCTTGCTGCTGGCTGATCCTTTTTGCATAGTAGTATTGTTAAAGTCGTAGATCCGGATGAAGTGGAAATCTTATACTGAAACAATAGAATGGCATTCGAAGATAGAGATCTTGCAAAGCTATGATGAGTTTTCCACAGCGTCAAGTGTAAACGATCGAAAATGAGACACTTGACAACTGAATAGTCAGACTAGTTATTTCTTCCAAATTCACGATGATGCACACACATACGATATGCAATGTGGTGAAAAATTATAGGATTATATGAGCATTCATCGTTTTTCTATATCGAGGTGAATTTGGTGTAGATATTGTTCAGTACATTTATATATAGATACGGGTTGTCTTGGCAAACACTCTTGCAAGAAAAGATTTAAGAAGATATTTTTATTCGAACTGCAAAAGAGATGTTACCCACTATGCTAAAATGACTTGAGAACACCATATGAAGACGGTATTCTGAATTGAATGACAAGTGATCGAAATGAAATTCCCCTCCGACGCTCAGAATTGTCCAGAGAACGTATTCTACAGCAAAAATGAGCATTCAGAAGATCTACTAATTGATTTCCTCAATAATTTGACGCCGTAAGTAGCATCTTGTGACCGGATACGCGATACAGCATACGTACATTGATAGCAGAGATTAAATGATGAATCCTAGAAAATAGATGGCATACTCATTCACACACGAGTATTTTATAGTTTTCAAGTAAACGCCATATTTCTTGTAACTGTATCGCAATAATGAGGAAATCAATTAGTTGACCTTCTCAGTGCTCATTTTTGTTGGAAAATATGTACTCTGTGCGAAACCGAACACTGAAAGTGACATCCATTTCGAAATCGATTCAAAGTCATCTCGGTAAGAAAAAAAATGAATACTCACTGGATTCTATAGGTTTGCAGTCGAAAATTGTTGATGAATTTTCTGTGATATTTTTTTCTTTTCAACTTAACAACTGATATCTGAGAGACTAATCACATATCTAGATAGCGTTTCTCTACGTGCACAATCTGACATGAACTGGATTGGCATAGTATAGCAAACACAGCGACGTGATTCTATAATTTTTCACGAACACAACTTTTTTTAATGAGTCTGAAATTTTAGCTTGTTGTTCTTGAACGGATTGAAAGCATATCGCTTTTCTAGCGTTTACGAGCACAATCGTATATGAGAACTCTTCAGAGCTATGAAGGTAGTACTTTCCTAGATGCTCTGCTGTATATGTGATATTCTCGGGTTTTCTCCATTCTATGATATGAAGACTGTTCAGTTCAACACAAACATGCTTTAGATATCAAATTGAAAAATTCGACTTTCAAAAAACTCAACATTACGTACCACAGATGATTAAATAAATAACATAAAAGATAGTATGTTCTAGACAAAAGACCAATGGACAAGGAGTGTTTTTCTTAGGGAAACGGGTTGAGAAAAAAAAAGGGTAAATAGAGTCGTTCGCTACTTTCATTGGTAGAGCTATCCAACTACTTTTAAATTAGTCTCTCATGTGAAAAAGAAATTTTGTTGTTGTTGTTATACTAACGGAAAAAGGAGAAAGTAATTATTAAAGAGTTTCATATTTACTTTCATGACGGAAAAAACCTTTACCGTGATTTTCTTTCCTTTCACTCGAGAATGAGAAGAGGGAGAGCTCCAATGATCATCCAAGTGCTGTATATACTTCAAAAAATGAAAAAATAAGTCTTAACATGGGAGCCATACTTGAAATTAAAACATTTTCAATATAAATCAGTAGTAGCAGCCCAAATGGAATTGAATTGTTCCGCGCGTTACAAGACAAAAGATTCACTTTAGATGGAATCATACTCATACTGAGAATTTTTTTGTCATTGAAAAGTTTGCATATTACAAGACGATAGGCGATGTAGACTTGTGTATTCTTCGGCAGTTTAGTCTGGCAACAGTGTTTTGGAAACTTCGCTGGCCTTATTAACCAAGGGGAGTTGGATGGTTTTTTCGCCAAACGAAACGATCTCCTTGCTTGTTTACGGATATCAGTTTGTTATCGACTTCTCCATATATTTCAAAGACTTGTTCTGGGAAATTTGATGACGTTTATCAATCCAAAGATGACTTCGGTTAAATTCACCTAAATCTCTCTTCTTTCGGTCTCTCCTAGAGATGCTAATTCTGTCTTTGTCTTATTCGGATTCTATGAATGTACTGTGTAGATTTTCAGGATACTGACTAATACATTTACTACCATAATGGATCGTTCTAAATCTAAACTACATTGATGGATAGTTCGATGACAACAGATATACTGAATACATAGCAAATTAGATCGACAAACAAACTTCTCTTCTTTGCACCTCTAGAAGGAAGATATGGAAATATATTCTGTAGATCGGCAATCCAACGACTAGCTGCGCTCATCTTCGAACTCGAGTGAAATATCAATTAAAATAACACTATGCACTAGATGTAATAACAATCGGATAAGTTGCTCAGAGGCTGTGGTGTGAATGGACGAATAGTGATGCTAGAACATGGGTTAGATATACTTGATCAAAATCTTCATTCTCATTTTACACCTTCATATGAACTGGGATATAATAAAACGCAAATTAAATACTGTATGATGAGTACTACGGAGTTGCTAAGGCAGGTAATCAACGCCTGTCATACAGAATTGAATGTATAACATAATTAATACTTCTCAGTATCTGCGGCAGGGATATATAAATAAGGTCTTTTCAAGCACTTGCAGATTCATTATTCAGCAATTCTAGACTACTCAAAGAGAGAGAAACTTCTTTCACAGATGTCTACTATTGAACCATGGTTTATTCCATTTGATATTTTGTCACTTATCAGCACTACTTTAGCTGCTTTATTGGCTTTGATTTATCTTCTCATTATCATTTTTGATAAAACATGCCATACAGTTTCAATGATGTTAGTTGCCAACACTTCATGCGCGATTATCCTCTTCTCATGTAGCATGTTTAGTGAAACGCTATTTACACTACAAAATGATCTTCAACAAGTTCAAACTTACGATATTTCTTGTATTATTCGAGCTCCTTTTGGTTACAGTGGATGCGCAATATTAAATTTTTCATTTACTTCACAAGCATTCTATCGATATATGCTTGTAGTTTATCCAACTCATGTATTCTATCGATCCTACAAATTTCAGTTGTTACTAGTGATTATCATGTGGATATATGGTTTTCTCGTCCCTGTCGAATTCGTTGTACGAGGTGAAGTGACATACGATCCCAACAATCAAATCTGTCAACTACCACTTGGACTATCGTTCTCTATTATCTACATGGCTAGCTGTATTTATGTATTTCCGATCTTCATAACAATGATCATTTATTATAAATTAATTCGTTATGTTAAGTATATGAATGCTCGAAGCACATCTGTTAACACTGTGTTACGTGCACGGTATGAATTGAAAATGGTGAGCCGCATAGTTATCATAATACTGATTCTATTAGCTCTTGGTTTGACGTACTTTATCTTCATTTTAATGTCGTTTTTTACAACTCCACCAAAGTACCATTTTCGAATTGCAATTACACTTCTCAACTTATCGTTGACAAGTATAACGATTGTTTTATTTTTATTCACGGATCAACTAAAGCGACTGGTGACGAAAAATAGAAGGATCGAACCGGATATCAATACGGTTTTCGTTCTTCAAACGGCAATTCATTAACGATGAATTTACATGCGAGATGCCGGATCACCTAAAAGACGTCTTTTTTTATGTCGTGTTATCGTCATATTGTTATGCGTGCCATACATAATTTTCTTTATCAAATAAGCAGCAAAGAGATGTCTAATGACGACCTATATTTCCGGATAAGAATCGTGCTTTATTCTTCATCAACTTGCTATTCATGATTAAAAGGTTGATAGTACAATTCATGAGCCGCATTTAGAATATTCTCATAGGAAAGTGTTTTCGAATTAGCATTTATTACGATGTTCGACGAAAGTTTAATTGGACCAGGTGAATTCGACACTTTCTCATCGATTTGGCATACCCGTCTTACTTAAGTCGCTTTGAAATACGCTATACTATTTAATACAATATCCATAGTCAAGTTCAGTGAATTTTCAAAAACAGTCTATCCAGTGATGAATTCTATTGTAAGAAAAATGAACATAACTAAAGGAGAAGACAACATTTAGTATGGTTGGACGTTTGTCTTTTCATAATATATGACGACTGTTTGGTGACGCAAACACTATATACCATGAAGTACTGCGAAGTACAAAAGCTGACTAACATATTGAAAGTGTATTATGATAAGTTCTATAGTAAATAATCGTACAATGATGAATAGTTGTCATGAGAATATTGACATGTGTTCCATCACTGTTTATATCAAATTGTGTTATCACCAAGCTAATCTTCTGTACACCTGTAAACGTCTAACATGGAGATCTTCCCAGTAGTTGTCTGTTATACGAAGACACATGCTTGAGAAGTTAATCTGAAATTGTCATTTTCAACCTCGCATAAAGACAATCATGATGAAATAGGAGCGTGATAAAATGCATGCTCATCTAATACAGTTTGACAGTTCCTGTGTAATTCTTAAAACAGGAAGTAGGGAGCTTCTTTCTAAGACCACGTGCATAAGGATGTGCAAGAATAGCGTATTCAAACATCCACGTATTTGTCACCTGAATTTTCCAGAGCTTTGGAAGAAGAAAACAGGATGCAGAAAAGAAAGAACTTTTTTCAGTGATGTCCATTGTTGAATCATGGTTTATTCCATTCGATATTGTCTTAGTTATCAGCACTGGTTTCACTGGTCTATCAGGAGTTACTTTCCTACTCATTATCATCTTTGATAAAATATGTCACACTGTTCCAATGCTATTGATCGCCAATACATCATTGACTGCGGTTCTGTTTGGATTTAGTATGTTCAGTTTGGCAATGTTCACACTACAAAGTGATCTTCGGCAAGTTCAAACGCACGATGTATTTTGTGTCGTTCGCTCTTACATTGCTTATGGTGCGTGTGCAATATTCAATTTCTCATTTGCTCTACAAGCATTCTATCGGTACCTACTGATCACCCATCCGAACCGACTACTTTATCAATCAGCAAGATTTCAGTTGCAACTTATACTTCTCACCTGGACGTACGGCTTCATTGTTCCCATTGAGTTTGTTGCGCGAGGTGAAGTCGTGTACAGTGTAGACAATCAAATATGTCAAATACCACTTGAACCATCGTTCTCTATTATCTACATGGCTAGCTGTGTTTATGTATTTCCGATCTTCATAACAATGATCATTTATTATAAATTAATTCGTTATGTTAAACATATGAATGCTCGAAGCACATCTGTTAACACTGTGTTACGCGCACGGTATGAATTGAAAATGGTGAGACGCATAGTTATCATAATACTGATTCTATTAACTCTTGGTTTGACGTACTTTATCTTCGTTTTAATGTCGTTTTTTACAACTCTACCAAAGTACCATTTTCGAATTGCGTTCATGTTTCTCGATGTGTCGATGGCATGTGTCATGCTTGTTGTGTTTAAATTTACTGATCATTTGCGAAGTTTTATGAAAACTAGAAGGAACATGGAGCAAGGCACGGTTGCAGTTATATGGATCGGATCTTGATTAAAATAGAGCAATATGAACAATAGCTGTCGTGAAATTACTTCTCTTGTGGTGAAAGTAGGACCATCTAACTTCTTTGTCCTCCTTCGAATAATAAAAGGAAAAGAATTGTTTATTATTACAATTCCAAATCAATCCAGTAAGATAATATGTGTCTAATTATGCTTGGCACTTGTACTTTAGCACTAGCTTTGTTTGTTCATGCAAGATGTGTTACATTTATCTGTCCATGTAAACATGGAACAGGAGAATGCGCTTTAATATATCGTGATTCTGGTACAACATGTAAAGACATCATAATTTGTCAGCCTCTGGCTTTAGTCAAGATGCCTCGACTCATTAGACAGAAATTTTAAAGACGAGAAGATCACTCTATCTGGTGTAGAAGGAAACTCGATTATAATTAGGCTCGTTTACCACGGTGCATTCAATTTTGATCGTAATGCATGACATCTTACAAAAGTAAAAATATCTAATAGTTTAGATGGATTCACTAATCAGTATGTTTTTGTCAGACAGGGATCGTAGTTTTGTTGATAAACCCCGTCGTAATTATGGCAATTGAAAGTGAACAAGCGAATTTATTGACATTCTTTCACTGCACTGCAGTTTTCTGTACTTTTCAGGGAGGTAGCGGAGAATATGTTTTTGGCTAGAGAGTGCTCATCAAGCTTTATTTGGAACACGTAAGTGTAGGGATTCGTGCTTAACAAACTCTAAGTTAAATTTAGAACCGACTGCAAGTCTTATGGTGACTATGTATCTGATAATCTCGAATGTGTTTCATTCGATGATATGAAAAAGAAAAAGAATGACAAATTGTATTATAAGTCAATAGTCCTTCATGTGAAATGCATAAAAACCTTTTTTTCATCGCGTATGATAAATATATGAACAATGCGAACAGAAAAAAAATTTAAAGAAATGCTGATTATTAGCGCCCTCTTTTCTCTGTATATTTTTGTCATACGTCAAATGCAAACTATACTTCAATACGATAGCGACTTCCTTTTGCTCCCAGTTTCGTCATAAATACTTACCCAATTTTACCTATTTCATCATCCGAATCCATTTATTCTTGGAGAATTTCATTACTTATGGAGTTATATATAAAGACATAGTTTGAAAGTCCCTTTAAATTACTTCTGTTTAATCTTTGTATACCGTTTGACAAGTAAAACTAATCAAATCTGAAAATCAATCATGACTACATATACCACGCTTAGTCAACCTCAGTTAGCCAAACAATCTACAGTTGATCTGGTCCGTGAGCGGAGTTCACAACTGTTTCAAATTTCTTTTCATGTAATTCGTGGTTTTAGGATCTCAGTAAATTATCGCCATTGACACCTGAAGTTATTAGTCGACAAGCAACAATAAATATTGGCACAATTGGCCATGTCGCACATGGTAAATCAACAGTCGTTAAGTCATTATCTGGTGTATCAACAATTCGATTTGAAAAAGAAAAGAAAGAAAACAAGACCATCAACTTAGGTTATGCAAATGCAAAAGTATGAAGATCTAGAAGAATCGTCTTCAGACCGCAAAGAATTTTCTCTTTTCGATTAGATATTCGAATGTGACAATGCAAAATGTCCTCGCCCAGAGCGCTTTCGTTCGGCTGGTTCAAGCAAACAAGATGTCTTTCCATGTGATCGCAATGGTTGCGGTGGTCAATTTCGACTTGTCCGACACGTATCGTTCGTCGACTGTCCTGGTCACGACGTTTATATGGCCACTATGTTGAACGGTGCTGCTATTATGGATGCCGCTCTTTTACTTATTGGTAAAGAAAACGGTTATTTCTTTCTAGACTAGAAACGAATTGCTCTTTTCAGCTGCGAATGAAACTTGTCCGCAACCACAAACATCCGAACATGTCGCAGCTATTGGTATTATGAAACTGAATTCGATATTGATCTTACAAAATAAAATCGACCTTGTAAGAGAAGCTCAAGCGAAGGAACAATATCAACAAATTAATAATTTTATTAAAGGTATAGATTCTCTTTCCTTTTCATTTTAAACGAACTCGAATGTTGTCATTCGTATCATTAGGTACAAATGCTGAAGATGCTCCAGTCATCCCAATCAGCGCACAACAGAAAATCAATACTGATATTATTTGCGAATATATTACAAAAAAGATTCCAATACCGTTACGAGATTTTTCATCAAAACCACGATTGATTGGTAAGAACATGAACGTTAACATTTTGTTTTTCGCTAACGGTAATTTCCTCGTAGTTATTCGTTCATTCGATGTCAATAAACCTGGAGCCGAAGTTGACAACCTGAAGGGTGGTGTTGTCGGTGGCAGTATTCTTAAAGGTGTTCTCAAAGTAAGCGAAAACTTCTCAATTGATCAGCAATGATAGATCTCGTATGAATTGAATTAGGTTGGTCAAGACGTTGAAGTGCGACCCGGTATTGTTTCTAAAGACAATGAAGGCCGCCTTCGATGCCGTCCGCTTCGTTCGAAAATCGTTTCACTCTATGCTGAACAAAACGAACTTGCTTTCGCTGTACCTGGCGGATTGATTGGTGTTGGAACAAAAATTGACCCAACGCTATGCCGTGCCGATCGTCTTGTTGGGCAAGTGCTTGGCGAAGTTGGAACGTTGCCAGAAATTTATACAGAAATCCAAATAACTTATTTTCTTCTTCGACGTTTGGTTGGTGTTAGAGATGGAGGCAACGGAGGAGACCCCAGGGTGAGATGTTCTATTTGATCGCCTAATCCATATGTTAAACCTGTTGTTTTACATGTAAGGTTGCTAAATTGGCAAAAGGTGAAATGTTAATGATTAACATTGGTTCCCTGAGTACAGGTGGCCGAGTATTGGGCGTAAAAGATGGCTTAGCCAAAATCCAATTAATGAATCCAGTTTGTACAGAAATATCTGAAAAGGTTGCTCTCAGTCGTCGCATTGACAAAAGTTTCCGTTTGATCGGCTGGGGTGAAATTCGACGAGGAACGGTGATTAACTCGCAATAGTAGAAATCTCGATACCACGAACAGCTCTTTAACAATTAGGACAATACATAAACAACATTCATTATTCTGTCGTGACTTTCCAATGTTTGTCAGATAACATCATTTATTAAGCAAGAATACTGTTTTGAAACTGTGTAGCTAAATTGACAATGTCAAAGCACAGTTTTTATCGATCTCATACCTCACCAAGATGATTGCATCACTTCGAACCTAATCGAAGCTCTCTAGTTTAGAATAGATTTCATTCCAAAGAGATCCAATATTAAAAAAAGTGATGTTTATGATGAAACCGACGATGTAGAGAAATTACTGCTCATAATTCATAACATTTATTTTGAGAACTTGCAATTCATGTGCAGTTTTCTTGTAAAACAGCATCCATATCTGTAACGGGATCCGACGTTCTTCTTAAATAACAGCTTAACGTACATCTGTATCGAATGCGTCGACAAACGCGAAAACTAATGATTCTATGTATCATCAACGAATCAGGCTTTTCATTTGTGACTTTGAGTTCTGTGCAGACGGTGTTCACATTTCTCTGACAAGGGTGTTTATTGCATATCGTGTCGTTTCACTCGGGGTTCGAGTTCAAGCTGTATTATTGTCCAGTAGGAATTCGATCCGGCAAATGATTCAAGTGTATATATGTTGCTTGATAAGCTTAATTCCATGTCTATAGAAAGATCAGATGAACGTTGTGGGTTGTGTTAGTGAAAAGAATGAGGCGACCGCTATGGTCAAAGTCAGATTTCACTATTATAATGAAAATATGAGACGCAAAAAAAGTTGAATATTTACTCAGCATACTTTCTGATTCACTCGAAATGATAACGATACTTTTCATATCTCGTCAATTTCACATGTAATTCTTTCTTTGAAACGAAATGAGTTTTATTCCGTCAAATCAATGTCGATTGGAAATACTTCCCAATGAACTTCTTATTGAAGTCTTTCAACACTTGAATTGCCGAACTCTTCGTGAATTTCAACGACTTAACCAACGTTTCAAGTCGATCATTAGCTGTCTCAATGTGTGTTTTGTTCTTCAAGATGAAAGCGATGATTTCAACGCATTCAATCCGACACAAATCGTTCGTGTAGAAATGAACTTCTGTTATCAATCTTTAAACTTTCAGCATTTGTCGAATATTCGTTCGCTGTCGCTTGATTATACTTATATGACAAAAGAACAAATCATTCAAGTAGAATAACAAAGTCTTTTCATGAAATAAAACTTGATTTATTTAGATAACTCAACTCGATATGTTTCATCTCGAACGGCTTTCAATTGAAAATATCATGTCGAATCTAGGTGAAAGATTACTTCATACGAGTGCTCAAGGTGAACATTTTCCATCTTTGAGAATTCTCCAACTTGGACTAAATACTTCTGATCAATTACAACTCCTTCCGAAAAGAACAACATCAAATAATCGTGTTCGGTGTCTCATTATTAATCGATGGAAATGGTCGAGATTACATTTTCTCTTGGAATTTTTTCCACACCTATCTTGGTTGGAAATAAATCTTGATGACAATCCCATTTCAACAATGAATTTGACTCAATCAAGTCATTCATTAACACGCTTCAAAATTACTCTTGAGCATTGCGATCCTTACCATTCTGATCGAATATTCCATCTAATGCCCAATCTGATTCAACTTTGTATTCGTGCAAATATAGGAACCAATCTTGCTCTTGTTTACTTTGTGAAACTAGCCAAATGTCTTTCATCTTATACACCGAATCTCCAATATTTCGATTGTGAAATCTACTGTTACACAGATGAAAATGAGAATACTGGCGAAGTTATACGAAAATATCATCAACTATTCAAACAAATTCGATGCCTCCGTGGAGAACATCAAAATCGGTGTTTTGCAACAGATATGCAAACTTACCCATACGGAAATCAATATGAAAGTAGAGGATTTTCATTACTAAAAAATATGACATTATTTTCCATTTAGTTATTCGAAAACCGGTTACTAAACGACCATCATTGAACAAGTATGGCATTCATTACAGCGACAGCGACGACAACGATGATGATATGTTTTTCTTAAAGTATAAGAACTACATGTGAGCTTCATCAATATTTTTAATTTAGAAGAAAAAATTTTCTTTTCAAATCGAAAGTAAAAGACTCCTCTCGCGGTCAGAATTCGTCGAAACATGTTCATATCAATATTTCAATTTTGTGTGCTGAAATAGTTCTAGTTCACTCATCATCTAACTACTTCTTTACATTCTACTCCACCGTGAAGTAAATCATGACGAAATTTTCCATTCAATCGTAAAAGAACATGCTTGACAGACAACAACAGAACACATTCGCATCTTTCAGGTTATAATTTATCTATAAAGGTCTTTCGTTTTCTGCCGTGGATCGTTACGGACAACTAACGGGATGGGACATAGCAGATAGGAAATACAATGAAAATGTATGAATGAAACATATCTTTTTTGAAGAGATAATGAAGAAGTTTATTGACAAAAAGAGTATTTAAACGGGGAAATAAAGTTCATGCTTGTTCATCGACAATTTTTCATTTTGAATTGCAACGACCACAACGTTTACAACTTTGTAGACCATTGAGACCAGGTAGAACTTGTAATTGTAAAATTTCACGAATGGTTTCACCTCTTGTGTGAACAGCATCCGAACTTGATTGATTGACTTCACATGATAAGGCCACTGCGAAGAAAACCATGCAGACAAGTAAGCCAATGAATAAAGCTTTCATTGTGTAACGAAGGTGGTTTGATAAATTGAAGGGAGGAACCAGCGAGTGTATTGAATGATGTTTTGCAGTAACATTGTCGATTTTATATAGCGTAGAGATATTTGGAATAAACCTTTACAAACAATACGAATATAATCAAACACATGGTTTTTTTCCCAAACGCATCGCTCGAGGCTTATCAAATAAACATAAATAGTAGTGAAAAACATGCCGTCATAGTCAAATATGTATACATAAGGGTAAAAACATACTCGTTTTGCAATGAATCTCGCCGTAAATATGACAGAACAGAAAAAATCTATGCGAGAGGAAAGGAAAAATCCGAATGACTCATGGTATTGTTGATACATAGAATAAAGGCATTTCGTTATGAAATCACATCTATGAGATATTTTTTTTCGTATTGATTCCAGGCTGTACATTCCTGTAATCAAAGGTTATTTCGTATCAATAATTTCCTTACGTGTACGTATAAATATAACCCTTCTGTTTCTATAGATTTCTTGCAGATATGCTTTTTATACTCTTCCTCCATTTGTTCATATTCTGTTCGTCCGCTTTTGATATTGTTCAATTAGCGGATGAAGATCTGAGGTATTTAAACGAACGATTACAATTGCACGACCATATGAGCCGCGAAGATGCACTGAACTCAATAATCGAATTAGAACATTTTTATACAGGATTAAAAAACGATTTGAATGGTTCACCGTCGGAAATGGTCGATAAAGCCTGGCATGCACATATTTTAAACACAAAAATGTATTTTCGATTCAGTGAACTCAACTTTGGAAGATATCTTCATCATCTGCCATTCTGGTCGGGAAATCAAGATGAAGCTGAAGAATTAAACGAGGATATATCGATGTTAGACAAACTGAAAATTCTCGGAATCCAAAACATGAACGAAACTGTTTGGACGTTGCAATTACATGAAACACCGTCGTCGGATGGCATAACGAATTGACAAAAAAATCAATTAAGAACTGTTTTTTGTTTAAAAAAAAAGCTTTAATGTATTTAAAATATATTACATTCTCAAATTCGCGTCTGTTTTCAAGGTTAAACTGTCACTGATAGTCGTTGCGTGCGTTTCACACAGATCCAAGACTTGTTTTGCATTCATACTTTCCAATCTTTCGATTGTTCCAAAGAATCGCTGTACATTCGGGTGGGTTCTAGCAACTTCTTTGATCGCTGCAGCCACATCTTCCCAAAACTTGAAAGGAATACGAAAGTTCAAGTGTTTTTCAGCACTTTGGAGGAACGTTTTACAATCGACATGATCCACGTTGTCAATATGATCTCGTACGAGATTTCGTCTCCATGGTGCCCAGAGAAACGATTTTCCGATGGTATCTGATGCGATGTCGATCACTTTGAACATTGAAGAAGCATTGATTTGAAAGGATGATAAGATTATTTCACCTTCCATGGCAGATCTGATCTTTTGCGTAACGTCATCGATTGACTTCATAAAATCCAATTTAATATATGACAACTTTGTTTCGTGATCGCGTAACGAATGAGCGAATAAGATGGAATAGTGACTGATATTATTGGAAGTATCAGTGATTGTCCAGTCGTTTTCGATTACGAGACCGAAATGGGTCGCAGTTTCATTTTGATTGATGGTATTTATAGCGGCAATTTTGCTCGGACGGGTAACTTTGATTGTTTTGCGATCTCCATTGACAAAAACCGAAACTGTCGTCGTGTTGATCGGTGTTAAGTCATCAAGTTTCTTTAAGCGTATTCCGTATGAAGCGGAACTTAAATCTTCCATCGTGACCTACAATGTCAATGAAACTTTCTCTATTGTATACAAAGAAATGACTATGAAAGAGTTATTACCTGTTATTGCAGATTTATATTTGAAAATTGTCTTCACACAACAGGTTTGCATGGAATATATGACGAAGAGAAAAATTTTGCGAATTTTCCCTTTTCTTCTCATTGGTAAAATCCAGAGATTATATGACAAGAACAAATACTTGCTTCGTCGTTGTATATATATTTCACGCTAGCGTTATTCTTGCTGTATGCAGGAAGAGAAAAATGAATCACACGGCGTTTACACAACATGAGTCATTCAATATTATGTGTTGGAATGTCATAATTTTTGCTCTATATTTTACTGTTTTATTCACTTTAAAAAGGTGGAACATTCGAACATTGCGATAAATTAACCTCGATAATAAAACAGACGAGTAAAGTCCCGTATTTGAAGCACGACTACTCGCTTTTGTATTTCTCGATTTCTATCGTGGAAAAGGAATGATTTGTGTTAAACTGCGTTCCATTTAACCGAGGTTTCCTTTTTCGTTAAAAAAAAAACAGAACTTGGACGTTTCTAACTTAGTCAATCTTTGTTTTTCGATAGCGATATAATCTGTCATGTTGCTTTTCATCATTTGGTTGTTATCTGTGACAAAGTGTATACTGACTTTATTTAAATTTAACGACAAAGAATCTCGCTAACATTTTAGAAAGAAACAAAGATAAACCAAACCTATACTGACTAAATCATTTGCTCAGTATTTTCAATGCCGAGTAGAGAAATAATCATATCGATCGCGACAACGAAGATTTTCAATATATTATTATACAACTCAAACGAGTTGCTCATTTTATTAATACATTTACAGATAATGACGAATGTGTCAACTTTATACTAAACAGTATTCTGAATTCAGTATATCTCAACCTTTCTGATTCACTGGGACAGTATCTTGTAACTTGCATACACGAGATTCGTCAGTTAAATTCGATTCTTATCTTCTATGAAAATAAACAGTATCACGAAAAATAGATGCGAAACTGGATTAAAGTAAAGCGTGATTTTATAGACACACCCACCCTCAAACTCAAAGATTTTCAAGTAAAAAACAGAACAAGTGTATCGAATGAAATTCGAAAGACATGAGTTAAAATTTAATTTATTTTCTCGGTGAAGTTTTCCTGCTCTGAATAGAATACTATAGCTTCTCTATACAAGAAATAGCACTAACCAAACATCCGATAATATTGCCTTCCGAGATGTGTTCTTGAAACTTCTTTGAATTGATTATAGCTTGGCAATCATTGAGTGCGAAACAAATGTACAATTTAGGAAATGAAAGATAAAACTCGTAGAGAAAAAAATGAAGTTCGCCGTAGAAATGAGAAAGTCAATTTTACTCATTAGCTCGCGCAAGAGTTTATTCATTATACAATATACTTTTTCTGTCTTACTTTTCGCAATTTGAATGAATGACTCTCAAACAACAACACTCGATTTTCTAGGACAATCGTGTACTTTTTCACTGTAAATTCTCATTAAACTCCATGATATAAAAAGCTGCGCGATATGCATTATTTTTATTTCGATGACCATGAAACAACTTTATTCCATTGTTTTTTATATATTCACGTAAGTTATGGATGCTCATATCGGTATTAACTTCATGAGCGCGTCTTTGCAGATTTTCCATCGAACAATGTTTGACATTCGGTGAAAATTGTCCGAAATCACAATGGTCATCAGATGCAACAACGTTAATCGACTCAACTAGCCTTTATTCCCCTCGAGATTTATATATTGACCAAAATCATGTTTTATACGTGTTAGATAGTGGCAACTACCGTGTGCAACGTCTTGTTCCCAACTCAACACTTGAACCAACATATTTAAACGCAACAACTGGATCAGTTTTCAATGAATTATCTTATCGTAAATCTTCGTTTTTTTTCTCTCTCTCACAAGAATCAAATTCAAATCCTTTTCTTTTAGTCGTTGCTATACAAGGTGATGCAAATGGAAATCTTTATATTCTTGATCGAGGTAATCTTCGTGTAGTCAAATGGTCAACAGCAAATATGAATGGAATAATTGTATTAAATGCCAACGGCACGGGGTATGGTGCAAATCAGCTATCGACACCTGCTGGCATGTTTATTGATATGAATACATCATTTATTTGGTTAGCTGATACACAAAATAGCCGAATTGTTCGTTGGGAATCGCCGACAATAGGTATCATTGTTTGCGGAAGTAATGGATCGAACTCTGATCAATTCTTCAGACCATTCGGATTATTTATTGATCAGAGTGATTCGAATACATTGTATGTAGCTGATACATACAATCATCGTGTTCAAAGATGGCTGTCAGGAGCGAAAAATGGCACAACTGTAGCTGGACAAACAGGTTTACCTGGCTACAGTCTAGATTTACTTTATTATCCAACATCAGTCACTGGAGATGCAAATAAAAACTTATATATATTAAGTTACAGTGCGGGTTCGATCATCAAATGGCAAGTTGGATCATCGTTCGGCACTCTTATTGTCGGAACTTTATCGAGTGGATCATTATCCAATCAATTGCTTTCTCCATATAATTTCAAATTTGATTCCGACGGTTCGATTCTTGTTGCTGATTATGGCAATTCTCGTGTTCAAAAATTCTCATTTGTCTGCTGTAAGTGTATAGTTCGAATTACTCCTATATATTCATTTTGATCTCAATATAGCGAATGCAACAAGTACAGCAAGGATGACTACTAACCCAACATCGTCATCATCGACAACAATTCGCACGACAAAGATAACTACCAATGCAACATTATCAGCATCGATGGCAGTTTCAAGTAAATGAGAAATATTGATTGTAATGTTTTACGATGATTTCATTTAGCTGTGACAACAACAAAACGTATATCATCTGTTTCCGCCGATTGCAATCTTCAATGGATATCAATGATCTTTTCATCGATTCTTATTCTCATAAACAGTTAACTCTTATATTCTTGCTTTTCTTTCTATCAATAAATAACCCTTCACACTGCTCTCGAATTCCATGAAAATCTCCATATTCATTGCTAATAAGCACGCGCGAACCAAATGAATTACTTTGACTAACAACGATGTGAACGAAAAATATTACGAAACCTCCACCAGCAATGGAGGTGATTTGTTCATTGAAAACTAACTACGAGATTAAAGACTGATCAGAAAAAATAACTAACATCTTTCAGACACCGTTGTCAACGAATGAATATTCATATTGTAAAGCTTTTTATTTATAGAATACGCCTTGAATGTAAATAGTTATTTATTGCATTTCCTCGAAGGATTCAAGATTAATCAACATCACCAAGATCACATGAATTGATAAAAACTTCAACAGATCCTCCAGCTTCGACTGCCAAATCTATCTTCTTGTCATCATTGAAATCACCTGATATCATAGAACTTCCAATCGTGGCGAGTGGATACTCTTTTCTATTAGGAAACGTTCCATCTCCATTGCCAAGTAACAATACGATGATTTTATCAACGGTACATAATACAACTACGTCTACTTTGTTATCATTATTGAAATCATCAACGATAATATTCGTAGGATAGGAGCAAAGAACATAGAGCATTGGAGACGCAAATGTTCCATTACCATATCCAAGTAATACGCTCATGTTTCTGTTAGATGAGCTACCTTCAGTCACCGCCAAGTCTAGTATGCGGTCATCATTGAAATCATCTGTTGCTAGAAAACCTGAACCACTGTTGCTTAGAGAACTTCGTTGATTTTGAAAAGCACCATGACCATCACCAAGCAGGACAACTACAGTATCTTTAATCGAATTACCTTTTGCAATATCACGTCTTCCATCATTATTAAAATCGCCTGAAATAAACGATGCCGATGAATAATCAATATTAAACATCCTTTGATCTTGGAATGTTCTGTTTTCCATACCAAGTAGCACGCTCATCGTGCGATTTCCGCCATTGAGTACAACAAGATCAAGTTTTGTATCATTATTGAAATCAGCCGGCACAATCCAGATTGGCCCTTGTCCAACAAGAATCACGAATTGATCGCGAAAAAATCCATCTCCCATACCAAACAAAAGGCTGATTGTATTGGCATCCTTATTAGCGACGACAAGATCTTGTTTTCCGTCGGCATCAAAATCATCTGATGTAACGTAATCAGGACCACGACCGACCATGTATTTCCTTTGAGAAGAAAACTTTCCATTCCCATAGCCGAGTAAGATATTAACGATTGTATTTGCAATGTTGACTGCTAAATCTAAATACGAATCGTTGTTGAAATCAGCTGATATGATACAGAGTGGAAACTCAGCGACTGGATAGTGTGTTTCGTTACGAAATGTTCCATCTCCATTGCCAAACAGTAAACTAATACTAGCACTGCGAAAATTCGATACTGCTAAATCGATGATTTGATCACTGTTAAAATCACCTGCTGTAAAATATTGTGGAGTACTTCCAACCTCGTATTCAACCGCATTTTTGAAAGTTCCGTTTCCGTTGCCAATTAATACACTTACACTACCACTATCGTAGTTGAGCACTACCAGATCTGATGTATTATCATGATTAAAATCATGTGATTGTAGACGCGAAGGCCTCATTCCAACAGTATAATTGGCTTTTGGTACAAATATTCCCGTGTTGTTACCAAATAATATACTAATCATGTCATCGTCTGAATGGGCCACCGCGATATCTAGTATTCGATCGTTGTTAAAATCGCCTGCCGTAATTCCAAACGGTGCATTATAGATAGTAGATGGAATTTGTGTTTGAAACGTTCCATTTCCCTGACCAAAGAATACATCCACAGTATTATTCCCTCGGGTAGCTACAATCAGATCTAGTTTTGTGTCATTATTAAAATCGCCGGATACGATTGACATTGGCGACTTGCCGAGAGTATAGTTAGTTTGCGACCGAAAAGTTCCATCACCATTACCTAACAAAACACTTAACGTTTGATTATACTGAGAAACCACGGCAAGATCCAACGTATTATCATCATTGAAATCGTTTGCGAGTAAAAACTGCGGCCAAAATCCAGTTGTAAAGTTATTTAGCGTAGAAAACCGTCCATGTCCAGTGCCTAATGCAACATTTAGAATATTGAGAAGCGGTGGACCAGTAGCTACCATATCCAATACTCGGTCATTGTTAAAATCGCCTGACACGACATCAGTCGGTTGTTGACCAACGAAGTAGTTCATTTCGTCAATGAATGTCCCATCGCCGCTATTCATGAGTATCGTCACATCATTATCATATAAGCTTGTTATTGCGAGATCGAGCATTCGGTCATTATTGAAGTCGCTTGCTGTGATAGAGCTCGAATGATTGGTAGATTTATAAGTTTTGGAATTTGTAAAAGGATTCGTGCATAGGTTTTCTAATAGAAGAATTTTTACGATTATTAAATGATCAAAAGCTCATCGACATACTCGTGATTGTTGTATTTGATCCCACTATATGCTTCGTTCGTGTTCCTAACACTGAGCCAATGATGATTGCTGCAATAGATATCAAAACTAGCAGAACCAGTGCAAATAGATATTTCTTCTTTCGATACCAATGAAATCTGTATGGTAGACAAGAAATTGTATCAAATGATACGATCAATTAGAGAAAGCTTACTCAAGTTTTGGATACATAAGTGCATCTAAATACAAAAAAAAATTGCACGATTAAAACAAAACTTGGTACGAAGGATGTGTACATACTTTCAAATGGCAGTGCAAGGAGAATTTCTTTCGGTACTTTTTGTTTCAAATGAACAACATAGAGATCCGATGCTGGATTAAATTGTGATTTCACTTCCATATATGTTCCGGGTAACAAAACAGCCTCTTCTTCATTTTGAAAATGTGAATGTGCACTGATGCTTCTTCCGTTGATCATTTCGATCGACAAAAGTGTTCGTTCTCCAGTTTTGCCTAGATAGAATTCATTTTCTAAAACAGTCAACATTGTTGTACATGACGAAAATGACCACCAGGTCACAGGTTGTCCAATAGGAAATTGATCACTGATATTTAACCGAACACCACGCCATACTGTTTGTACAGGCAGGCATGGTATTTTAACTAAAGCAGTTATGAATAGTTTCAGATATAAATGCCATGGTTTCAATTCGTTTCGATCAATATTCTTCTTTAAGGTGAAATTTAATATTGAATACAAACTGTCACGTGAAGTTGGCCATTCCATTGTGTACAGACGGATTGATGCAGACTCGTCACGCGTTAATCCATCTGGTGGAGGATCTGGTGTATTGTGTAATGCCGTTGAAGCGTATTGTATTACATCGTGAACAATATCAACCAAAGGTAAACATGATTCAAGCAATGGAACGAGTGGTACTTGTGCATAAGCAACAATAGGAGCTAGGATTTTTTTGTTCTCATTCTGAGGAACGAATAGACGAGTATTGATACGTCTGTTTGATAGTTCTACATTATCAGTCGGTGAATCGTTGATTGGTAAGTCTCTCAATCGTGAATAATTGTCAGCTGTATCAAACATTTTCCTAATCTAGTGTAGACCAATTTCATAATCCATGTGTATTTACATCCAAAGTATAAATATAGAAGATGCGCACGTCATACATTTGGTCATACTGTTTGCTTTCTTTGTATATCAACGTATAAAATAATTTTGATTCGTACTCAATGCCTGTACTGTATTTTATATACAATTCATTCGATCTTGTCGAATATTTTATCTTAAATGAAGTTGATAGTAAAACAAGTCAGCCAGACAAGTTCTATTCCCAGATTAGATCATCACATAAATACGTGTTTCATCCCCTCGTCATAACAGTACAGGGAAGATCTCATGAATCGATCGACCGTTCTGCATACCGAAAACATAAAAAGAATCATAAATGCCTTCAGAAATTGTTTGATTCTGAAATTCTCATCTACTGCTTCTGTGAGACATCATATAGAAAAGTGTTTATTTCCTTTTATTCAATCCCATAAGCCATTTTTCAAGGTAAACAATACACTATTCTTTTACTCTGTGCATTGTATTATTTTTCCACATGGTATAAACAATCAGCATGAAAGCAACATTACAAAAATACACAGACGAATAATTTATATCTTTCTTCATTCATCGTTTATACATTTCGTTTGCAAAATTCTAGCTTTGAGTATCTTAATAATTTAAACAGTGATGAGTTTCGTTATTTTCTTCAGTTTAACGTATATTCGATTGGTTCGATGATGTAATCACATACGTTTTCAAGCATGAGATACATCTGTCCAAGTCATAAACACGAGAGAAAGACGAAGAGTTACGAAGAAAAGAAAAAAAAACGACTCATCGATTCGTATTTCTCGACCTTGAATGTCACTTGATTAATATATCGTTTCGATGGTTATTGATTGAAGATCTATACAATAACGAGAGCCAAGTTTTCATATCTGAAATACCGATAGTTATCAAAAACAGAGCTTTGTCATGTTTGTCATTTAGTGATTCATTATATTCGATCAATAATATGACGATCTTTGAAAGAAGATATGACCTATTCATATCTCCATATTCATAAATACAATTGAAGAACGTGGTTGTTATCTGATTGAGATAGAAACAAAGTGAGAGAAAAATATAATTTCTGGTTTTTGAAAGGTCTCTATGTCTAATGATCAGTCAAATTCATAATTTTCAAAGGTCGATGCACTACAATCATTGAGAAGCTGACCTATGTCTTATCAATTTTGTTGCCTATGTGGATCTTTTTCCATTTTTCTTCCTTGTACATTTTTCGTTTTGTTCTTTATCGATTAATCTATTGTCATGGCTGTATCATTTGAATATGAAGTTGTTTTAGCCAAAATACAGTGTCTCCTTTCGGATAGCGATCGAGAGCGATTGTATTTTCTCCTCGACAACGATATTCAAGAAACTTTCCGGAAGAACTATGCAATTAGCAAAGCATTTCATGTGCTTGACTTTTTTCTCCAAAAGAGCACCATAAATAACCAAGATTGCGATCTTATCATTGAAGCATTCATGGCTATTCATTCTCACGATACTGTGAAGCGATTAAAAGGTGAGTTAATTCCTATGTTGGATCTGATTCCTACTCAGTAGCTTAATGATTCACCACAGAGTATCAAACAAATCAAGCGAACGGAAATCAACAAGCTGTCTCGATTGAACAGATCCTATCACAGAACAATGAAAATCCTAGTTCGTAGTAATAGTACACAATTCTATTTATATACACGGAGATCGATCTTTTCCTTGCAGCCGTGCCTGATCAATTTCTACCGAGAATAAATACAGAATTCTCAAGCCTCTTTCTACATACAAGTACCAACAGTACAACACCAACAAACACGTTTGACTTAGTGTCAAATAAAAAACAAGGGAATACTAATCAACCTCGACGGAAAATTTGTCAACGGATTTTAATTGGCATTATTGTTCTAAGTGTAACTAGTCTTCCATTAGTGATTGTCGTATCGCAGAGATACATCGAACGAATTTCCAAACTCAGGCAAGGTAAGATTCTCGCATGCCTACTTGAAACATTTACCGAGCCGATACTTCGTTCACAAAAGAGATGAATACGAGTGTAGCGATGTGGTAGAAGCAGAATGACTGCGATTAGTGCAGCATTTACATTCAGTTTGCCAGTATGACACTGATGAATTATTATCACTTCACGTAGTAGACTTTCGAAGTAGTAAGTTAACTATTCAGATCTTACCCCATGCGATCACTCAAACAATTACTCCACAGTCCTTTTCTGACAAGTAGACCTATATTCCGCAGAATCCTAATTCAAGATTCATCGGAGTCCAGCTGGATAGAACGCATAATGCACTAGAAAATTTCTCATTGATGAGTAATACCGAAAACATAATTACAACCTGCTAGATTCCTTTCTCATTGCCGAAATTTAGCCTCCAGACTCATCAACACCGGCTGGAACTACTATATGGCTACAGAGTACTCCAAAGCACTTCAAAGCTACAAGAACGCTCTGTGGATTCAAATGAAAATATTCTCCCAACCTCATTCAGATTTGACAACGACATACAACCGCATCGGTTTGGTCTACCATGATTTGGGGAACTACCCAAAAGCTCTTGAAAGCTATCACAAGGCGCTCGAAATTCAAATAAAAGTTCTTCCGTTGTCTCATCCCAGTATTGCAACAATCTACAACAGCATCGGTTTGGTTTATTCTGATATGGGTGAGCACTCAAGAGCTCTCGAAAACTACGAGAAGGCACTCGAAATTCAGGAGAAAACGCTACCAACATCTCATCTGGATCTAGCTACCACATACGGTAATATCGGTTCCCTGTATTCTGACATGGGTCAGTATTCGAGAGCTCTTGAATACTACAATAAAGCTCTGGAAATTGAGTACAAAGTACTACCGCCGATTCACCCCAGTCTGGGAATAAGTTACAACAACATTGCTTCTATGTACAATAACCTGGGTGAGCACCCAAGATCTCTCGAAAACTACAAGAAAGCGCTTGATATTCAGGAGAAAGCGCTGCCGGCGTCTCATCCAGATTTAGCTACAACTTACAGCAATATAGGTTCCGTATACTCTAGTGCGGGTCAATACCTAAGAGCTCTTGAAAACTACAATAAAGCACTGGAGATCCAGCACAAAGCACTACCATCGAACCATCCCAGTGTTGGAGCAAGTCATAACGGCATAGGATTGGTTCATTCTCGTATGGGCAATTACTCAGCAGCTCTCGAAAGCTATGAGAAGGCACTTGTAATCAGACAAAAAACTTTGCCATGGAATCATCCGGATTTAGCCACGACTTACAACAATATCGCTGCTGTGCGCTATAAAATGGGTGAGCACTCAAGAGCTCTTGAAAGCTACAAAAAAGTGCTGGAAATTCAGAACAAAGCTCTGACACCAAATCATCCTAGTATAGCTAGAAGTTACAACAACATAGGTTTGGTTTATTTGGATATGGGGGAGCATGTGAGAGCTCTCGAAAATCTCAACAAAGGACTCGCAATTTTCAAGAAAGCTCTGCCACCGAATCATCCAAGTCTGACAGCAAGTTACAGCAGCTTAGGTGTAGTTTATTCGGATATGAGCGAATACTCAAAAGCGCTTGAAAATTACCACAAAGCGCTAAGAGTTGAACAAAAAACCGTGCCACATAATCACCTCAGTTTGGCATCAATCTACCACAATGTAGCTTCGATTTATTCGGACCTGGGCGAATATTCAAAAGCGCTTGAAAATTACAACAGAGCGCGTGTGTTTCAGCAGAAAGCTCTGCCCCCGAGCCATCCAGATTTAGCCATCACTTACAGCAACATCGCTGCTCTAAACTTTAAAATGGGTCAGCATTCGAGCGCTCTTGAAAACTACAACAAAGCACTGGAAATTCAACGTAAAGCTCTGACACCGAAACATCCCAATGTGGGAGTAACTTATAACGGCATCGGATTAGTTTATTCTCGTATGGGCAATTACTCAGCAGCTCTCGAAAACTATGAGAAAGCACTTTTAATTAAACAGAAAACTTTGCCATGGAATCATCCGGATTTAGCCACGACTTACAGCAATATCGCTGCTGTGCGCCATAAAATGGGTGAGCACTCAAGAGCTCTTGAAAGCTACAAGAAAGTGCTGGAAATTCAAAACAAAGCTCTGACACCAAATCATCCTAGTATAGCTAGAAGTTACAACAACATAGGTTTGGTTTATTCGGATATGGGAGAGCACGTAAGGGCTCTCGAAAATCTCAACAAAGGACTTGCAATTTTCAAGAAAGCTCTTCCACTGAATCATCCCGATGTGGCAGCAAGTTACAACAGCATAGGTTCAGTTTATTATAAGATGGATGAGCGCTCCAGAGCTCTTGAAAACTACGAGAGAGCACTTGAAATTGTGCAGAAAGTTTTATCAAATAGCCATCCCAACGTCGCAAAAATTTACAACCATATAGGTTTGGTTTATTCTGATATGGGTGAACGATCAAGAGCTCTCGAAAACTACGAGAAGGCACTCGAAATTCAGGAGAAAACGCTACCAACATCTCATCTGGATCTAGCTACCACTTACGGTAATATCGGCTCCCTGTATTCTGACATGGGTCAGTATTCGAGAGCTCTTGAATACTACAATAAAGCACTGAAAACTAAGCAGAGAGCTTTACCGCCGATCCACCCCAGTCTGGGAATAAGTTACAACAACATCGCTTCAGTGTACTATGATCTGGGCGAATACTACAGAGCTCTCGAAAACTACAAGAAAGCGCTTGAAATTCAAGAGAAAACGCTATCGGCGTCCCATCCAGATTTAGCCATAACTTTCAACAACATCGCTTCCGCTTATATGGACATAGGAGAACATTCAGGGGCTCTGGAAAACTTTCATAAGGCAGTTGAAATTGAAGAGAAAGTTGTACCGCCGAATTATGGAAGTTTAGCCAGGGTCTATAACAAAATGCGTGTAGCGTACGAAAATTTGGGGAAGAACAAATTATCGGAGGAATATCATGAAAAAGCTATGGAAATGGAACGGAAGTCTAAACTGGTCAAAGCTTGAACGGAACAGCTTGATGTCATAAATATCTGCTGGAAACGGAAGTCGCTCTTAGCGTTGGTTGTGCAATGATTTTTTCGTTTAGTATATACATTTTGTATCAGAATATATTTGTGAAAAGATCGTAATAGATAATCAGTATTAGTGTAGTATGAGTTTTTAGGTAGGAGTCGGCTGATCAATTTGTACTGTGAGTCTCTGATCGGAGACTGAATGATTAAATTCGAACACGTCGGTTGTTGGTGGCACTGCCGTTTCCGGATGTGTTAAAATAATGGTACACGTAGAGAATTACTTACATTGAAGACCGATTTCAAAAGCCTTAGCCGCGTTGCTGGCTCTTTAAAACAAATATCACGTTTCTGACATATATGCAGCTACAAAAACAGTTTTATTATGATGGTCTGTCACATAATCACTGTATGTGTTCTATGCATAGTTTGTTTTTCTGACAAAAGATTTGATTTTATGGAACATTCCATTTCGATACATTGTCTTTCGTTTAAATCAAACTAGCGACCTCTGCTGGCAACTCTTCAATTTTGATACCATTTTGTTGTTCAATTCGACGTAAAAGTGATCGTTCATTAACGGTAATGAAATTGATGGCCAGCCCGTTTCGACCGAATCGACCTCTGCGTCCAACACTTCACCAAAAACAAAATTCGTTGTTTCTTCGAAATATAATTGCTGCTTACCGACGAACATATTTCTCACAATCAATCGGAAGATCATAGTTAATAACAGGACTGACTTGTGGAATATCAGCGTCATTTTCAAGCCTATCTAGTCGTAGTAAAATCCGACTGGCACCTGTGCGAAACTCTCTTATGCAGTTGTCGCGTTGCGCCGCATCCATCTTGAAGTCCTACAATAACAGAGAGAAAGTGCTCTCATTCTTTTGCACTGTTTGTATGGGAACTGACCAGAATAGATACGGTTAAATGGTGTGTGCGTAGTTTTTCATTTAGCCACTCGACTTTTTCGAATGTATTACAGTAGATAACAGATTGCGTCATTTTCAGTCCATCAAATAACTGATATAACTTCTCAAATTTCATCTCCTAACAACATTATTCTGTGTGAGTTCATCCCAATAGAGTTAGGAATATGTTTAGTTACTTCGTCTTCAACGAGCACATAAAATTGACGAATGCCTTCGAGCGTCCGGTCTTCAATTTCAGTCAAGATTTTCATCGGATTTGACATTAGTTTATTTGTTATTTCAAGTAAATCAGGAAGGATGGGAGACGACAATGTGACAATTATTTGAAGATTTGCTGGTAGCATTGCCGATATGTCTTCAATTTGGTCTCTATAACCCATACATAATAGTTCGTCGAAATCATCCAACACGAACGTTTTTACATTTTCTGTACCTAACATGCCAATAAGAACACGAAAATTCGATGAATGCACGATATAAGTCACATACAGAATGTTGATCTTTCTAACAAATCATAGATTCGACCAGGTGTACCGACAACAACTTGGACGCCTCCGTCAAGACGTTTCATATCTTCATCAATGCTCCTACCTCCAAAACAAGCGTGACATGTTACATTCATATGTTTTCCTAACGCTAAAATTCGTTTTTCAATCTAAATTAAAAAATAGAGAGTCATCAGGTTACGTCCAAGTTTGCTACCTCTTGAACTGATATTCGTTTTGACATTAAAATTATTGCTTGACAATCGTTGCAACTCGTGTCGAGTTGTTGCAAAAGTGCAATGATGTAACCTCTGTTGCAAAAGTCTTTGCACAAAATGTTTATTCATTTTTTATGCCTTAAGAACTAGTTTGAGAATATGAAAAGTAGACAGTTAGAATCAGAATTTGATGGTCTTTCTAAATATATACTCAGAAATTCCCTATAAATTAAAATCCATTTATTAAGGGTTAATCTTCGTTAGGAACTGAAAATGACGTTTGTACAGAATATTTTATGTAAAGTGGCGTTGTATTTGGGGTAAGAATGTTTTAATTCGAAATTAAGAAATATATTTTTGTACAGTGACATTCACTCTTCAAAATAGTTGGCGGACTTTGTTTTTCACACGTTTCTTACATTTTAAGTATAACACCATTCGAACACCTATTTTGAAAGTATCCTTTGTAGAATGGCAGCATCTTTAAAAAATCTTCCTTGCTTTGCATTGTTTCGAAGTTTAACTTTTTTACATCTCATAATAATTTAGAGCATTATATTCTGCATAAGACAAAGAAATAAAACTATTCCTAAATATACTTTTATTTATTTGAAGCGTCAAAAAAAAATTGATCACACTGTAAAGATCATTTGTTTTTGATTCATCAAAATCGTTGCTTATAAAAAACTCATGATTGGTCGAAAGAAATTTCCAAAGATATATTCGAAGAGAGCATCGAATTTGAACACTAGCTGACTGACTTTGATCTTTTTCAACTGTTCGTAAATGTCAAGGAAATCGCGAAACGACTTTGAATAAATTCTCGAAATTAGTGATCTGTACAAACGTCATTTTCAGTTCCTAACAAAGATTAACCATTAGTAAATGGATTCTAATTTATAGGAAATTTCTGAGTATATATTTAGAAAGACCATCAAATTCTGATTCTAACTGTCTACTTTTCATATTCTCAAACTAGTTCTTAAGGCATAAAAAATGAATAAACATTTTGTGCAAAGACTTTTGCAACAGAGGTTAGGTTGTTGTTTTCCCTAAACCTGCCTGTGCTTGCACAATCACATCGTGACCTTCAATGAGAAAAGATCAATTCGGGTTGTCAATAAATGGTAGAAAACGAACCCGAAATACAAGATTTAAGAGCACGTTGTTGGATATTTAATGGATGTTTGAGACCGTGGTCATGAATACCACGTAGAAGTACATGGTGCAGATTGAATTGATCGAAGGATTCGATCGTTTCGAGCAAATGGTTTACGTTGGTCTCACTGCTACTCATAATAAAAAGATAAACGACCGGCTCCGTATGACTAATGCACATATGAGTCATTATATATAAAGATGATTCTTCAAAAGGGCGACGACCAATCGTTTCAATCGTTCCGAACAACAACTGAGATCCGAGTTTTATATAACGATAAAATGAAATTTTTATAGAAGCTTTGCTATCATCTTGCTTTCTGTCATTGAATTAGATCTTTGTCGCTAGCGCTACCATCTATTCGGATAATCAACATCGAATTTGATTACTCTTGTGGTGCAAGTACGTGCCCTTATTCGCTTGACTTTTCATCGTTTATACAGCATCGAAATGGGATGTGTTTTAAATGCTCAAACCAACGCTTATCTGCCCACAGATCTGACTTCCTTAACCACAAATTTGGAAACGGATTATTATTTCTACGATTATGAAAATAATATCCTCAATTGTAAACTACTAACAAACAATCCCTATCAATCCTATTTCAAACAAGTCTATCCACTGATTATCAACGAGCATCAGCTGACAGATGACATGCTGAATGTATTGAAAACATATACGGATAGTAAATCAAATGAATGTTATATGAAAACGAATTTAAATCTACTAAGTGTGAATTTAAACGATATCGATTGGGATTATATCAATAAACTACGTTCGCTCTTACGAGGCTTGGTTCAAACGAATCTAAAACATTTCTACTATCGTGGTTTAACACTCAGTGATCGAGAAATTCAATATTATCTTGACAAAAGAAATGAATGCTATTATACGAATTCGTTCACGTCGTTTACAGTTGATCGTTTATTGATTTATTCGGGTAATGCGATTCTGATATTGCGAACGGATACATGCAGTGAAAAAGCAAAAGTCAATCTTGCGAATATATGGAAATGGAGTACGTTTGTGGATGAAAAAGAAGCACTTCTAGCTGTAGGAACAAAACTGAAAGTTTTGAGCGTACATTTTTTTGGTTGTAAATGGGAAATTGAAGTTGAGTTAGTCGAGGACGATACAGATTTGTCTGAAATTAGCTAAAATAAAATTTTCTTCTTTCATTTTGAACGATTATCTATGCAAAGAGGGTGTGGGTGTAGGTGAGGGTGAAAAATGTTTCCATTGGAATGGGTAGAGCACATCGAGTTCTACTTGGGATCAGTGTGATCAGAGTTAGAGCGCATATATAGGCGAATGAATTCTGAAAAAAAAACTCGAAACAGGTGCTAAGAATCTAATGTTTCGTTAATTAACATCTGTCGAGGGAAATATTTAATGGGAAGTAATGATGTTCGTTCAAGTATGCTGTCAAAGTACTTTTTGTATTCTGTGCTTTCGATATTCACTTGTGCCGGATTTATCATCGCATATAATTTACATATGAATTCAAAATGTACGTGAGGATATCGCATTCTTTTTTGTACCTGAATCCATACGCTCTGAAGATGGAGAGTTGGTTCGATCACGTCAGCATGAAAATAAATGTCAATCAATGATTTGCATATTAATCTTTCGACAGATCAACGCGCACTTTAAAAGCCGCAGAAAAAAAGACAACGAGAAGCTTTAAATGTACTTTGCCATGGGTGGTAACAATTTTACTATTGCAATACTTTTCGTCCTCTGCATTTTGGTCAATTGTGTTACCAGTGACAAGGAAGTGAATTTCGACTCTGCATATGGACTCACAGTGCGCTCTATTTCGAAGGTGGATGATCAACTTTACGATGTAATTGTATCATCAAACGAAGTGCTTAACGATCAAACCATTCGTATACTTCTTCCATTGGATTACACCACTAGTGATAGAACCCGCCGGTACCCTGCCCTGTATTTATTACACGGTTCATTTGGTGGTGCTGAAGATTGGACGAGAGCAGGTAATGCTCAAAATATATGTGGTAATGCATCATTAATTACTGTTATGCCGAATGGTGATCCATTTGGATTCTATACAAATTGGGTTATTCCGGGTAATGCTGCTCCGCAAAATTGGCGTACATTTCATATGGAACAACTAGTACCTTGGATTGATTTTAATCTACGTACAGTAACTAGCAAACAAGGTCGTGCTATTGCTGGTCTCTCAATGGGAGGATTCGGTGCAATTCATTATGCTGAATTCTATTCGCATAATTTTATTTATGCAGCAAGTTTCTCTGGTGCTCTTGATCTACTTAACACAAATGTACAAAACGGGATTCTCAACTTAAGAATCATCGACGATGTTCCTCTCGTTGGTCCNGTATCTATATATCGAGCATATATGGCAATAACGATAAATGACATGAAAAATGAACTACGACTTGCGCAAGAAGAATTAGCTTCTCAAATTGTACTTTCGCTAACCTATTTTGCACATTCAACAAGTTTTTATATGTATACACTTTCCGGTACGATATTTCGTAAGACGTTGATGAAACTTTTCGAACGATAGTATATTCTCGACCAGAAAGGCCAGTTAATGTAATTGTTAGTTATCGAACGATTCATGGTTTATTTATGTTGTTCATTTCAGCGTGTAACAAAAAGATGCTACGTACAGTTTGCAAACCGAGATCTTCAAACACGTCCATCGGTTGATCAACGTGGAAAAACAAAAAAATAATTTGACAAGTCAAATATTTATTTAAATTAAAAGAAGAAAGATTTGTTTATACATATAAAAAATGTTTTTCTTTTCTATGACTATCTAATAATTACTCATACATGAAAATCAGAAATAAACGTTTCAAACTCTATCGTTCCACCTCAATTGACACAGGCAGGAAGCTTTCCTGTTGACCACTCACATGTCTTTTTGCATTCTTCAACTGGCATCCACTTTCCACCTGCTTCACACTTGACAATTCGAGCGCCCTCATGAAACACGCATTGTTGTGCATCGACAGGACGGCAAACACCATTACTTGTTTTGCATACGCAATCACTGGTGCTGTTACCACCAAAGTGATGTTCATCAAAATGGACAGCGTCATTATTTACTGTTCTTTTGATAGCGCTCCCTTTTTGAAATTCTTTGTCCTTATTGATTGCAGTGAAGAGCTTTCCAAGATCGAATTTGTTTGAACCTCTGTGCATGGAGCCAAGTTCTGCCATTAAATGTTTCGTATAAGGACTTCCGGCGTTTTCAACATCCGAATCGTCTGCAGTTTCTTGAGTGTCATGTTCTTCATCAACAGTATTCGGCACTTCAACAGCTCCATTTTGACCATTTTTACCGACGGGTTGCGCTGCTTCAACGATAGCTTTCACTTCGCGAATCACTTCATGGTTATCGACGACCGCTTCTGGTTTGCGGGTAGTAGTAGTAGGTTTCTTCAATAGGTTTTTGTCGTTGACTACTTTCATGAACTGGTCTACATTGAGATTCGTAAAATCTGTTCGCATTGAATCAAGTGCACCGAAAATGCCCTTCGTATAAGGATCCTCGTTGGCTTTGTTAGCTTTGGGTTTTTCTTCAATTTCTTCGACCTCGTCTGTATTGTCTTCTCGTCGCGCTAATTCAATAAGATCAGGTCTTGTTGTATTTTCAACATGAAAATGCTTCTTTATTTCGCTCCCTACAAGTTCGAATTTCATTAGAAATTCTTAAGACAATTTAAACAGCAAAACTCTACCTTCGTTGGAAACAGTTGTCTTGATACTATGTGCTGTTGAAGTTTCCGTTAAATCGGCTTGAACTCGTGAGAAAACAGCACACATCATTATGATAGCCAAAGACACCAAAGCACCGCGACAATAAGATACCATTTCTAAAAGAAATATCCATCAGAAACTTCAGACTAAAAAATCATCTCCATCTTACTGTTTGTTGTACACCTTAATTTGTCTACTGAGAATGAAAATGAAATCAGTGATATTCTCGATGACCTTTATACGAGATGTAAACAAAGATCACATGATTAGATTTCACATCGTTTCAGTCAATGAAAACAAGGACGCATCTTCATATAGTCAAATTCACTTTTCCTCTTCGATTTTTGCCTGATATGTTTGCTACATATATTCACATTGTTTTCTTTCTTTTCTCTTACTACGTAAACACTCGATGTATATAGGCCACGTGTAGAATTAACAAATCACATACTAAATAAATGAATGTGACAATAATTTATTTCAGTACGCCGATTTTCGTTCGAAAATATCGATTAAATTATTCAGATAAAAACGCTTTTTCTCCTCCCACTACAAACTGAAGGATGTGAGTGTTGCCAAATCCTTTCATGATCAACAAATAAATCTATAAATACCAAAAGAGCGTCTTCTATTACGTGTCCAACGATCGAATTGCTGTAGAAACTATCAAGAACAAAAAATCGAATAAAACAACGAAGTATGACAATCTAAACGAATTTTTCCGATAATACCTCGAATTGTAGCTGTATTTCATGCGTCAAGCATTCGCTGACGTATTCATCCAGACAAATTCTCTTTTCTTTGTTTGTTCTCTACTAGTCGTACCATATCTTTTCGCCATCTCGATGTTACACTGAATAGAAACGAAACAGAAATTTTGAAAATGACCAAAGAAAAAGATTCATACGATATTAATATTCATAAAACTACTTTGATCGATCTCATGTTTCTCTATCTATATAAATTTCTGTTCGAACTGTGTCTTTCTCACCTAGGTCAATGGAACAGCACGCCGCCTTGGACCCGGTAAAGACTTGAACGTTATAGATAATCATTCTGTTCTCGTTTTCTGCTCTGCTCGAATAGATTTTATCCCTATTCACGTTAAAAAATTCGAGCAACGATGAATCATTTTCTCCATGATGATAATGACCTTTTTGCAAACAAAAATGCTTGCGATGAAGCATCATATTCGATATGGAATTGCAGCCACGATTTACTCATACAGTAAGAAAAGATTTGTCGAGTACAGAGGCTGCCCGATCCTACCTCGAAGCAAGTCGAAAACAAGTGTTTCTTACATCCATTGTATCAATATATTCCTGCTTATTTACCTCACCCATTGTGAGATATAGATTCAATTGCGGTGTGGCCAGTATTCCGTGAACGCATGTAGAATAGAATAGATTTTTCTACATAGAAAGCCTCCTTCATATTGTGTACGTGTTGAGTGAAAGTTTTGATATTTCTTTCAGCTTTATGTGACATGGGTGCGAGGTAGAGAGATTCATTCCGTTTTGAACGAGCAACGAAATATGCTGATTGACGTCATACTACATATGCCTTTAATAGATACATTCTTATAATCCCACTGATGTAAAGTCACGAACAAAGACTGCTGTGAAAGTATGAAATAAGTCCATCTGCCATGTGATTTTCGTGTAATTTTTATCAAAATAATTAATGCGACTCGATGACGACCGTTAATAGAGACGCATTTCATCATCATCCTCACCCTCGAACACTTTCCCGCTCCGTTCTTTAGTTCATTACAAAAACGCTAAAACCACTACGAAGAAATTTATGTGCAATAGAACACCAAATACGATATACGTTAATTAGTATGAGGAAGGAAACAGAAGAGAAGAAATGATGTTTCTTACAAATATTCGCAAGTCGATCCCGATCAAGCATTCATATATGTAATAATTAAGAGTGCATATCCATACATATTGGAGTTCATTAATCGGAGGATATTTTACCGTTTACTTTTTTGAAAAATTTATCTTTTTCGTTCTTGGCAATGCAATTTTGTCGTGCATAACATACAGAATTATCTTCATATCGAGATTTATTATGAGTTGGTGCCAATTTAGTTGTGCTATTTGATGATGGCATGGTCGAAGAAAACGAAGAAGGCGGGCTTTTAGAATTGTGCCGAAATTGATCTCGAAGAAACCGAAAGACAATCGTTGAGCTGGTAATGACAGTACTTGCCAGACCAAGGGCAACGGCTGTACGCTGCCCACGCTCAACCGTATGATAATACAATTGATCGAAGAGGCTTAAATTCTTAAATATATGCTTTTCCAAGCCAGGATAAAACAATGCATGAACCTTTGCTACCAAAAACATTTCTTCTCTTGAATTCAATTTGTTCTGCGTCACCCGTTTGTAAAGATCTTCATTTCCAGATTGATCATTCAAGGAATCTTGATATTTTTGGCGAAAAGATAACAAGTTGATATATCTGTCACAATTTTGTGTTTCGTCGAGAAGTGAAACAAATGCTGATGCGCTGAACCCGTCATCATTATTCTTCTCACTTTTCATATTTGTTAGCAGTGTCCAGAAAAGTTGATAGCATGTATCGTCATCCATAAACTCCTTGCTGCTGGCTGATCCTTTTTGCATAGTAGTATTGTTAAAGACGTGGATCCGGATGAAGTGGAAATCTTATACTGAAACAATAGAACAGCATTGAAAAAATGAAGTCTTTCTTCTGTGTTTCTATTCAATGTCCATCACTTTTTCTTATTGCCTACTTGAACGGATCTTCTATTATATAGAATATGGATGAAACAGTAAATGTTTCTATACTATTCAGAGTGGCGATTGACATGACCAAAAAGTCATGTAGCATTTGAAGATAGAGATCTCGCAAAACTATGATGAGTTTGCCACAGCGTCAGGTGTAAACGATCGAAAATGAGACACTTAACAACTAAACAGTCAGACGAGTTATTTCTTCAAAGCTCACGATGACGCAGACATATGATATGCAATGTTGTGAAAAATTATAGAATTATATGAACATGCACTGTTTTTCTATATTGAGGTGAATTTTGTGTGGATACTGTTAGCACATTCATATATAGATACGGGTTGTCTTGGCAAACACTCTTGCATGAAAGGGCTTAAGAAGATATTTTCATTAGAACTGCAAAAGAGATGCTACTCACAATGCCAAAATGAGTTGAGAGCACTATATGAAGATGGTATTCTGAATTGAATGACAAGTGATCGAAATGGAATTCACCATCGGTGTTCAGAACTGTACAGAGAACGTATTCTACAGCAAAAATGAGCATTCAGAAGGTCCACTAATAGATTTGCTCAACAGTTCGATACCGTTACAAAAAGTATAGCGTTTGCTTATAAAAAAGGCGCAATACTATTTGTTCTTAGAATGTGACAGACGACCTTCTTTTCAAGTAGCATCTTGTGACCTGATACGCGAATACAGCACACGTACATTGGTAACACAGATTAAATGAGGAATCCTAGAAAATAGATGGCATACTCATTCACACACATGTATTCTATAGTTTTCATGTAAACGACATATTTCTTGTAACTGTATCGCAAGAATGAGAAAATCAATTAGTTGACCTCCTCAATGCTCATTTTTGTTGCAAAATATGTGCTATGTACGATAGCAAACACTGAAAGTGAGTTCTATTTCGAAATTGATTTAAAGTTATCTCGGTACGAAAAACAAAGAATACTCACTTGATTCTATAGTTGTGCAGTCGAAAATTGATGAGTTTCCTGTAATATTTTTTCTTTTCAACTTAACAATTGACATCAGCTCAATTAGTTTGGACATCTAACATGAACCGGATTGACATAGTATAGCAAACACAGCGACACGTGATTCTATAATTTTTCACAAACACTACTTTTTTAATGAGTCTGAAATTTTAGCTTGTTGTTTTTGAACGGATTGAAAGCATATGGTTTTTCTAGTGTTTAACGGCACGATTCTATGAGAACTATGGAGGTAGTACTTTCCTAGATGCTCTGCTGTATATGTGAAAGTCGCGGATTTTCTCCGTTCTTTGATATGAAGACTGTTCAATTCAACAAAAACATGTTTCAGATATCGAATTGAAAAATCTGACTTTGAAAAAACCCAACATTACGTACCATGACTGATTTAATAAACAATATAAAAGATAGTATGTTCGAGACATAGGAACAATGGACAAGGAATACTTTTCTTAGGGAAACAGATCGAGAAAAAAACGGGCAAATATATCGTTCGTTACTTTCATCAGTAGAGCTATTCGACTGCTTTTAGATTAGTCTCTCATGTGAAAAAGAAATGTTGTTGTTGTTGTTATAGGCACGGACAACGAAGAAAGTAAATATTAAAGACTCTTCATATTTACTTTCGTGACGGAAAAGGAACTTATGATGATTTTCTCTCCTTTCGCTCGAGAATAAGAAGAGAGAGAACTCCAATGATCATCCAAGTGTTGTGCATACTTCAAAAAGTGAAAAAAAATAAGTTTTAAAATGGGAGTCATACTCGAAATTAAAACATTTTCAATATAAATCAGTAGTAGTAGCCCTACTGAAATTGAATTATTCCGTGCGTGATAAAACAAAAGATTCACTTTAGATACAATCATACTCATACTGAGAAGTTTTTTTTGTCATTGAAAAACTTGTATATTACAAGACGATAGGCGATGTAGACTTGTGTATCCTTCGGCAGTTTAGCATCGCTACAGTGTTATTATTTACGTTGAGTTCACATTCGTATTGTTTTATCAGAATATTCAGTGTTTTGGAAACTTCGTTAGTCTTATTAGAACCAAGGGGAGTTGGATGAATTTTTGGCCAAACGAAACGATCTCCTTGCTCGTGTACGAAGATCAATCTATTATCAGCTTCTCGCTATATTCCAAAGATTTGTTCTAGGAAATTCGATGATGTTTACCAATCCAAGGATGACTTCAGTTAAATTCGTCTAAATCTCTCTTCTTTCGGTCTCTCCTAGCGATGCTAATTCTGTCTTTGCCTTATTCTGATTCTATAAATGTACCGTGTAGATTTTGAGGATACTAACTAATACAGATCGTAACTTGGCAAAATTCAACGATGTACTACCAATGGATCGCTCTAAATCTAAACTACAATGATGGATAGTTCGATGGCAATAGATACAATAGATACTGAACGCATAGCAAATTAGACAGACAAATAAACTTCTCTTCTTTTTACTTCTATAAAATATGGAAATATTTTCTGTAGATCGGCAATGTAACGACTAGCTGCATTCATCTTCGAACTCGAGTGAGATATCAATAAAATAATACTATGCACTAGATATACTGACAACCAGATAAGTTGTTCAGAGGCTGTGGTGTGAATGGACGAATGGTATTCTGTCAACGCAACTATTAGCACATTATCTAATCATCGACGATTATCTTATACTAAGCATGTTTTCACAATGAAAATGTGTTTTGTTGTCGGACAAATTAAATAGTATTAATACCAAGATAGTTTTCTGCATAACTGTGAATTTATCAAAAGAGAGTCCAGTAAATTGTTTTCTATTATGCAGGAATAGTGATGCCAGAACATGAGTTAGATATACTTTATCAAAATCTTCATTCTCCTTTTACAACCTCATATAAACTGGAACATAATAAAACGCACTTTAAATACGGTGTGATGAGTAATACCGAGTTGCTAAAGCAAGTAATCAACGCCTCCCCTCCGGAATTGAGTGTATAACATAATTAGGACTTCTCTGTGTTTGCAACAGAAATATATAAATAAGGTCTTTTCAAGGACTTGCAGATTCATTAGTCAGCAATTCTAGACTACTCAAAAAGAGAAAAAGCTTCTTTCACAGATGTCTACTATTGAATCATGGTTTATTCCATTTGATATTTTGTCACTTATCAGCACTACTTTAGCTGCTTTATTGGCTTTGATTTATCTTCTCATTATCATTTTTGATAAAACATGCCATACAGTTTCGATGATGTTAGTTGCCAACACTTCATGTGCAATTATCCTCTTCGCATGCAGTATGTTCAGTGAAACACTATTTACACTACAAAATGATCTTCAACAAGTTCAAACTTACGATATTTCTTGTTTTATTCGAGCTCCTTTTGCTTACAGTGGATGCGCAATATTAAATTTTTCATTTACTTCACAAGCATTCTATCGATATGTGCTGGTAGTTTACCCAACTCATGTGTTCTATCGATCCTACAAATTTCAGTTGTTACTTGTGATTGTCATATGGATATATGGTTTTCTCGTTCCCGTCGAATTCGTTGCACGAGGTGAAGTGACATACAATCCCGACAATCAAATCTGTCAACTACCACTTGGACTATCGTTCTCTATTATCTACATGGCTAGCTGTGTTTATGTATTTCCGATCTTCATAACAATGATCATTTATTATAAATTAATCCGCTATGTTAAACAGATGAATGCTCGAACCACATCTGTTAACACTGTATTGCGTGCACGGCATGAGTTGAAAATGGTGAGACGTATAGTTATCATAATAGTGATTTTATTAGCTCTTGGTTTTACATACTTTATCTTCATTTTAATGTCGTTTTTTACAACTCCACCAAAGTATCACTTTCGAATTGCACTTGTACTCCTTTGTGTATCGTTGACAAGCATAACGATTGTTTTATTTGTATTCACGGATCAACTGAAGCGACTGGTGACGAAAAATAGAAGGATCGAACCTGATATCAATACGGTTTTTGTTCTCCAGACGGCAATTCATTCACGATGAATTTACATGCGAGATGTAGATCACCTACAAAACATCTTTTTTTGTGTCGTGTCATCTTCAAATTGTTATGTGTGTCACATAAACGTGTATTTTCATCATAAATAATTTTCTTTATCAAATAAGCGGCAAAGGGATATCTAATGACGACCTGTAGTTTCCGGATAAGAATCATGCTTTAATTCTTCATCAACTTGCTATTCATGATTGAGAGGTTCATAGTACAATTCAGTCGCATTTAAAATATTCTCATAGGAAAGTGCTTTCGAATTAGCATTTATTATGATGTTCGATGAAAGTTTAATTGGACCAGATGAATTCGACACTTTCTCACCGAGTTGGTATATCCATCTTACTTAAGTCGCTTTCAAATTCTATACACTATTTAATACAATATCCATAGTCAAGTTCAGTGAGTTTTCAAAAACAGTCTATCCAATGATGAACTCTACTGTAGGAAATATGAACATAACTAAAGAAGACGACAACATTTAGTATGGCTGGACGTTTGTCTTTTATAATATATGACGACTGTTTGGTGACGCAAACACTATATACCATGGAGTATTGCGAAGTACAAAGGCTGTCTAACATATTGAATGTGTATTATGATAAGTTCTATAGTAAGTAATCATACAATGATGAATAGTTGTCGTGAGAATATAATTCATATTGACATGTGACTAATCCAGATCATGATGTTGAGCATCAATATGAAGTTTCACTCGTTTTATTCATGTTTGCTAGATTGGCAAACGAAGATAGGACCTTGTCTTACTGCTTCTATTTTGAAATAAATCAAAACCGATCATATCCGTGTTTATACGGTTTCGAAAGAAAAACCGAATGTGATGAATTGACTGCTTTCTGGAAAATCTATTGTTAAATTCCAACGACAGAAAATCGTTGGAAAAAGAGCATGTGAAAATTTAATTCGCATGTTCTTACCCATATCGTGAGGTTCAAAATAGTTTTTAGAAAGGTGATTAACAGGGATTGCTAACGACCCTTTCACAAAATGTATGTCGTTATAGTGAAGACGTGTTTCATCACTGTTTATATTAAATCGTGTTATCATCAAAATAATCTTCTGCGCACCTGTAAACATCTAACACGGAGATCTTCCAAGTTGTTGTCTGTTATACGAAGAGTGGTGCGAAGACACATGCTTGAGAAGTTAATCTGATATTATCATTTTCATCCTCGCACAAAGACATAATCATGATGAAGTAGCAGCGTGATAAAATGCATGTTTATCTAATACAGTATGACAGTTCCTATGTAATTTTTAAAACAGGAAGTAGGGAGCTTCTTTCTAAGACTATGTGCATAAGAATATGCAAGCATGACGTATTCAAACATCCACGTATCTATTACCTAAATTTTCTAGAGCTTTGGAAGAAGAAAACACAACACAGAAAAGAAAGAGCTATTTTCAGCGATGTCCACTGTTGAATCATGGTTTATTCCGTTCGATATTATCTTAGTTGTCAGCACTGGTTTCGCTGGTCTATCAGGAGTTATTTTCGTGCTTATTATCATTTTCGATAAAATATGTCACACTGTTCCAATGTTATTAGTCGCCAATACATCATTGACTGCGATTCTGTTTGGATTCAGTATGTTCAGCTTGGCAATGTTCACACTACAAAGTGATCTTCGACAAGTTCAAACGTACGATGTATTTTGTATCGTTCGCTCTTACATTGCTTATGGTGCATGTGCAATATTCAATTTCTCATTTACTCTACAAGCATTCTATCGGTACCTACTGATCACCTATCCGAACCGTCTACTTTATCAATCAGCAAGATTTCAGTTGCAACTTATACTTCTCACCTGGATGTACGGCTTCATTGTTCCCATTGAGTTTGTTGCGCGAGGTGAAGTGGTGTACAGTGGTGACAATCAAATCTGTCAAATACCACTTGGACTATCGTTCTCTATTATCTACATGGCTAGCTGTGTTTATGTATTTCCGATCTTCTTAACAATGATCATTTATTATAAAGTAATCCGTTACGTTAAGCAAATGAATGCTCGAACCACATCTGTTAATACTGTATTGCGTGCGCGGTATGAATTGAAAATGGTGAGACGTATAATTATCATAATAGTGATTTTATTAGCTCTTGGTTTGACATACTTTATCTTCATTTTAATGTCGTTTTTTACAACTCCACCAAAGTACCATTTTCGAATTGCGTTCATGTTTCTCGATGTGTCGATGGCAGGTGTCATGCTTGTTGTGTTTAAATTTACTGATCATTTGCGAAGTTTTATGAAAACTAGAAGGAACATGGAACAAGGCACGGTTGCAGTTATATGGATCGGATCTTGATTAAAATATAGCCATATGAAAAATAGCTGTCGTAAGATTACTTTTCTTGGTGAAAGTATGACCATCTAACTTATTTGTCCTCCTTCGAATAATAAAAGGAAAAGAATTGTTTATTATTACAATTCGAAATCAATCTAGTAAGACAGTATGTGTCTAATTATGCTTGGCACTTGTACTTTAGCACTAGCTTTGTTTGTTCATGCAAGATGTGTTACATTTATCTGTCCATGTAGACATGGAACAGGAGAATGCGCTTTAATATATCGTGATTCTGGTAAAACATGTAAAGACGTTATAATTTGTCAGTCTCTGGCTTTAGTCAAGATGTCTTGACTCATTAGACCGAAATTTTAAAGACGAGAAGATCACTCTATCTGGTGTAGAAGCAAACTAGATTATAATTAGGCTCGTTTACCACGGAGCATTCGATTTTAATCGAAATGTATGACATCTTACAAAAGTAAAAATATCTATTAGGTTAGATCGATTCACTAATCAGAATATTTTTGCCAGATAGGGATCGTAGTTTTGCCATTATATCATTTCTCTCTATCGTAACTCGCTCGTAATTTTATGGTTGGAACTGATAAAGCCCGTCGTAATGGCAATTGAAAGTGAACAAGCGAATTTATTGACATTCTTTCACTGCACTTTTCAGGGGGTAGCAGAGAATATGTTTTTGACTAGAGAGTGATCATCAAGCTTTATTTGGAACACGTAAGTGTGAGGATTCGTGCTTAACAAGCCCCAAGTTAAATTGAGAACTGACTTCAAGTCTGGTAACTATGTATCTGATAATCTCAAGTATGTTTCATTCGATGATATGAAAAAGAAAAAGAATGACGAGCTGTATTATAAATCAATAGTCCTTCATGTGAAATACATAAAAATCTTTTCTTTCGTCGCGTATGATAGATATATGAACAATACGAATAGAAAGAAAATTCAAAGAAATACTGATTATTAACGCCCTCTTTTCTTTTTACATACTTGTCCTACGTCAAACGCAAGCTATACTTCAATCCGAAAGCGACTTCCTTTTCCTCCCAGTGTCGTCATAAATACTTACCCAATTTTACCTATTTCATCATCCAAACCCATTTATTTTTAGAGAATTTCACTACTTGTGGAGTTATATATAAAGTCATAGTTTGAAAGTCTTTTTAAATTACTTCTATTTAATCTTTGTATACCGTCTGACAAGTAAAACTAATCAAACATGTTTACATACACAACCCTTAGTCAACCTCAGTTAGCCAAACAATCTACAGTTGATTTGGTTCGTGAGCGGAGTTTCTAAACTGTTTCGAATTTCTTTTCATGTAATTCGTGGTTTTAGGATCTCAGTAAATTATCGCCATTGACACCTGAAGTTATTAGTCGACAAGCAACAATCAATATTGGCACAATTGGTCATGTCGCACATGGAAAATCAACAGTCGTTAAGTCGTTATCTGGTGTATCAACAATTCGATTTGAAAAAGAAAAGAAAGAAAACAAGACCATCAACTTAGGTTATGCAAATGCAAAAGTATGAAGATCTAGAAGAATCGTTTCCAGACGGCAAAGAATTTTCTCTTTTCGATTAGATATTTGAATGTGACAATGCAAAATGTCCTCGCCCAGAGCGCTTTCGTTCGGCTGGTTCAAGCAAACAAGATGTTTTTCCCTGTGATCGCAATGGTTGCGGTGGTCAATTTCGACTTGTCCGACACGTCTCGTTCGTCGACTGTCCTGGCCACGACGTTTATATGGCCACTATGTTGAACGGTGCTGCTATTATGGATGCCGCTCTTTTACTTGTTGGTAAAGAAAACGGTTATTTCTTTCTAGACTAGAAACGAATTGCTCTTTTCAGCTGCGAATGAAACTTGTCCGCAACCGCAAACATCCGAACATGTCGCAGCTATTGGTATTATGAAACTGAATTCAATAATGATCTTACAAAATAAAATCGATCTTGTAAGAGAATCTCAAGCAAGAGAACAATATCAACAAATTATTAATTTTATAAAAGGTATTGATTCCTTTTCATTTTCATTTTGAACGAACTCGAATGTTGTGATTCGTGCCGTTAGGTACAAATGCTGAAGATGCTCCAGTTATCCCAATCAGCGCACAACAGAAAATCAATACGGATATTATTTGCGAATATATTACAAAAAAGATTCCAATACCGCTACGAGATTTTTCATCAAAACCACGATTGATTGGTAAAAACATGAATGTTAAAATTTTGTTTTTCGCTAACGGTGATTTCCTCATAGTTATTCGTTCATTTGATGTTAATAAACCCGGGGCCGAAGTTAACAACCTAAAGGGTGGTGTTGTCGGTGGTAGTATTCTTAAAGGTGTTCTCAAAGTAAGTGAAAACTTCTTAATTGACTAACAATGATAGATCACATATGAATTGAATTAGGTTGGTCAAGACGTTGAAGTACGACCCGGTATTGTTTCTAGGGATAATGAAGGCCACCTTCGATGCCGTCCGCTTCGTTCGAAAATCGTTTCACTCTATGCTGAACAAAACGAACTTGCCTTCGCTGTACCTGGTGGATTGATTGGTGTTGGAACAAAAATTGATCCAACGCTGTGCCGTGCCGATCGTCTTGTTGGACAAGTGCTTGGCGAAGTTGGAACATTGCCAGAAATTTATACAGAAATCCAGATAGCTTATTTTCTTCTTCGACGTTTGGTTGGTGTGAGAGCTGGAGGCAACGGAGGAGATCCCAGGGTAAGATGTTCTATTTGATTGCCTAATCCATATGTTAAACCTGTTGTTTTGCATGTAAGGTTGCTAAATTGACAAAAGGTGAAATGTTAATGATTAACATTGGTTCCCTGAGTACAGGTGGTCGAGTATTGGGTATAAAAGATGATTTAGCCAAAATCCAATTAATGAATCCAGTTTGTACAGAAATATCTGAAAAAGTTGCTCTCAGTCGTCGCATTGACAAAAGTTTCCGTTTGATTGGCTGGGGTGAGATCCGACGAGGAACGGTGATTAAATCACAATAGTAGAAATCTCGATATCACAACCAGCTCCTTAACAATTAGGACAATACATAAACAACATTCATTATTCTGTCGTGACTTTCCAATGTTTGTTAGATAACATCATTTATTAAGCAAGAATGCTGTTTTGAAACTGTTTAGCTAAATTGACAATGTTAAAGCACAGTTTTTATCGATCTCATATCACACAAAAATAATTGCATCATCTCAAACCTAATCGAGGCTCTCTAGCTTGGAATAGACTTCATTCCAAAGAGATCAATATAAAAAAGTGATGTTTATGATGAGACAGGCGATGCAGAGAAATTATTGCTCATAATTCATAGCATTTATTTTGAGAACTTGCAATTCACGTGCAATTTTCTTGTAACACAGCACCCATATCTGTAATGGAATCCGACGCTCTTCTTGGCTGACAGCTGAGCGTATATCTGTATCGAATGCATCGAAAAACGCGAAAACTCGAGTTCAAGCTGCAATGTTGTCGAGTAGAAATCCAATCTGGCAAATGATTTGAGTGTATATATATATTGCTTGATAAGCTTCATTTCATGTCTATAGAAAGATCGGATGAGCGCAGTGGGTTGTGTTAGTGAAAAACATATGGCGACCGCTATGGTCAAAGTCAGATATCACCATTATAATGAAAACATGAGACGCAAAAAGGTAAACTCTTACAAAAAAGTTGAATATTTACTCAGCATACTTTCTGATTCACTCAAAATGATAAAGATACTTTTCATATCTCGTCAACTTCATACGTAATTCTTTGTTTGAAACGAAATGAGTTTTATTCCGTCAAATCAATGTCGATTGGAAATACTTCCCAATGAACTTCTTATTGAAATCTTTCAACACTTGAATTGTCGAACTCTTCGTGAATTTCAACGACTTAACCAACGTTTCAAGTCGATCATTAGCTGTCTCAATGTGTGTTTTGTTCTTCAAGATGAAAGCGATGATTTCAACACATTCAATCCGACACAAATCGTTCGTGTAGAAATGAACTTCTGTTGTCAATCTTTAAACTTGCAGCATTTGTCGAATATTCGTTCGCTGTCGCTTGATTATACTTATATGACAAAAGAACAAATCATTCAAGTAGAATATAACAAAGTCATTTCATGAAATAAAACTTGATTTATTTAGATAACTCAACTCAATCTGTTTCATCTCGAACGGCTTTCAGTTGGAAATATCATGTCGAATCTTGGCGAAAGATTACTTCATACGAGTGCTCAAGGTGAACATTTTCCATCTTTGAGAATCCTCCAACTTGGACTAAATACATCTGATCAATTACAACTCTTTCCGAAAAGAACAACACCAAATAATCGTGTTCGGTGTCTCATTATTAATCGATGGAAATGGTCGAGACTAGATTTTCTCTTTGAATTCTTTCCACATCTATCTTGGTTGGAAATAAATCTTGATGACAAACCCATTTCAACGAACGATTTGACTCAATCGAATCATTCATTAACATACTTCAAAGTTACTCTTGAGCATTGCGATCCTTACCATTCTGATCGAATATTTCATCTAATGCCCAATCTAATTCGACTTCGTATTCGTGGAAATATAGGAACCAATCTTGCTCTTGTTTACTTTGTGAAACTAGCCAGAGATGTTTCATCTTATACACCGAGTCTTCAATATTTCGATTGTGAAATCTACTGTTACACAGATGAAAATGAGAATACTGGCGAAGTAATACGAAAATATTATCACCTATTCAAGCAAATTCGATGCCTCCGTGGAGTGTATCAAAATCGGTGTTTTGCAACAGATGTTCAAACTTATCCAGACGGAAATCAATATGAAGGTAGAAGATTTTCATTCCTAAACAATATGACATAATCTCTTTCATTTAGTTATTCCAAAACCAGTTATTAAACGACAATCATTGAAAAAACACGGTATTTATTACAGCGACAGCGACGACGACGACGATTATATGTTTTTCTTAAAGTATAAGAACTACATGTAAGCTTCATCAATATTTTTGATTTAGAATAACAAATTCTTTTTTTCAAATCGAAAGTACAAGACTCCTCTCGCGGTCAGCATTCATCGAAACATGTTCACATCAATATTTCAGTTTTGTGTAATAAGATTGTTCTAGCTTACTCATCATCTAACTACTTCTTTACATTCGATTCCGTCGTGAAGTAAATCATGACGAAATTTTCCATTCAATCATAAAAGAACATACTTGACAGACAACAACAGAATACATTCACATCTTTCAGGTTATAGTTTATCTATAAAGATCGTTCGTTTTCTATCGTAGATCGTTACGGACAGCATGATGGGATGTGTCATAGTACTAGATAGAAAATACAATGAAAATGTATGAATGACACATCTATTTTTTGAAGAGATAGTGGAGAAGTTTATTGACAAAAAGAGTATTTAAACGGGGAAATAAAGTTCATGCTCGTTCATCGACAATTTTCATTTTGAATTGCAACGACCACAACGTTTACAACTTTGTAGACCATTGAGACCAGGTAGAACTTGTAATTGTAAAATTTCACGAATGGCTTCACCTCTTGTGTGAACAGCATCCGAATTTGATTGATTGACTTCACATGATAAGGCCACTGCGAAGAAAACCATGCAGACAAGTAAGCCAATGAATAAAGCTTTCATTGTGTAATGAATGTGGTTTGACGAATTGAAGGAAGGAATCGGCGAGTGTATTGAATGATGTTTCGCAGTAACATCGTCGATTTTATACAGCGTAGGGATACTTGGAATAAACCTTTACAAACAATGCGAATACAATCAAACACATGGTTTTTTTCCCAAACACATCGCTCGAGGCTTATCTAACAAACATGAATAGTAATGAAGAACACGTCGTCATAGGCAAATACGTATACATAAGGGTAAAAACACTCATTTTGCCATGTATCTCGTCATAAACATGACAGAACGGAAAAAAATCTATGCGGGAGGAAAGGAAAAATCCAAACGACTTATGGTATTGCTGATAAATAGAATAAAGGCATTTCGTTATGAAATCACATCTGTGAGATAATTTTTCTCGAATTGATTCCAGGCTGTACATTCCTGTAACCAAAGGTTATTTCATATCAATAGTTCCCATACGTGCACGTATAAATATAACCCTTCTGTTTCTATAGGTTTCTTGCAGATATGCTTTTTATACTCTTCCTTCATTTGTTCATATTCTGTTCGTCCGCTTTTGATATTGTTCAATTAGCAGATGAAGATCTGAGGTATTTAAACGAACGATTACAATTGCACGACCATATGAGCCGCGAAGATGCACTGAACTCAATAATCGAATTAGAACATTTTTATACAGGATTAAAAAACGATTTAAATGGTTCACCGTCGGAAATGGTCGATAAAGCCTGGCATGCACATATTTTAAACACAAAAATGTATTTTCGATTCAGTGAACTCAACTTTGGAAGATATCTTCATCATCTGCCATTCTGGTCGGGAAATCAAGATGAAGCTGAAGAATTAAACGAGGATATATCGATGTTCGACAAACTGAAAATTCTCGGAATCCAAAACATGAACGAAACTGTTTGGACGTTGCAATTACATGAAACACCGTCGTTGGATCGCACAACGACTTGACAGAAAAATCAATTAAGAACTGTTTTTTGTTTGAAAAAAAAACTTTAATATATTTAAAATATACTACATTCTCAAATTCACGTCTGTTTTCAAAGTTAAACTGTCACTGATCGTCGTTGCGTGCGTTTCACACAGATCCAAGACTTGTTTTGCATTCATACTTTCCAATCTTTCGATTGTTCCAAAAAATCGCTGTACGTTCAGATGAGTTCTGGCAACTTCTTTGATCGCTGCAGCCACATCTTCCCAAAACTTGAAAGGAATTCGAAAGTTCAAGTGTTTTTCAGCACTTCGAAGAAATGTTTTACAATCGACAGAATCCACTTTATCAATATGATCGCGTACGAGATTTCGTCTCCATGGCGCCCAGAGAAACGATTTTCCGATGGTATCTGACGCGATGTCGATCACTTTAAACATTGAAGAAGCATTGATTTGAAACGATGATAAGATTATTTCACCTTCCATGGCAGATCTGATCTTTTGTGTAACGTCATCGATTGACTTCATAAAATCTAATTTAATATATGACAAGTTTGTTTCGTGATCGCGTAACGAATGAGCGAATAAGATGGAATAGTGACTGGTATTATTAGAAGTATCAGTGATTGTCCAGTCGTTTTCGATTACGAGACCGAAATGGATCGCAGTTTCATTTTGATTGATGGTATTTATAGCGGCGATTTTGCTCGGACGGGCAACTTTGATTGTTTTGCGATCTCCATTAACAAGAACTGAAATTGTCGTCGTGTTGATCGGTGTTAAGTCATCAAGTTTCTTTAAGCGTATTCCGTATGAAGTGGAACTTAAATCTTCCATCGTGATCTACAATGTCGATCAAACTTTCTCTATTGTATATAAAGAAATGACTATGAAAGAGTTATTACCTGTTATATTGTAGATTTATATTTGAAAATTGTCTTCACACAACAGGTTTGCATTGAATATATGACGAAGAGAAAAATTTTGCGAATTTTCCCTTTTCTTCTCATTGGTAAAATCCAGAGATTATATGACAAGAACAAATACTTGTTTCGTCGTTGTATATACAATTGACGCTTAGCGTTTATGCAGGAAGAGAAAAATGAATCACACGGCGTTTACACAACATGAGTCATTCAATACTATGTGCTGGGATGTCATAATTTTTGCTCTATATTTTACTGTTTTATTCACTTTAAAAAGATGGAACATTCCAATATTGTGATAGATTAACCTTGATAATAAAACAGACGAGCAAAGTCCCGTATTTGAAGCACGACTACTCGCTTTTTTTCAGTGCGAGATGTTTTTATCGCGAATAACGAAATGTGTGATACTCTTGGACAGAATTCACGACACGAGGAAAGCAATGGATTTTGTATTTCTCGATTTCTGTCGTGGAAGAGGAATGATTTGAATTAAACTGCGTTCCATTTAACCGAGGTTTCTTTTTTCGTTCAAAAATCAGAACTTGGACGTTTCTAACTTAGTCAATCTTTGTTTTTCGATAGCGACATAATCTGTCATGTTGCTTTTCATCATTTAGTTGCTATCTGTGACAAAATGCATACTGACTTTATTTAAATTTAACGACAAAAAGATCTCGCTAACATTTTTAGAAAGAAACAAAGATAAACCAAACCTATACTGACTAAATCATTTGCTCAGTATTTTCAATTCCGAGTAGAGAAACAATCACATCGATCGCGACAACAAAGATTTTCAATAGATTATTATACAACTCAAACGAATTGCTAATTTTATTAATACATTTACAGATAATGACGAATGTGTCAAATTTATACTAAACATCATTCTGAATTCAGTATATCTCATCCTCTCTGATTCACTGGGACAGTATCTTGTAACTTGCATACACGACATTCGTCAGTTAAATTCGATTCTTATCTTCTATGAAAACAAACAGTATCACGAAAAATAGATGCAAAACTGGATTAAAATAAAGCGTGATTTTATAGATACACCCTCAAACTCAGAGATTTTCAAGTAAAAAACAGAACCAGTGTATCGAATGAAATTCGAAAGACATGAGTTAAAATTTAATTTATTTTCTCGGTGAAGTTTTCCTGCTCTGAATAGAATACTATAGCTTCCTCTATACAAGAAATAACACTAAACAAACATTCGATAATATTTCCTTCCAAGATGTGTTCTTGAAACTTTGAATTGATTACAGCTTGGTAATCATTGAGACGCGAAACAAATGTACAATTTAGGAAATGGAAGATAAAACTCGTAGAGAAAAAAATGAAGTTCGCCATAGAAATGAGAAAAGCAATTTTACTCGTTAGTTCGTAAGAGTTTATTCATTATACAATATACTTTTTCTGTCTTACTTTTCATCATTTGGATGAACGACTCTCAAACAACAACACTCGGTTTTCTAGAACAACCGTGTACTTTTTCACTGTAAATTCTCATTAAACTCCATGATATAAAAAGCTGCGCAATATGCATTATTTTTTTATTTCGATGATCATGAAACAACTTTATTCCATTGTTTTTTATATATTCACGTAAGTTATGGATGCTCATGTCGATATTAACTTCATAAACGCATCTTTGCAGATTTTCCATCGAACAATGTTTGACATTCGGTGAAAATTGTTTGACATCACAATGGTCATCAGATGCAACAACGTTAATCGATTCAACTAATCTTTATTCACCTCGAGATTTATATATTGACCGAAATCATGTTTTATACGTGTTAGATAGTGGAAACTATCGTGTACAACGTCTTGTTCCCAACTCAACACTTGAACCAACATATTTAAATGCAACAACTGGATCAGTTTTCAATGAATTATCTTATCGTAAATCTTCGGTTTTTTTCTTTATCACAAGAATCAAATTCAAATCCTTTTCTTTTAGTCGTTGCTATACAAGGTGATGCAAATGGAAATCTTTACATTCTTGATCGAGGTAATCTTCGTGTAGTCAAATGGTCAACAGTAAATATGAATGGAATAATTGTATTAAATGCCAACGGAACTGGGTATGGGGCAAATCAGCTATCGACACCTGCTGGCATGTTTATTGATATGAATACATCATTCATTTGGTTAGCTGATACACAAAATAGTCGAATTGTTCGTTGGGAATCGCCGACAATAGGTATTATTGTTTGCGGAAGTAATGGATCAAACTCTGATCAATTCTTCAGACCATTTGGATTATTTATTGATCAGAGTGATTATAATACATTGTATGTAGCTGATACATACAATCATCGTGTTCAAAGATGGCTGTCAGGAGCGAAAAATGGCACAACTGTAGCTGGACAAACAGGTTTACCTGGCTACAGTCTAGATTTACTTTATTATCCAACATCAGTCACTGGAGATGCAAATAAAAACTTATATATATTAAGTTACAGTGCGGGTTCGATCATCAAATGGCAAGTTGGATCATCGTTCGGCACTCTTATTGTCGGAACTTTATCGAGTGGATCATTATCCAATCAATTGCTTTCTCCATATAATTTCAAATTTGATTCCGACGGTTCGATTCTTGTTGCTGATTATGGAAATTCTCGTGTTCAAAAATTCTCATTTGTCTGCTGTAAGTGTATAGTTCGAATTGCTCCTATATATTTATTTTGATCTCCATCTAGCAAATACAACAAGTACAACAATGATGACTGCTAATCCAACATCATCATTATCGACAACAAGTCGCACGACAAAGATAACTGCCAATGCAACATCAACAGCATCGATGGCAGCTTCAAGTAAATAAGAAATATTGATTGAAATGTTTTACAATGATTTCATTTAGCTATGACAACAACAAAACGTATATCATCTGTTTCCGCCGATTGCAATCTTCAGTGGATATCAATGATCTTTTCATCAATTCTTATTCTCATAAACAGTTAACTCTTATATTCTCGCTTTTCTTTCTATCAATAAATTACCCTTCACATTGCTCTCGAATTCCATGAAAATCTCCATATCCATTGCTAATAAGCGCGCGCGAACCGTATAAATTACTTTGACTAACAACGATGTGAACTAAAAATATTACGAAACCACCACCACCAGCGATGGAGGTGATTTGTTCATTGAAAACTAATCACGAGATTAAAGACTGATCAGAAACAATAACTACCATCTTTCAGACACCGTTGTCAACGAATGAATATTCATATTGTAGAGCTTTTTATTTATAGAATACGCCTTGGATATAAATAGTTATTTATTGCATTTCCTCGCAGGATTCAAGATTAATCTACATCACCAAGATCACATGAATTGATAAAAACTTCAACAGATCCTCCAGCTTCGACTGCCAAATCTATCTTTTTATCATCATTGAAATCACCTGATATCATCGAGCCTCCAATCGTGGCGAGTGGATACTCTTTTCTATTAGTAAACGTTCCATCTCCATTGCCAAGTAACAATACGATGATTTTATCAGAGGTACATAATACAACTACGTCTACTTTGTTATCATTGTTGAAATCATCAGCGATAATATTCGTAGGATAGGAGCAAAGAACATAGAGCATCGGAGACGCAAACGTTCCATTGCCATATCCAAGTAATACGCTCATATTTCTGTTAGATGAACTACCTTCAGTCACCGCCAAGTCCAGTATGCGATCGCCATTGAAATCATCTGCTGCTAGAAAACCTGAACCACTGTTGCTTGGAGAACTTCGTTGATTTTGAAAAGCACCATGACCATCACCAAGCAGGACAACCACAGTATCTTTAATCGAATTACCTTTTGCAATATCACGTCTTCCATCATTATTAAAATCGCCTGAAACAAACGATGCCGGTGAATAATCAATATTGAACATCCTTTGATCTTGGAATGTTCTGTTTTCCATACCAAGTAGCACGCTCATCGTGCGATTTCCTCCATTGAGTACAACAAGATCAAGTCTTGTATCATTATTGAAATCAGCTGACACAATCCAGACTGGCCCTTGTCCAACAAGAATCACGAATTGATCGTGAAAAAATCCATCTCCCGTGCCAAACAAAAGGCTGATTGTATTGGCATTCCTATTAGCGACGACAAGATCTTGTTTTCCGTCGGCATCAAAATCATCTGATGTAACATAATCAGGACCACGACCGACCATATATTTTCTTTGAGAAGAAAACTTTCCATTTCCATAGCCGAGTAAGATATTAACGATTGCATTTGCAATATTGACTGCTAAATCTAAATACGAATCGTTGTTGAAATCAGCTGATATAATACAGAGTGGAAACTCAGCGACTGGATACCGTGTTTCGTTACGAAATGTTCCATCTACATTGCCAAACAGTAAACTAATACTAGCACTGCGAAAATTCGATACTGCTAAATCGATGATTTGATCGCTGTTAAAATCACCTGCTGTAAAATATTGTGGAGTACTTCCAACCTTGTATTCAATCGCATTTTTAAAAGTTCCATCTCCATTGCCAATTAATACACTTACACTGCCACTATCGTAGTTGAGCACTACCAGATCTGACGTATTATCACGATTAAAATCATATGATTGTACATGCGAAGGCCTCATTCCAACAGTATAATTGGCTTTTGGTACAAATACTCCCGTGTTGTTACCAAATAATATACTAATCATGTCATCGTCTGAATGAGCTACCGCGATATCTAGTATTCGATCGTTGTTAAAATCGCCTGCCGCGATTCCAAACGGTGCATTGTAGATAGTAGATCGAATTTGTGTTTGAAACATTCCATTTCCCTGACCAAAGAATACATCCACAGTATTATTACCTCGGATAGCTACAATCAGATCTAGTTTCGTGTCATAATTAAAATCGCCGGATATGATCGACATTGGAGACTTGCCGAGAGTATAGTTAGTTTGCGATCGAAAAGTTCCATCACCATTACCCAACAAAACACTTAATGTTTGATTATACTGAGAAACTACGGCAAGATCCAACGTATTATCATCATTGAAATCGTTTGCGAGTAAAAACTGCGGCCAAAATCCTGTTGTAAAGTTATTTAGCGTAGAAAACCGTCCGTGTCCAGTGCCTAATGCAACATTTAGAATATTGAGAAGCGGTGGACCAGCAGCTATCATATCCAATACTTGATCATTGTTAAAATCACCGGATACAACGTCAGTCGGTTGTTGACCAGCAAAGTAGTTCATTTCGTCAATAAATGTCCCATCGCCGCTATTCATTAGTATCGTCACATCATTTTCATATAAGCTTGTTATTGCGAGATCGAGCATTCGGTCATTATTGAAGTCGCTTGCTGTGATAGAGCTCGACTGATTAGCAGATTTATAAGTTTTGGAGTTTGTAAAAGGATTCGTGCATAAGTTTTCTAATAGAAGAATCTTTACGATTATTCAATGACCAAAAGCTCATCGACATACTCGTGATTGTTGTATTTGATCCCACTATATGCTTCGTTCGTGTTCCTAACACTGAACCAATGATAATTGCTGCAATGGATATCAAAACTAGCAGAACCGTTGCAAATAGATATTTCTTCTTTCGGTACCAATGAAATCTGTATGGTAGAAAAGAAATTGTATCAAACGATACGATCTGTTAGAAAAAGCTTACTCAAGTTTTGGATACATAAGTGCATCTAAATACAAAAAAAATTGCCCGATTAAAACAATACTAGATACGAAGAATGTACACATACTTTCAAATGGCAGTGCAAGTAGAATTTCTTTCGGTACTTTTTGTTTCAAATGAACAATATAGAGATCCGATGCCGGGTTAAATTGTGATTTCACTTCCATATATGTTCCGGGTAACAAAACAGCCTCTTCTTCGTTCTGAAAATGTGAATGTGCACTGATGCTTCTTCCGTTGATCATTTCGATCGACAAAAGTGTTCGTTCTCCGGTTTTGCCTAGATAGAATTCATTTTCTAAAACAGTCAACATTGTTGTACATGACGAAAAAGACCACCAAGTCACAGGTTGTCCAATAGGAAATTGATCGCTGATATTTAACCGAACACCACGCCATACTGTTTGCACAGGCAAGCACGGTATTTTAACTAAAGCAGTTATGAATAGTTTCAGATATAAATGCCATGGTTTCAATTCGTTTCGATCAATATTCTTCTTTAAGGTGAAATTTAATATTGAATACAAACTGTCACGTGAAGTTGCCCATTCCATTGTGTACAGACGGATTGATGCAGACTCGTCACGCGTTAATCCATCTGGCGGAGGATCTGGTGTATTGTGTAATGCTGTTGAAGCGTATTGTATTACATCGTGAACAATATCAACCAAAGGTAAACATGATTCAAGCAATGAAGTGAGTGGTACTTGTGCGTAAGCAACAATGGGAGCTAGGATTTCTTTGTTCTCATTCTGAGGAACGAATAGACGAGTATTGATACGCCTGCTTGATAGTTCTACATTATCAGTCGGTGAATCGCTGATTGGTAAGTCTCTCAATCGTGAATAATTGTCAGCTGTATCAAACATTTTCCTAATCTCGCGTAGACCAATTTCATAATCCATGCGTATTTATATCCAAAGTATAAATATAGAATATGTGCACGTCATACATTCGGTCATATTGTTTGCTTTCTTTGTATCTCAACGTATAAAATAATTTTGATTCGTACTCAATGTCTGTACTGTATTTTATATACCATTCATTCGATCTCGTCGAATATTTTGTCCTAAAAGAAGTTGACAGCAAAGCAAATCAGCCGGACAAGTTCTATTCCCAAATCAGATCATCACATATATACGTATTTCACTCCTCGTCATAACACTACAGGGAAGATCTCGTGAATCGATCGATCATTCTGCATCGAAAACACACAAAGAGTCATAAATGACTTCAGAAATTCTCATTTAGTGTTTCTGTGAGGCATCATATAGGAAAACATTTATTCCCTTTATTCAATCCCATAAGCCATTTTTCAAAGTAAACAGTACACTGTTCTTTCACTCTGTGCATTGTATTACTTTTCCACATGGTTAACAATCAGCATGAAAGCGACATCACAAAAACACACAAACGAATAATTTATATCTTCCTTCATTCATCGTTTATATATTTCGTTTGCAAAAATTCTAGTTTTGAGTATCTTAATAATTTAAACAGTGATAAGTTTCGTTATTTTCTTCCGTTTATCGTATATTCGATTGGTTCGATGATGTAATCATATACGTTTTCATTCTATACAATAACGAGAGCCAAGTTTTCATATCTGAAATACCGATAGTTATCAAAAACAGAACTTTGCCCATGTTTGTTATTTAGCGATTCATTACATTCGATCAATAATATGACGATCTTTGGAAGAAGATATGACCTATTCATATCTCCATATTCATAAGTACAATCGAAAAACGTGGTTGTTATCTGATTGAGATAGAAACAAAGCGAGAGAAAAATATCATTTCTGGTTTTTGAAAGGTCTTTATTTCTAATGATCAGTCAAATTTATAATTTTCAAAGGTCGATGCACTACAATCATTGAGAAGCTGACCTATGTCTTATCAATTTTGTTGCCTGTGTGTATCTTTTTCCATTTTTCTTCCTCATACGTTTTTCGTTTTGTTCTCTATCGATTAATCTATTGTCATGGCTGTATCATTTGAATATGGAGTTGTTTTAGCCAAAATGCAAAGTCTCCTTTCGGATAGAGATCGAGAGCGATTGTATTTTCTCCTCGACGACGATATTCAAGAAACTTTCCGAAAGAATTATACAATTAGCAAAGCATTTCATGTGCTTGAGTTCTTTCTCCAAAAGAGCACCGTAAATAACGAAGATTGCGATTTTATCATTGAAGCGTTCACGGCTATTCATTGTCATGATACTGTGAAGCGATTAAAAGGTGAGTTAATTCCTATGTTTGATTTGATTCTTACTCTGTAGTTTGATTCACCATAGAGTATCAAGCAATCCAAACGAACGCAAATCAACAAGCTGTCTCGATTGAACAGATCCTATCACAGAACAATGAAAATCCTAGTTCGTAGTAATAGTAAACAATTTTATTCGTATGCACGGAGATCGGTTTTTTCCTTGCAGCCGTGCCTGATCAATTTCTATCGAGAATAAATACAGAATTATCAAGCCCCTTTCTACATAGAAGTACCAACAGTACAACACCAACAAACACGTTTGACTTAGTGCCAAATAAGAAACAAGAGAATACTAAACAACCTCGACGGAAAATTTGTCAACGGATTTTAATTGGCATTATTGTTCTAAGTGTAACTAGTCTTCCACTAGTGATTGTCTTATCGCAGAGATACATCGAACGAACTTCGAAGCTAAAACAAGGTGAGATTTTCTCAGACGCTCTAGAACTATTTACTCAGCTAACACGTCGTTCATGAAAGAGATGAATACGAGTGTAGCAATGCGGGGAAAGCAGAATGACTGCGATTAGTGCAGTATTTACACTCAATTTGCAAGTAGGACACTGATGGATTCTTATCATTTCACTTAGTAGACTTTCGAAGTAGTAAGTTAACTGTTCAGATCTTACTCCGTGCGATCACTCAAATAGTTACTCAACAGTCCCTTTCTAACAAGCTGATGTATATTCCGCAGAATCCCAATTCAAAGATTCATCGGAGTCCAGCTGGATAGAACACATAATGCACTAAAAATTTCTCACTGATGAGTAATACCGAAAACATAATTCCAATCTATTAGATTCCTTTCTCATTACCGAAATTTAGCCTCCAGACTTATCAACACTGGCTGGAACTACTATATGGCTACAGAGTACTCCAAAGCACTTCAAAACTACAAGAACGCTCTGTGGATTCAAATGAAAATATTCTCCCAACCTCATTCAGATTTGACAACGACCTACAACAGCATCGGTTTAGTCTACCATGATTTGGGGAACTACCCGAGAGCTCTTGAAAGTTATCACAAGGCGCTCGAAAATCAAATCAAAGCTCTTCCGTTGTCTCATCCCAGTATTGCAAGAATCTACAACAGCATCGGTTTGGTTTATTCTGATATGGGAGAGCACTCAAGAGCTCTCGAAAACTACGAGAAGGCACTAGAAATTCAGGAGAAAATGCTGCCAGCGTCTCATCTGGATTTCGCTACCACTTACGGTAATATCGGTTCCCTGTATTCTGACAAGGGTCAGTATTCGAGAGCTCTTGAATACTACAATAAAGCACTGGAAATTGAGTACAAAGTGCTACCGCCGATCCATCCCAGTCTGGGAATAAGTTACAACAACATTGGTTCTATGTACAGTAACCTGGGTGAGCACTCAAGAGCTCTCGAAAACTACAAGAAAGCGCTTGAGATTCAGGAGAAAACGCTGCCAGTGTCTCACCCAGATTTAGCTACAACTTACAGCAATATAGGCTCCGTGTACTCTAGTACAAATCAGTACCTAAGAGCTCTTGAAAACTACAATAAAGCACTGGAGATCCAGCACAAAGCACTACCATCGAACCATCCCAGTGTTGGAGCAAGTCATAACGGCATAGGAATGGTTTATTCTCGTATGGGCAATTACTCAGCAGCTCTCGAAAACTATGAGAAGGCACTTGTAATCAGACAGAAAACTTTGTCATCGAATCATCCGGATTTAGCCACGACTTACAATAATATCGCTGCTGTGCGCTATAAAATGGGTGAGCACTCAAGAGCTCTTGAAAACTACAAGAAAGTGCTGGAAATTCAAAACAAAGCTCTGACATCAAATCATCCTAGTATAGCCAGTAGCTACAACAACATAGGTTTGGTTTATTCGGATATGGGGGAACACGTAAGAGCTCTTGAAAATCTAAAAAAAGGACTCGCAATTTTCAAGAAAGCTCTGCCACCGAATCATCCAAGTCTGGCAGTAAGTTACAGCAGCTTAGGTGTAGTTTATTCTGATATGGGCGAATATTCAAAAGCGCTTGAAAATTACCACAAGGCGTTAAGAGTTCAACAAAAAACCGTACCACAGAATCACCTCAGTTTGGCATCAATCTACCACAATGTAGCTTCGATTTATTCGGACCTGGGCGAATATTCAAAAGCGCTTGAAAATTACAACAGAGCGCGTGTGTTTCAGCAGAAAGCTCTACCTCCGAACCATCCAGATTTAGCCATAACTTATAGCAACATAGCTGCTCTAAACTTTAAAATGGGTGAGCATTCGAGCGCTCTTGAAAACTACAACAAAGCACTGGAAATTCAACGTAAAGCTCTGACACCGAAACATCCCAATGTTGGAGTAACTTATAACGGCATCGGATTAGTTTATTCTCGTATGGGCAATTACTCAGCAGCTCTCGAAAACTATGAGAAAGCACTTTTAATTAAACAGAAAACTTTGCCATCGAATCATCCGGATTTAGCCACGACTTACAATAATATCGCTGCTGTGCGCCATAAAATGGGTGAGCACTCAAGAGCTCTTGAAAACTACAAGAAAGTGCTGGAAATTCAAAACAAAGCTCTGACATCAAATCATCCTAGTATAGCCAGGAGCTACAACAACATAGGTTTGGTTTATTCGGATATGGGGGAGCACGTAAGAGCTCTTGAAAATCTCAACAAAGCACTTGCAATTCTACAGAAAGCTCTGCCAGTGAATCATCCCGATATAGCGGCAAGTTACAACAGCATAGGTTCAGTTTATTATAAGATGGATGAGCGCTCCAGAGCTCTTGAAAACTATGAGAGAGCACTTGAAATTGTGCAGAAGGTTTTACCAGAGAGTCATCCCAACGTCGCAAAAATTTACAACCATATAGGTTTGGTTTATTCTGATATGGGAGAGCACTCAAGAGCTCTCGAAAACTACGAGAAGGCACTTGTAATTCAGGAGAAAACGCTACCAACATCTCATCTGGATCTAGCTACAACTTACAGTAATATCGGTTCCCTGTATTCTGACAAGGGTCAGTATTCGAGAGCTCTTGAATACTACAATAAAGCACTGAAAACTAAGCAGAGAGCACTAGCGCCGATTCATCCCAGTCTGGGAGTAAGTTACAACAACATCGCTTCTGTGTACCATGATCTGGGCGAGTACTCCAGGGCTCTCGAAAACTACAAGAAAGCGCTTGAAATTCTAGAGAAAACGGTATCGGCGTCGCATCCTGATTTAGCCATAACTTTCAACAACATCGCTTCCGCTTATTTGGACATAGGAGAACACTCAGGAGCTCTTGAAAACTTTCATAAAGCAGTCGAACTTGAAGAGAAAGTTGTACCGCCGAATTATGGAAGTTTAGTCAGGATCTATAACAAAATGCGTGTAGCGTACGAAAACTTGGGAAACAATGCATTATCGGAGGAATATCATAAAAAGGCTCTGGAAATGGAACAGAAGTCTAAGCTGGTCAAAGCTTGAACGGAACAGTTTAAAGTCATAAATATCTGCTGGGAACGGAAGTCGCTCTTAGCGTTGGTTGTGCGGTGATTTTTTCGTTTAGTGTAATAAACTTTGTATCAGAATATATTTGTGAAAAAATGGTAATAGATAATCAGTATTAGTATAGAAGAAGTTTTTTAGGTAGGAGTCGGCTGATCAATTTGTAGTGCGAGTCTCCAATCGGAGACTGAATGATTAAATTTGAACACGTCGATTGTTTGTGGCACTGCCGTTTACGGATGTGTTAAAATAATGGTACACGTAGAGAATTACTTATATTGATAGTCGATTTGACAGCCTCAGGCGCGTTGCTGGCTCTTTAAAACAAACATCACGCTTCTGACATATATGCAGCTACAAAAACAGTTTTATTGCGATGGTCTGTCATACAATCACTGTCTGTGTTCTATGCATAGTTTGTTTTTTGACTAAAGATTGGATTTTATGGAACATTCCACTGCGATACATTGTCTTTCGTTTAAATCAAACTAGCGACGTCTGCTGGCAACTCTTCAATTTTTATACCATTTCGTTGTTCAATTCGACGTAAAAGTGATCGTTCATCAATGGTAATGAAATTGATGGCCAGCCCGTTTCGACCGAATCGACCTCTGCGTCCAACACTTCACCAAAAAGAAAACTCGTTGTTCCTTCGAAATATAATTGCTGCTTACCGACGAACATATTTCTCACAATCAATCGGAAGATCATAGTTAATAATAGGACTGACTTGTGGAATATCAGCGTCATTTTCAAGCCTATCTAGTCGTAGTAAAATCCGACTGGCACCTGTGCGAAACTCTCTTATGCAGTTGTCGCGTTGCGCCGCATCCATCTTGAAGTCCTATAATAACAGAGAGAAAGTTCTCTCATTCTTTCGCACTATTCGTATGGAAACTGACCAGAATAGATACGGTTAAATGGTGTGTGCGTAGTTTTTCATTTAGCCACTTCACTTTTTCTAATGTATTACAGTAGATGACAGATTGCGTCATTTTCAGTCCATCAAATAACTGGCATAACTTCTCGAATTTCATCTCCTAACAACATTATTCTGTGTGAGTTCGTCCCAATAGAGTTAGGAATATGTTTAGTTACTTCGTCTTCAACGAGCACATAAAATTGACGAATGCCTTCGAGCGTCCGGTCTTCAATTTCAGTCAAGATTTTCACCGGATTTGACATTAGTTTATTTGTTATTTCAAGTAAATCAGGAAGGATGGGAGACGACAATGTGACAATTATTTGAAGATTTGCTGGTAGCATTGCCGATATGTCTTCAATTTGGTCTCTGTAACCCATAGATAATAGTTCGTCGAAATCATCCAACACGAACATTTTTACATTTTCCGTACCTAACATGCCAATAAGAACACAAAAATTCGATGAATGCACGATATAAGTCACATACAGAATGTTGATCTTTCTAACAAATCATAGATTCGACCAGGCGTACCGACAACAACTTGGACGCCTCCGTCAAGACGTTTCACATCTTCATCAATGCTCCTACCTCCAAAACAAGCGTGACATGTCACATTCAAATGTTTTCCTAACGCTAAAATTCGTTTTTCAATCTAAATTATCAAATAGAGAGTCATCAGGCTACGTCCAAGTTCGCTACCTCTTGAACTGATATCCGTTTTGACATTAAAATTATTGCTTGACAACCGTTGCAACTCATGTCGAGTTGTTGCAAAACTGCAATGATGTAGGTTGTTGTTTTCCCTAAACCTGCTTGTGCTTGTACAATCACATCGTGACCTTGAATGAGAAAAAGATTAATTCGAGTTATCAATAAATGGTAGAAAACGAACCCGACATGCAAGATTTAAGAGCACGTTGTTGGATATGAAGTGGATGTTTGAGACCGTGGTCATGGATACCACGTAGAAGTACATGATGCAGATCGAATTGGTCGAAGGATTCGATTGTTTCGAGCAAGTGGTTTACGTTGATCTCACTGCTACTCATAGTAAAAAGATAAACGACCGGCTCCGTATGACTAATACACATATGAGTCATTAAATACAAAGATGATTCTTCAAAAGGGCAACGACCAATCGTTTCAGACGTTCCGAACAACAACTGAGATCAGAGTTTTATATAACGACAAAATGAAATTTTTATAGAAGCTTTTCTATCATCTTGCTTTCTGACATTGAATTATATCTTTGTCACTAGCGCTACCATCTATTCGGATACTCAACATCGAATTTGATTACTCTTGTGGTGCAAGTACGTGCCCTTATTCTCTTGACTTTTCATCGTCTCTACAGCATCGAAATGGGATGTGTTTTAAATGCTCAAACCAACGCTTACCTGCCAACAGATCTGACTTCCTTAACCACAAATTTGGAAACGGATTATTATTTCTACGATTATGAAAATAATGTCCTCAATTGTAAACTGCTAACAAACAATCCCTATCAATCCTATTTCAAACAAGTCTATCCACTGATTATCAACGAGCATGAGCTGACAGATGACATGCTGAATGTATTGAAAACATATACGGATAGTAAGTCAAATGAATGTTATATGAAAACGAATTTAAATCTACTAAGTGTGAATTTAAATGATATTGATTGGGATTATATCAATAAATTACGTTCGCTCTTACGAGGCTTGGTTCAAACGAATCTAAAACATTTCTATTATCGTGGTTTAACACTCAGTGATCGGGAAATTCAATATTATCTTGACAAAAGAAATGAATGCTATTATACGAATTCGTTCACGTCGTTTACAGTTGATCGTTTATTGATTTATTCGGGTAATGCGATTCTGATATTGCGAACGGATACATGCAGTGAAAAAGCAAAAGTCAATCTTGCGAATATATGGAAATGGAGTACGTTTGTGGATGAAAAAGAAGCACTTCTAGCTGTAGGAACAAAACTGAAAGTTTTGAGCGTACATTTTTTTGGTTGTAAATGGGAAATTGAAGTTGAGTTAGCCGAGGACGATACGGATTTGTCTGAAACTAGCTAAAATAAAATTTTCTTCTTTCAATTTGAACGATCATCTATGCAAAGAATTCTTCAATCTATTTGGTGAAATAATGAGCAACTATCGATATCGCAAACAGACCGATATCTACGTTTGAAATAATGATGACTGCAAAGGGTGAGTGTGAAAAACTTTTTCATTGGAATGGGTAGAGCAAATATATAGACGAATGGATCCTGAAGAAAAAACTCGAGTCAACCTGTCGAGGGAGATATTTAATGGGAACTAATGATGTTCGTTCAAGTATGTTGTCAAAGTACTTTTTGTATTCTGTGGTTTCGATATTCACTTGTGCTGGATCAATCATCGCATATAATTTACATATGAATTCAAAATGTACGTGAGGATATCTCATTCTTTTTTTTTTGTACCTAAATCCATACTCTCTGGAAATGGAGAGTTGATCCGATCACGTCAGCATGAAAATAAATGTCAATCAACGATTTACATATTAATCTTTCGACAGATCAACGCGCACTTTAAAAGCCGCAGAAAAAAAGACAACGAGAAGCTTTAAATGTACTTTGCCATGGGTGGTAGCAACTTTACTATTGCAATACTTTTCGTCCTCTGCATTTTGGTCAATTGTGCTACCAGTGACAAGGAAGTGAATTTCGACTCTGCATATGGACTCACAGTGCGCTCTATCTCGAAGGTGGATGATCAACTTTACGATGTGATTGTATCATCAAACGAAGTGCTTAACGATCAAACTATTCGTATACTTCTTCCATTGGATTATACCACTAGTGATAGAAGCCGCCGGTACCCTGTCCTGTATTTATTACACGGTTCATTTGGTGGTGCTGAAGATTGGACGAGAGCAGGTAATGCTCAAAATATATGTGGTAATGCATCATTAATTACTGTCATGCCGAATGGTGATCCATTTGGATTCTATACGAATTGGATTATTCCGGGTAATGCTGCTCCACAAAATTGGCGTACATTTCATATGGAACAACTAGTGCCTTGGATTGATTTTAATCTACGTACAGTAACTAGCAAACAAGGTCGTGCTATTGCTGGTCTCTCAATGGGAGGATTCGGTGCAATTCATTATGCTGAATTCTATTCGCATAATTTTATTTATGCAGCAAGTTTCTCTGGTGCTCTTGATCTACTNAATTGGATTATTCCGGGTAATGCTGCTCCACAAAATTGGCGTACATTTCATATGGAACAACTAGTACCTTGGATTGATTTTAATCTACGTACAGTAACTAGCAAACAAGGTCGTGCTATTGCTGGTCTCTCAATGGGAGGATTCGGTGCAATTCATTATGCTGAATTCTATTCGCATAATTTTATTTATGCAGCAAGTTTCTCTGGTGCTCTTGATCTACTTAACACAAATGTACAAAACGGGATTCTCAACTTAAGAATCATCGACGATGTTCCTCTCGTTGGTCCATTTGGATATCCGAATGCACCTGCTAGCACCAATGGATGGTTCGCTTACGACACAATTACTCATGCTGAAGAATTACATGATTTATCTGTAGCACTCTACACGGGTGATATTGGTGACTTAGAACACACACTACGTGATGGTAGTTATCGTTTACAAGAGAAATTAACATCGTTAAATGTTCCGGTCTATCTCAACGATTACGGAAATGGACAATCAATTGGATATGAATGCGATGGAGGACATACATGGTCGTGTTGGAAAGCAGCACTTATTGATGTTTTACCTCGAATATTGGCAAATTTACAACAAGAATTCTAAGTGCGCGATTTTTCATGGAATTGTTTCTGAAAACATCTAAAATTCCAATAAAATTACTGATTGCATACAAATCTAGTTTGTATTCACTGAATTATTGTTCTGATAATTAACAAGATCTTCATTATCTATCTTCAATCATTGTATAATCTGAAATCGTGATCAAATACATTCAAATGTACATTACAATAGTTTCAAGATAAATTTGTGCGAAGTTCGGATACAGAAAATCGAATATACGTAGATCAGAGACAGACATAATACACTGCATTACAATGTTGCAAGAAGAAACATTGTTCTAGACTGAATATAGTGTAGACGGTAGTAAACTTGACTTTTTCCAACTACAACGTATCGGTATTTGTGAAGAGAAATTTTGACTTCTAATATAAAAACTAACGTCTCAAAGTACAGTCAGGAAGAAAAATGTTTTTCATGTTAAGATGTGTCACATGTATTTGTTCTGTTCGCGGAAGACCTCCATTCAACATTGTAAATGCACAATATAACGTCATAAAAGAAATTTTCTTTTCACAAACGTCGAAGGTGAATTCTAGGGAGACGAACGCAAATACTAACGATGGCACTTAGATGTAACATGCTGAATAAGGTTTTCTTCCTTGTTTTAGATTATGAATAATGGCTTCGAAATTGGTAACTCAATCGACTAGACAGCGCTTTAGCCGTCAAGAAAATGATGACGAATCAATTACTATTAGTATCTTCCAAAAATCGGAAACATCCTCTACTGATCTGAACGGTGATTTTCTATGGTTTCAATTATTTATCGAAGTACTTTTGCGCATGAAAGATTTTGACGATTCGAAACAGGAGNTTCTTCCTTGTTTTAGATTATGAATAATGGCTTCGAAATTGGTAACTCGATCGACTAGACAGCGCTTTAGCCGTCAAGAAAATGATGACGAATCGATTACTATTAGTATCTTCCAAAAATCGGAAACATCCTCTACTGATCTGAACGGTGATTTTCTATGGTTTCAATTATTTATCGAAGTACTTTTGCGCATGAAAGATTTTGACGATTCGAAACAGTCGCTCGTCAATGTGGCTTATCAGCAGTATGACAACGATGAACACGAAAAACAGAAGATTGATGAATTCTCTATATCTTATGTCGCATCAAATGCTGTCAAATGGTATACGCGTGACAGTTTCGTTTACCGAATGCTCAACAAAGCTTTAAGACAGAAGGACATGGACACACTCTATGCATTTCGTCGTATTATTATCGATATTCATGATCAGTTGGAAGATATGTATGCCCGAAGGGTAAATAAGAAATCGGTTATTCATCTTTATCGTGGACAATCCATGTCACGAGAAGAAGTGGAATGGATTAAAGCTAATGTTGGTAATTTTCTTTCCATGAATAGTTTCTTATCCACAAGTATCAATCGAGACGCAGCGCTTATGTTTGCCGAGGCACAAGAAGGTTTTCAAGGTGTTCTATTCGATTTACAACTCGACGAAACCTTGGTTGGTGCAAAGCCATTCGCAAATATTACATCATTGAGCTATTATCCAGATGAAGAAGAAACATTGTTTATGCTTGGTACTATCTTTCGAATTGCTCAAGTTACGTTTGATATTCATACAAATGTTTGGGTTGTTAGTTTAGATCTATGCAGCGACAATGATAGTGAATTGAAGCCATCGCTAGATAGTCTCAAAGAACAGATTGATGATGAAACAAACCTATATGAACTGGGTCGGATTCTGTGGAAAATGAGCCAGTTAGACGCTTCTGAACGATGTTTCAAACGTCTAATTGCACAGAACCATCCCAATCCAGTTATAATACCTGGTTGTTATTTGCATCTAGGCAATATTGCTAACAACAAAGGGAATTACGAGCAGGCAATAGCTTATCATCGTTGTGGACTGGAATTAAGGCAGAAAACACTTCCTTCAAATCATCCACATTTGCCTTATTCACATAATGCGCTGGGCGAAGCGCTACGTAAACATGGCGATTTTGATGAAGCTTTACAGCAGTATAAAAATGCTTTAATTTTGTGGCAACAAGAGTATAATGGAGACGATCATCCAAATATAGCTATGTGTCTGCATAATATCGGCACGATTCATGCACAACGCGATGAACTACAACAAGCTATGAATTATTTTACACGTGCATTGCAAATAATGGCAAGATGTTTACCAGCAATTCATCCTATGGTAGCATCCACTCTAAGAAATATTGGGTCTATTTTAGGCCTAACTGGGCAAGCGGATCAAGCTCGAGAAGCATTTCAGAAAGTGATATCAATACAACGTCAATGTCTTCCATCGACGCATCCTGATCTAGCTGGTTCTGTGAGAGATCTGGGTACATATCATTTCTACACCGGAAATTTGTCCGAAGCACTTAATTATTATCAAGAAGCATCAACTATCCTCCATCAAACATTATCAGTTCATCATCCTTTATGTGTCCAAATTCGAGAAGACATTGCCGAAGTAGAAGCTTGCCAAGCTTCTCTTCTTGTATAAAAAGTACTCGTATTACTATCAAAATGTTTTGTTTTCTAACTTGCTTATGCTCAACTTATCAAACACGAATTAAAAAATTCATTATATTCTAAGAAAGATGAAATTTCCCGTGTGCGATACCTCCATTTAGATAAATGTGTACAAGAGATGAATTCAGTTATATGTATCAATCGAAAGGGTATGTGGATATGTGTATTTTCATCCATAGTCAGAAATATTGTGAACAATCGAAATAATCGCTAATTTATCAGAATAATCATAATTTAATCTCATCCATAGAAATGACAAAATCGCAAGAGTAATGTTAGTGTATCTAAACCGGTATTTACTGCCATACAGCTTGAAATTCATACTGACCGGACCCGATGTAAACTGTCATAAGGTCAGTCCTAGTATCACGTTCGACTGCAAAGTTTCGAGCATGAGTGAAACCTGCATTAGCCAATGACCAAATAATTTGATTACCTTCGAGCAATGTAATGCAACGACTGCCAGGAAATAACGGTTCAAACACAACTTTTGCTTGTGTATTGGGCGGTACGACGACACTCATCAGAATCGAGTTAGCAACTGTATCACGCTCGTCACGTGTGTAAGATACTTGAACAAGGCCATAGAGTGTACTTAATTGGCAGTTGATTTTACTTAATAGATGCTTTTTTGTTTCAGAAACCATGCGCGGTCTAATAGTAAGTCCTGTTGAAGAAAGGTCAATACCAGCTAAATGTGAATAAAACCAAGCCCCAACACTGCCATACATAATATGATTGCGTGAATTCATGCCAGGTCCTTCCGATGGTGCATCCCATAATTCCCAGATCGTAGTAGCGTTTTCATATGGATTCGTAAACATGTAACCATACGATGGATACGTTGTAGAGGAAATCAGTTCGACTGCCAGATCGTGATGGCCATTGTCAGATAAAAGTGGATATAACTGTGCAGTAGACACGATACCAGTAGATACGTGGTTATTTTTTGCACTGATATCGCTCAGTAGATGATTGAATACGGTTGCTCGAGCATTCTCGGGAACGACATTAGGTAATGCTAAAGCCAGGACTTGAGCAGACTGCATTCCATCAGCATAGTAGTTCGCTGCTGTATTGAAGAAAACGCGATGAAACTCTTCGGCAAGTTGTTGATAGAATGCTGAGTAGGCTTGACTATCGGCTGTCTTGCCAAGCACTTGCGACATATTAATCAAAACAGACACATCATGAAGGAAAGCAAATGATGCGATTAGATGCTCATTAGTCATCGGCTGTGGTGGTGGTGGAACCCAATCACCAAATTGATAAGCAAGATTGACGAGACCAGTGTTATTATAACCGCCACGTACATTTTCGACGTATGCACGAACATGATCGTAATACGTCGATAGAATCTGACTATCATTATAATGGCGATAGAGCTGCCAAGTGATTGTTGGCAAAGCAGTACCCCAATTAGGATCTGCTGGATAACCACCGCCATTCGGCACGACATCGGGTATAGCTCCATTACTCTGTTGAACATCGCAGATTAAATTGAGAAAATTTAAATAGAATTTGATTAAATCAAAGTTGTACAAGGCTTCATTGACTGAGAGTGCAGCATCACCCATCCAACCACGTCGTTCATCACGTTGTGGACTGATAAAATGCGAAATTAATGATATTATTTTCGATCAGAAAAAAGTAAGGTTAAGAAAATTTTACCAGTCTGTAGGTACCGACATAATGTTACCCAATTGACCCCATTGAATATTATGTTGAATTTGATTAATAATGGGACTGCTACTAGTAAAATTTCCTTTCAAAACTGTTTCACTATGTACGACAGGACATTCAACGTCATCGACGGTGAGCGGGTTTGGTGCTCCAGAGACTTGGAAGTATCGAAAGCCATGTACAGTGAAACTACGATATCGAACAACTACATCCATCGTCATCAAAAATTAAACATACGTCGGTTCATAAATTTCACCATTTGGATCTCCACGTAGGATATAAGTATCAAACTGTGTAGCACCACGCAGATTCTCAGTGTATATTCCACCGGTGGACTGACTAAAACAGGAAGATTGAATTCATGAATACTAACATCTATACATTACTTACCCTGTGGAATGTAGTGGCTGTGCCAAAATCTCGGCATGACGAAAATATACACCAACACCACGAAGACCGCGTAATCTGACTCGACACCAGCCAACCATATTCTGACCTAGATCGAATGTGTGTATTCCTGAAAAAAACCATTCAGCACAACAAACAAATGAGTTGTTCCTATCAGAATGAAAACTTACCAACCGTTGGTTGGGATACGCTGATTGGTTTCAATACACTTCCACGTCCATCCCTGAACGAAGCACCTTGAGTGTGTTTGAGGTTCATCGATGTCAAATAATCTCTCTCATGATTAGACATATCTGTTTCAATATGCAATGCATCGAATCCGGCCCGAATCGGCGGCATATCTTGCAATATTAATTGACCATTACGTGCTTCACTAACTGGAGATGGCAACGAGTCTGCCATGATCCAAGCGGATAACGAATCATTAAATCCGGGTCGTGCCCAATCGGCACGTTCATTTCGTGCATCGTACGATTCGCCATTGTAGACACTATCGCGTAGAATAGATCCTTGTCGACCAGACCATGTCTGATCACTGAGAACTTGCATCTGTTCACCGTTCTGAAACGTAATATTCAAAGTAAAAAGTAAACGAGGCGGACCTACAAATTCAAGATGACGATTTTCATCGTAGAAGACGTTTGTTACCATAAGTTGGTATTCCTAGTTGTTCTCCACTATACCACCCGTTTCCAAGTTTCACTCCTACAGCATTCATACCAGCCTGCAACGATAGAATTAATTCAAGATAATGCCAATTAGAGGGAAAAGATTTCAACCGAAATGTTTGATGTCACATCGAAAGTTGCGACCAATGTACGTATTTCGAACGTTGTCCAACCGGGATCTAATTTTCGACTGGGGTCAACATTGTAACCATTTATGTAAAACTGATAATAACCAATACCGGATATATAAACAATTGCCGAACGAACTGGACTTGTATTTGGAACTAGAAATTCTTTTCGCAATTCATTCATATTAATCTTTGTCGAACCAATCCATAATAGATTTGCTTTTTCGGTTAAATATTCGTTCAAATTGAAGATTGCCGTTCGAAAATAAATCCAATCAGTCCATTCACTGGACTCGTTCGATACACTAGTCCAAATACGCAAACGAAAGCGGTACCGGGCTCCAGCAGATAGATCAGATCGATCTGCATATGGCACATGGATAGATTGTGTCGATACAATTCGTTCACTATCCCATTGAAATAAATTATCTTTTACTGAAACTTTTATTGACTCAAGCTGTATTTGGTAAGCTATTTGCTCAGTATTTCTTTGAGACGGTTCATTATTGTTTGAAATTTTCCAAGAAAATCGAGGTCGTGGTGTATTTATTACAAGATCATGCATTGCTCCTGTTTTATAATGATCGATGCGAACATCGAATGGAGACGGTAGTTGTGCATGAACCACACAACCAAGTATGAAAACGAACAAACCAAAGTTAAATAACAACCGAGACATTTAGTATTTCATCATTTTGCAAGATAGCGGTGAAAAAGTATAGTAGTTAATTTCTTTTTTGGCCGCTTTTATATCAAAAGGTATCAACACTGGCCAAGGTCAAGATAAAAGTATTATTATACTCAGAATAGAAAGTGTTGATTACATGATATACCCTCAACGTTAACAGGTGAATCTAATTTTCAAAATCTTGAGCATGCGTGTATCTTTCGATATAATTTAACTATCGTGATGAAATACCTTACAATCAAAATTCACGATAGAGGGTGCTCTATGAATGAAAATATGATTGAACAGAGCAATTCATATAGAAATTAATCAGCAGGGAAAATAAAGCGACTGACGTTCTTTGAGAATTTTTCTCTATGAGACAAAGATTTGTATGAATCATAGATGTTATTTCCCAATCGACGTTGCGTCATATACCAAAGGAAGAAAAGAGAAAAAAAATATCAACATGTTTTTTCCCAGTGCAGTAATTTCGCAATAAATACTGTGTCTTCTTTTTCATACGTTTCATTCGACAAATTGCAAACCTACGTTTACAGACAAAACCGTCTTTTCAAAGTGACCTTCGGCATATTCGGCTACAAACCTTCATCACAGCAAGACTCGCCAGTTCCTTCATCAACTTCACATATACTATGTTATCCGGAATCAAATTCAATGTCGTCTACACCACAAATGATCAATACCGGAAGGCTTCCTTCCGAAACGAATTCGGTAAGTATCAAACCTTTTTTTAAAAACCAATGGCCAAAATATCATTTGTTCTGTCTATTATCTAGACATTCCAGGCGATAAACTTGCTGGCAGACGACTCTTATACTGAAGCATCGTTTGATCTACTATCATCCAACCTAAATATTCTCGGAGACAGCGAATTTTTAGAGACGCTTGATAATGTTGATTTGAACGATCCGGAATTCAATAAGTTTTTAGGTGATTTTAGTAAGGATAATTTACTCGCAGAACTGCCCAATTCGACTACTGATCCATACACTTATCAATATGATTCAATGCGGATGCCACCAAGTGAAGCTACCAACAGCGATACGATCTCATCATTAGACTCCGTTTCAGATGAATCCAGATCGAATATTGCTTCTGTTTCTCAATGGACTCGATTTGGGAATAAGAAAGTACTCAAATATACGGAAGAATACCAACGTCGACGATTAAACAACAATAGAGCGGTACAGAAAAATCGAGAGAAAGCTAAAGAAACAAAAAGAACACGAGATTTACGATTAGCAATATTACTCGAAGAAAATCAACGGCTAATTAGTACCGTCGATTCGTTAGCAAAAGAAATTGGACTGTTAAAATCAGTCTGCGAAGCAAATAGTCTTAAGTTACCTATCAGTAAAACTCAATCAAATAGATTGCATTGATTTATATTATTTTTCTTTTATTTATTTTTCTTGCATCATATTAATAAAACAAAAAGCGACGTGTAACTTTATCACATAATAAAGCGAGAAAGAGCAGAGACGGATAGATATTAATCCTGAATCTCTTCTGAAGTCGTTTCGTTGTAATAAATTTCAATGTCACGGCGTCCTTGTTTTTCGTTGCAGGAAAAGCGACGGTAAGCTTTTTTTTCTACTGTCTATGCAGTTCTTACACACCATACCTTTGACGTGAATGAGACAATAGAAAAATTTTGCCAGCCCTGGAAAAATAAAAATCTTTACGGCGAAAATATGCCTCTTTCAGCGAAATTGCTCTCATATTCGTGTACAGCTATTCGATTTAGTTTCTGATTTTATTTATACAGTATTAGATGAAAGAGCAAACATAAAGAAGCAAAACAGAACACGCGTTTCTCTCGCTCTCAGCGACTATAAATAGGTGAAAGAACTGCATTACATCAACAATCGTTTTATTTTTTGTTTTTGCTTCAGTTGTGCAAGTATTCTGGTGAGAGAGATGCCGAGATCATTTGGCAATAGACGTCCGTGTCGTAAGATAGCATTGGTGATCGGTAATGCTGATTACGAAAAGAATCCGTTGCGTAAGCCGTTGAATGATGCAGCTGATATGACCAAAGCTTTGAAAAGTATTGGGTTTCAAGGTGGCGTGTTTACAGATATGAATTTTGGAGACATGAAAGAATGTACAAAACAATTTGTTCAAGCGATTCAACATAATGATTTGGTTTTATTCTACTTTTCCGGACATGGAAAGCAATGGGAAGTAAGAGAAAGTTACAACGTGAAAAAGATCATGGAAGAATGATATTATTCTAGGATCATAATTTTTTACTGCCCTGTAACAATCGAAACATAAATGATAGTAATATTAGTCAATATGCGATCAATGCGCAATGGCTTCTTGAAGATATATCCAAACGTCGTCCTCATGCTATTGTGTTTATATTGGATTGTTCTCGCGAATATGTTTCACGGGACTCAGCCGGTCATAATATGAAAGTACATGAAGGTGAGTTTGAACAACCGAGATCAGGTATAAATGCATGTAAAAGAACAAGAGACATTGTTACATGGCAACCTTATGTAGTACAAAATTGTAAGGCGACTACTTTTCGTATTCTGTTGTAGTACCTAAAGCAACCTGCATTTCACCAAGTATTATGATCTGTTATGCCTGTCAAGGCGGCGAATCGCCAGTAGGAAACAACGCAGATAGAAACAGCATGTACACAAAGCATATTCTTCGACATATTGCAACACCTAGAAAACAAATTCAAGATTTATTTATAATCATTAACAATGGTGTTCGTGAAGAAACCCGTGAAGCCCAGGAACCTTCCACAGACACGTCGCTGAAAGATCCAGACATCTACCTTTGTGATGCTGATTGTGGTGGGAACCAGAGTGGAAGTAATGACGATTGTGAGAGACAAAGTGGAAGTGATGGAGAAGATCAGGATCAAGGTGAGTTCTACTCTTCTTCTCGGCAGTATTTTGACGCAGCAGAGGAGTGAACTTGACGATATGCATAAATATTCGTTCGATTTCATTTTGACGCATTTTTGTAAAAATACCTTTGAGAAGAAAATACCTATTTATCTACTCTCATCTTCAAAACATATTTTAGGTGGATATCATGGACCTCCACAAGGTAACATTTCTTTCATGTTTTGCTTAGCTATAATCTATGCCCGTTATTCTTCAGGTAAAAACTCACATTATTATCATAAGACAGAATATGTGACCAGTACAAAAACGTATCACCATTCGAGGTTTGACTCATGAACATCCTGAGCAAAATCTTCCAATGTAAACAAGTCTCATAATCGATGAGATAACGAATACAAACATTGATCGCACTTATTTTTCATTTTCTGTATTATTCATGATACCATAATAAAGTGAAATTCAAAGAGCTTTGCACGTTGTTTTCGATACGATTTCTGATGAATATATGTACAGCGATAAACAGATCACAAAAATACGATGTATGAGTATTGTACACACTTTACTTGTACCTTGACAATGCATGTACATTAATCAGAAAAGGATTACTGGTAATTCACTTTAGTGGGTGAACTACGTTTCGTACCATCTATGTCGAACATCTGACAAAGTGTCCGGATGGTCGGAAATCTCTTGCATAGAACTGGTTTCAAAACTAGCAGAAATGCTGTCTCAAGTACGGGTAATCAAGAGTTAAATTCACCCTCAAGCAAGACTGGATAGGCTTAGGCGCCGTCACTTAATCTGAGTGCCCATTTTGCATTCTCATTCACTCAAAAAAAAAACTCTAGTGATTTACCTAGAGTTTCACTTTTACGGACTCCGTGACGAAACCTTCAGAATTATTTTTTGTCACGGGCTTCGTAACGGACATCTGCGCTGGAAGTTCGAAAAAATAGAGTGGTAAGAAACGTCATTTTCCCACTTTAGCGAAGGTGATTGTTGTTCATAATTCCGTGAAATAAATATATATGAAGAATAAACTTGTTTCCTTTGTCGATTGTTTCTTCTATTCAAGACAAGTACTCTCAAACAAAAAATATTCTCCTCTCTGCATGTAACCTTTACTGGAGGAAAAAAAGATTCATATTGTAATCTCAGCTATCTAAGAAGAATCGAAAGATTGACACGATTACTTGCGCGCACAGACATTTATGTCATCATCATCAACCATGCCATTGCTGATCGTAGTGGACAAACAATATACTAGACTTTTCTTCATCGAGTCAAACAAACAAATAAATAAATCTTTACGGCGAAAATATGCTCCTTTCAGCGAAATTGCTCTCATATTCGTGTACAGCTATTCGATTTAGTTTCTGATTTTATTTATACAGTATTAGATGAAAGAGCAAACATAAAGAAGCAAAACAGAACACGCGTTTCTCTCGCTCTCAGCGACTATAAATAGGTGAAAGAACTGCATTACATCAACAATCGTTTTATTTTTTGTTTTTGCTTCAGTTGTGCAAGTATTCTGGTGAGAGAGATGCCGAGATCATCTGGCAATAGACGCCCGTGTCGTAAGATAGCATTGGTGATCGGTAATGCTGCTTACGAACGGATAAATAAGTTGGGGAACTCGTCGAATGATGCAGTTGATATGGGCAAAGCTTTGAAAAGTATTGGGTTTCAAGTAGACACAGGTATTGACTTGAAACTGGGCGAAATGGCATCCTATATAAAACGATTTGTTGATCGGATCGAGGGAGATCATCTGGCTTTATTCTTTTTTGCTGGTCACGGCTCACAGTTGAAAGTAAGATGCACCCCATATACCGGTATTTATTATGGAATAGTGATGCTATGCGATTCATTTTAGGATCAAAACTATTTGATACCGACTGACTATTCACCTTCACGTGGCGTAGACTCGAGTGAACAAGCTATTAATGCGCAAATAGTACTTCGAGAAATGAGAAAGCGCAACCCATTTTGTGTTGTATTTCTGCTGGATTGTTGTCGTAATTTCGATGCCCGTCCTCAAGAACTGCAACGTGGTGCCACTATAGGAAGCCGAGGGATCGGAAAAATGAATGCAAGAGGAAATACTATTATTGGTTTTGGTGCTAAACCTGGTAAATCATCAGGTGAATATAAAAGCGAGCGTAACGGTCACTATACCAAGCATCTCCTTGAGCATATTGCCACACCCAATATGCAAATTCAAGATTTATTCACGATTGTTACCAAAGAGGTTGCTGAATGGACCAATGGCGACCAAGAACCTTGGCAAACTGGAAGTCTGAGATACGAAGACATCTATCTTTGCGATGGTGATGCCTATTCAAACGATGATGGATCTGCGGAATCCGGTGGAAGTGATCATGACGGTAGGTTCTGTTCTTTTCGAAAAGTTTGGCGCACGTATAGATTCATTGGACGATTTGTTTATATGCTAGCACAACATGTCATTTTTCTACACCTGATTGACTTTCGAAATATATTTTAGAAGAATACGACGGACAGGACGACACGAAATATGGAGGAGGTCATGGAAATTCAAAAGGTAACACAGTTGCTTATGTTACGTTTAATAATGATTTGTGTGTGCTTTTCTTCAGATAAGCTAATGAATGATCTGAAAAACCGACTGGAACTATTTATTGGTAGAGATCTAGACGGTGATGGAAAAATCGGTTAATGGACGCACCGATCAAAGCTAATCAAACGGAAATAAATCTCATAATTGATGAGATACGAAACACAGACATTTTTTAAAGTTATTTTGGAGTTTTTGTCTTGATGGTAACAATAAAGTGAAACTGTACCACTACATGTTCATATTGTTGTTCTGGAATGAATGATTAACATACATTAGAGCGCGAGATCCTGCACCTTATAGCTGCCTATGAAGAATGTATTTTCGTTCCTTAACAAGATTCATGATTATTCTATAATACTATAGTAGTTTCGGTAAATTCGTGAGAATATAGTCGGATCTGCGACAAATATAGCAACTGTCTCTATCCAAGTTCTAGCATGATTCATTACTCTGTTTTTTACATCTGTTCTTTGAGAAAGAAAAGTACTTCTCCATCTTTATTCTCAAATAACTGACGTCAAACTATTTCATATGCGTAATGATCAATGATATTTTCACATAAGTGAAAACATGACTTTTGCCCATATTGCTTCCAGATATAGCTAATATCATAGTTGTCACAATATCATTACCCTGGGTATCCAGAGCTGAACGTCTCGATACCCAGTAGGATAACTAAACTAACTTCGTCAGCCGATCTCGTTACCCATTACCCGATACCCAATACCCAATACCCAATAACCAAACTGTGTCACCCCAGATGTGAGAAATATGAGTTTATTTGGTCGGACGATTTCGATACCCGATATCCAAACTGTATCCTCCAGAACGAGAGGAATTTGAGTTAATTTCGTCGAGCGATTTCGATACCCGATATCCAAACTGTATCCTCCGGAGCGAGAGGAATTTGAGTTAATTTGGTCGGACGATTTCGATACACAACAACAAATTAAACTATATCGTTCAAACACTTGATAATGGTAGTTAATTGAGCACATGTATCTATCCTTAGTTACATTTATCATTATATCACTTGGAAAAGAAACTGGAAAGTTATTCTTGATGATAAAACTTCATATAGAAAACTCAATCGAATATATCCAGTTACAGTGAACGGTTTAAGTGATATTATATCAGCCTATTCATGACCACTGAACTGATCTTTTCATATACATCATCGCAAGCGACATACTTTAAAAGCCTCCATAAAATCAAGTCTTGCAAAGTTCAGTTCAGTGTATATTCATGGATCATCAGGAAACGTTGGTGAATCTGTTTTATTTCCATGAATCTCATTCGAAAGCATTTGGGCAGACACTGTTTTGAATCAATTCATTCGAGATATCAAGAGCAATTTCTGTTTATTGCATTCAATTAAAGAAGAGTTTCACTATCTTGATTCAGATGAAATCTAGCTAATAGAAATTAATGATCATTACTTAGTATTTTTATAATACGAACAGCAAATAGAGTAGAAATACGTCTTCGAATCTCAATCAAAATGATTTAATGATTCAATTTCTTCTCATAACAGACGTTGACTATCACATTGTGGAAGTTCTGTTCCTAATTTATTGTATTTTTATCCATTAATAGCATTTTGGCATCTTTTCTTTTTATTAAAAGCAATAGTAAACTGAAATATAGTTGAGCAAACTCATGAAAGATGCCTTTCATCAGTTTGTTTCGATTCATACATTGCGGAGCGAAAGATCGGATAGAGTCAATTGAATTTGAACTGAACGAGCAACGGTCGCCGGGTGAACGAACAAAAATGCTGAATGGCGTTAGCCGACTGGAATGGATACACGTGTATACGTCTATATATATGTTCTTATCTTCCTGCGCGCTTTAGCATTCTCTAAGCTTTCTGACTATCTTATACCTATCGTTCAGATAGTTCAATAACAAAAGAAATAATCCATGGCAAAAAAGGCGGATCGACTGAAGGAGTTAAACAATAGTGATGCATGCAATGCAGAGTTTTGTGAAACTCTAACATCGTCATACAACCTTGAAGATTTTTTTCCAGAAGAACCTTACTTAGTATCAATTTTTAAGAATTATCGTAGCCGCAAACTAAATGAACTGACACTTTTCTAGTGTTTTTTTATCACATTCATGCACTGGTAAGTTCGAATATCACAAATAAAACTTTGATTTTTTTTTTGTATTACACAAAGGTCATCCGACAGCAAACTATTCGACAAAGATACGTATGATTATATTAGTATCAAACTGTATGGCGTACTTCGTGGAGATTCTGGTAAAGTTCTTTGTATTTTGCCATCGATTTTGAACTCGATTTTTAAATTTAGTCTCTCACAAGTCTGGCTACATTAGACCTATACGACAAGCTTTCGATTTTATCGAGAAATACTTCAAAGAAAAATTTACTGACTCTCATCACAATGTCAATTCTAGTTGTATTGAAAGTTTAACGGCGGCAAAGCTTATTACTGAACTCGAAACAGGATCTGTAAGTTTTTTTTTGTCGAACTACCGATCGTATCCATAGTTTTATCTTTTTTAGAAATTTTTATCGTCAGACGAGGATAGGCCGCTCACAGATTTTGCGTTTTTTGAACCAAATACCATAAAAGCGAAAGAGATCCATCCAAGTTTGATAATTGCCTTCAACGGAGCATATAAGATCAAAAGATCCACAATGACGTATTCCACCGAAGTTCGTGGTGGTCATGGGCTAACTATCTTGGTTCCAACTACAGGAGATCAATGGCCGTCTCTTCTCGAACATTTCATTGATGGAAGTAAAACAAATGGTACGATATTCAAATAAAATGCATATTTATTATATCAACTCTTGAATAGGTTTATATGAACGCTTTCTTTACTGGACAATCGGCAAGAAAAACTTCATTCAAGAAAATTCCATTTTGAACAACGAATTGCCATCGATCGAATATCTCTATGTAACGAGGATGCTCATCGGTACACGTATGTACGAATATGAGAATGAAGTCATCGATTATCTTCGACCTATTCTGTTGAGTATGAGAAACAACCATGCAACTGTTAGTGGTTTATTCGCTGTTCCATCGAATATTCGAGCTGGTGAGTATTATACTTACAGTTTGACAAAGATTCAATATTTTTCTGCTGTTGTAGAAGCATGTAAACGACGAGGTGCCGATCTTGTCGAAAGAATTGCCGTTGTCTTTCAAAACATTTTTGATACATTACGAGTATTGGAGCCAATCAGATCTATTCAGTTTGAAACCATCAAGAAAACCACACTGGATGATATTACAAGAAACATCAAATCTGTCTTTTATTCAAATGAAGGTTTGAGGTGAGTAAAAGTGTACCGAGTAGTTCGAGGGATAGATTCATATTCTATTATAACAGAAAGAGTACGAAAGCCTTGGTTTTCGTCACACCCTCAGGATAGAAACGTTCTCACATTAGAGAAGGGATGGATAACTTTCTTTTATTGTAGTCAAGTCAACAACGAACCTGTTTATCGTGCTGATGTTGATTTGAAAAGTCTATCGAAAGTTCAAATTGCTACCCAGGTCGAACAATCCCATACTCGGATCCCACCGGATCCCATCGAATCCTATCGGATCCAATACTGAATTTTACCGGATCCTACAGGAATTCGACGGATCCGATGCAATCCTGGTGACGGAATCGCATTGGATTCCGACGGTCTCGGATCCGATCGGATCCCACGTCGGATCTCGTCGGAACCGAAACATGGATTTCCTGGATTTTCTAAGGGTCATCNTGAAACAAGTGATTTGAACTGCCATAGTAAACCCATAGCTGTCACAATATCATTACCCTGGGTATCCAGAGCTGAACGTCTCGATACCCAGTAGGATAACTAAACTAACTTCGTCAGCCGATCTCGTTACCCATTACCCGATACCCGATACCCGTTACCCATTACCCGATACCCAATACCCGATAACCAAACTGTATCCTCCGGAACGTGAGGAATTTGAGTGAATTTGGTCGGACAATCTCGATACCCGATATCCAAACTGTATCCTCCGGAACGTGAGGAATTTGAGTGAATTTGGTCGGACAATCTCGATACCCGATACCCAATACCCGATAACCAAACTGTATCCTCCGGAACGTGAGAAATTTGAGTGAATTTGGTCGGACAGTCTCGATACCCGATAACCAAACGGTATCCTCCGGAACGTGAGGAATTTGAGTGAATTTGGTCGGACAGTCTCGATACCCGATAACCAAACTGTATCCTCCGGAACGTGAGGAATTTGAGTGAATTTGGTCGGACGATCTCGATACACAACAACAAATTAAACTATATGGTTCAAACACTTGATAATGGTAGTTAATTGAGCACATGTATCTATCCTTAGTTACAGTTATCATTATATCACTTGGAAAAGAAATTGGAAAGTTATTCTTGATGATAAAACTTCATATAGAAAACTGAATCGAATATATCCAGTTACAGTGAACCGTTTAAGTGATATTATATCAGCCTATTCATGACCACTGAATTGATCTTTGCATATACATCATCGCAAGTGACATACTTTAAAAGCCTCCATAAAATCAAGTCTTGCAAAGTTCAGTTCAGTGTATATTCATGGATCATCAGGAAACGTTAGTGAATCTGTTTTATTTCCATGAATCTCATTCGAAAGCATTTGGGCGGACACTGTTTTGAATAAATTCATTCGAGATAACAAGAGCAATTTCTGTTTATTGCATTCAATTAAAGAAGAGTTTCACCATCTTGATTCAGATGAAATCTAACTAATAGAAATTAATGATCATTACTTAGTATTTTTATAATACGAACAGCAAATAGAGTAGAAATACGTCTTCGAATCTCAATCAAAATGATTTAATGATTCAATTTCTTTTCATAGCAGACGTTGACTATCACATTGTGGAAGTTCTGTTCCTAATTTATTGTGCTTTTATCCATTAATAGCATTTTGGCATCTTTTCTTTTTATTAAAAGCAATAGTAAACTGAAATATAGTTGAGCAAACTCATGAAAGATGCCTTCCATCAGTTTGTTTCGATTCATACATTGTGGAGGGAAAGATCGGATAGAGTCAATTGAATTTGAACTGAACGAGCAACGGTCGCCGGCTGAACGAACAAAAATGCTGAATGGCGTTAGCCGACTGGAATGGATACNCGGGATTTTTCTAGTCGGATTCCAATGCAATTCCGTTTCCAGGAATCCGATCGGATTTTGTCGGATGGTCGGATCCGGTAAGATCCGATCGGATCCAGCATCGGATTTGTTGACCTGGGTAGTGTTAAAGTAGCACCATCGTATTCGATGAAGGTTGGGTTATCAGCTGTAAAAGCGGCTGTTAAGTTCTTTCATAAACTTTTACTTCCTCAATCGGTGCAATTATTTTCAACTGATTCAATCGACGATAAAAAAATGATAATCAACGAACTGAAAGTCGTTAAATATCCTGTCAACTGTTTTTCAATGAGCGACCTAACCGCTAATAGTATTTTTCATAGTAAGTGTAAGATAGTCACCAAAGTTTCATTGTCATTATGAAATTGCGTTTTAGATCATAAACGAGATAATGTCGATGTAAAAAAGATTCTGTCCAACTTGAAGCATAAACATTTACTAAAACGTGGTAAATATATCAAAGCGGGAAACTGAACCATCGACAGTTGGCTGAAACTTTTACCTGAACCAGCAGACGATGAACAAATTAAATCTTTTCAAAACCAATTGAACGAGAGTTATGGTTTTACATTGGAAAAATATATTGATTATTACGAAAAGGGCTCCGATAGTAAATCATCGTTAAGTGAAGTAACTGGGCAAGTGCTAGTACAACAGCGTTCATGGATTGAAGAATTACGAGAAAAAATTCTCAACAACGTCATCGAACAAAAGAAATCAGGTAGGACATTTTTTGTATGAAACAGAAGCTATTTGGAAATTCGTTTTTTGTCATGATTCGTTTAAAAGAAGTTATCTGTCATGTGTGTCTGAAGCAAGTAACGAAATGTTTCGAGATAGAATAAATTCATTTCTAATTCTCTATTGTTTTTCTTTCTCGTCTCAGTATATGATGCAGTCTTTCATCCGTTTAGAACCACCGAGTCCGTTGTCGATACAAATGTCTCAAGTCGAAGGTTTGAACTTTTTAATCAAAAACGATATCGCAAGCATACATTATATTCATGCATTTCATTTTTTTCTGTTAGACATTTTCGACGATGTCATTGTCGATATTAACGATGACACAAATGATTTACAAACAACGTGTTCAAATACTATTGAATTGACGAATGCTATTCAACAAATGAATGTGTCATCAAATGAATGTCACGAAGGTAAAACATTTGATATTGTTATTTGTTACAAAAGTCAAAATTTTTTATTTAGATATTTCGATGGAAAATCACGACGTACCATTGGATCATCATAGAAACAACGACGATGATATTCGTGATTGTTTATCTTACGTACTTGAGCAAGTGGTCGAACTCGTCAATGTGACTGATGTAACAATGATTGATCGAGTTACCGATCATAGTGAAACAGGTAAGACAGATGAATGCAGTTTATTACATACATTACCTCTTTGAATTGTAGCGTCGTCAACTGAATTGTCGAGAAAAACCACGACATGTACTGTTGACAAATATGTATCGAATAATATCAAAGTGTTATGCGATAAGCTTCTATTATCGAACACAATTGTTATCTCTCGAACGAAGTTGAATAAGATTTGCAAAATCAATATAGACGATATTGAGAAAGCATGTAAAGTATTGATTGACTATGGTTTGTTGTCACTGGAAACAAATGTTTTGGGAAACAAGCATTGCTATTACGAATCATTTCTCAAACAAATTCCGAAAAGTCAATCAGAATTATTGGATTTTTCAATGAAATTATCCATATTTGGAATTGATAATATCAACAGCTATTATGCTACGTTAAAAACCAGTAAGTTGCATAACGTTGATGATTCGCAAACTATTAGCCACGATTAGTCATTCCTTTCATTTTTCGTAAATTGACGGATTCAAATTGAGAGTTCTTTGAAAGTAATTGAGACAGACAAAAGGATCTAAGGATTAATAATATTTCGAATGAGGATATTTTTACATGTATGTTTTTTAGTTGATACTCAAAATGCCACATATCTAACTCCATATGGACAATCGATTTTAAAACAAGTATATAGTAATCATAATGTGAAAATCAATGAAAGTGCAATCATGCAACCTGTGAAACAGCATTGCCGTCGTTTGTTCAACGCAGGGAATGATCAGCATGATTCGGATGAAGAAAACTGTAAGTGTATAGTCGCTGTTCTATAGTTCATCTAATATGTTAACATTATCCTTTATAGTATCTACATTGAGAACAAGTGAAGCAGGAAATGTCGAACAATCATCGGAACCACCGAGTTCGAAGAGTAAAAGACGACGTGAATTGACTGGAAAATGGAAAGAATACCGAGAACAAAGTCAATCTAAAAAGAAAAAAAAAGACGATCAGTAGTTTTTAATATGCGTTTTTTATTATGTTCAATTCGATTTGTTAGGACAACTATTTGAACAAAACTTTCATTTTGATTTTACGAGTTTTGTTTCAAATCTTTAGCAGTTTTTGCTATTCTACTATCCTGGCAGTGATTGTTGCGTGATTATACGTTTATTTGAATGATTTTGTGTATTCTGATTCTTTCTATTTGATCATATACATCAATAAAGGTTGAACTGTTTACTTCACATACATCTTTATCTTCCAACAGGTGGTGATGCATACACATTCTACCTTATTTGCTTTCGAACACGGCATTACATTAAAGCAAGACCGATGATTTGTATATGAGATACTGTGACAGTGTATAAATTGATTGTATCTATGACTGTTCGAAATCAAGAGCTAAGTTACGATCTTTTTGTCAATAGTAATCATCATAGCAATGGTAAAACGATGTGTTAGATGCAAAGTACTCCCAAACATTATCATTCTTTTTCTGTGCGTAAAAAGATGCATAGAATCGATAAAGCTTTGCGAAAAAAAAGAAAACTTACTCGTTCACCGGCTAATAGGAATAGAAACTACATTCGCTTAGTTAACAGATTCGACCTTTGGCTAGAAATCAATATACTTAGGCAGATTGGTCGTCTAAACGAAACGGCAAATTGATTTCTTCAGGCAACCAACTACTTAACTGCTTGCACTTTAGGCAATTGTATATAAGCGTCAACTGACCGATGTATACATCATAATCATTTCTCTTCTTTTTTGCACACAAATATGAATTTCAACGACAACAACAAGAACTTGGATGATAATGAAATGTTTCTCATTTCATTGAATCGACACATACCTCTGAAACATCTAAGTTTGATTCATGATCTCGATCGTAAGTTGGATGAATGTGTTTCAACTAAATATGATGATATATCCAGTATGGTTCAATTGACATACAATGTTAAATATGACAGCATCGTCATAAAATCAATTCTGAATTTATTGCAATCAGGTCATGTATCGTCAAGTTTTTTTTCATTGGAAGATGTTCATCGGATCATCAATATCTATTCCAAAAACCATTATTTTCTGACATTCGCTTCATTGCATACGATAAAACCTTTCACATTGACGTGTTTATTTTGTCAAAAGCCGTTAAAAATACTCTTCAAAGAAAGAGTTAACGTTTTTCTCAACGATCGAGTTGAGGGCGGAGTCACATACACCGCTCGATGTTGTTATGTTCAATACTATTCAAATAGTTACGTGAAAGGTTCAAAACGTTATGTTACTCCGCAATCCTTGTACAATCAAAAATACATTCATTTTGGCGGAAAATCTGTTCTCACTATGGACGTCGTCTTACAATACAACGCAGACTTGGTCAACATGGTAAGCAGATTGAACTTGAAGCGTAGTAGAAGTTTTTCGGATTTTTTCCTTGTTACCTTATTTATTTTCAGTACGCTGGATTTAAAAATTTCTGTGAATATTACAACGATAAAATCTCATCATTCCTGCTTCAACGTTTCGGTAAAAATGATCCAGAAATAAGAAATCAAGTCTTGCTGGGACGACGTTTATTCGAAAATGTTTGGTTAGTTTATTCCACTTGCATGCTCAAATGGATTTTATGGAAAGCGACAGAAACTGAAATTCCATTGAACATCAGCGATCGCGAACAACGCAACTCTTTTTTTATTGATCTACTAAAATGTTTGCAACGTGATTTTTCCTTATTCTGGTCGAATCATCAACACAAATATGAATGTGGCGATCAATGCTGCAAAGCCATTGTCCTCGATGGATTTCAGAAATCTGATCGGTTTGTTTGCCAATTTCATCGCGAAATGATTCGTTCTGAAGAGCTTGGTAAATAATCTTAAAGCATATTTTCTATTTATTTCCTTTTTTTCAAGGCGATATTGAATGGGGTTGCGGCGTTCGTCCCGAAATGATTCGAGATCAGGAAAATCCAGGCTATTGGAAAAATACCGATTATTGTCCCAAACATGTTCACCTTGAAAATGTATCGTCAACACCAGATTCGATCGATCAATGTGAATATGATATCATTGATTGTAACGTATCAAGGTAAATGGCTATAACTATAGTAGTCTATAAAACTTTGATCTTTTCACAGAACTGATCGCTATTCCAGTCGTCGCACTTCTTATGGAATAATAGTAACCATGTATAACTGCGGCATCATCATCAATTTCGACGAGTTGCACAGGTGCGAAGCACCAACTCGAGTACTTCATCATTTATTCATGACGATTGAAAATTATTCACCACATATGCAGTGAGAACTTAAAATGAATACTTGGTATCGAAAACAGATAATTTTTTCCAACTTTAGATCGTTACCAAAGTATTTAGTTTATGACAATGCCTGTGGATTATTATTAACATTTCGCAATCGATTGGAAAACGGTCGAATTCGAGCTACCACTCGAACAGATGCACTGTAAGTTTCTTGTTATTCGAAATACACTCACAGTTCATCCTTGTAGAAGTAAAATGACATTTCTTGTTGACAAATTTCACATCGGAAACCATCGACGGGCAATCTGTCAATCTCAAACGAATCCATATAAGTACGCCGACGTCAACAACATCAATACCGTCGTTTGCGAGCAAAAATTTGCGAAATTAAAAAAGTACCAGAATGCGTTGTCCTCGTTTTCATTTCCCAAAAGTAAAATCTTTTATTTATTACTTTTCAACGCCATGAATTGTAAGAAAAAAGAAATATCTTTTTACCAGTGTTAAAAATTTAAATAAATCCAATTCAAAAAGTAGTTCAAAGTACACCGCCATCAATCAAGTTCTGAAAAACACATGGACAGAAAGAAGCGCTTCCTCGCATGCAGAACTATGCAACATCGTCTGGCATCACATCTTAAATGTAAAAATATCCGAAACACTTTCCTATCACAGGAGGGTGAGGGTGAGGGTGTCGTCAGTAGGCGCATCACAACATCAGAGTTTTGGGGAAAAGGTTGGTGTGTGCACGAAAGCCTCTTCCAATTTCCACTCCAATAAGTGATCCAGCGACGAGTGGTTCGTTCTTTTATTCACTCTAGCTCGGCAACCAAGGCTTAAAGTAACGAATTACATTTCCTTCTAGATTGTCATTTCCCGTGCTGCCAGTGATACCGTCACGAGTTGCTATCTCGTTACCCGTTGGGTATCGACCAAATTCCTCCGGATTCTGAGTATACTGTTGTCGATTTTTAAACGGATACCCGGGGTAATGATATTATGACATCACTCGCTAATATCTTTAACAGAGTTTGCCGTACGCGTTCGCATGAAAATCCAAATAGTGGAAAGAAAGAAAAAATAAATGATGACAAATTCCTTCTTTCTGCGGCGGATTTTTATTCCTACCGACGAAGGTTCTTTTCAATTGACTCGAACAGAAATAACGTCAGAATTTTGATTGATGATAGAAATAAGGAGAGTATTATAAAATAGAACTAAAGTAAGATTGTGTTTTTTTGCAGCATACAGACAAATATTCAGTTTTCTGTACCTTGAGACCTGCTAAAAGGTACGTTTATGCGAGAAAATCGGTCCTTTTTTGAAACTTTTTATCGTCTTTACTTAAAATTAGTAGATTATCAACTAACTTGAAAGATGCCAGTCACCTTCGGTGAAACAAATGTAACAGTGATCGTTGCAACAAGAATATCGTACGTGTATTCTGAAAACTGTTAAATCGATGACAAGTATTGAGTATTCTAGACGTATATGTACGCAAAAATCAACTGTGATTCTAGCCTTTGCCTTACTAATTCCAATTCTCACGATTCCGATAATCATAACTCTGACACACAACAAACTGCATAGCAGTACAGCTTTAACAACGACTACAATCACGGCGGAAACAACATCGACAATAGTTACCACAATGCAGACCCGCGATGTCACAACTCAGTTGATAAGCAAAACTACGACAACAAAAAATCCGTGTAAAAACATGCAAACAATGCGATCGCTTTTGATAAAATGAATAATTGTTTCTTTTTCTAGGCGCGTCCAGTAGTTTGCGTTGGAAAACAGCAGGTAGCACAGTACGTAGCGATTCATCGTCAACACTATCCTGCACACATCTGTTCATTGATTCGGATGATACTCTGTATGGTGTTGATAAAGAACGTGCATATGTTTGGAGGTTACCAACAGGTCATACTAATTCAATAA